ATGAATTTATTAGAATTATTTAGTGGAACTGGAAGTGTAGGAACCATAGCAAAGTCACTCGGTTATAATGTCATCTCATTAGACTTGAAAAATGCTGATATTAATTGTGATATTTTGACGAGTTTGGTGGATTAAGGAATTTGAGTTGGGGTTGGAGTTCAAACTTGAAATTTCTAGGTTCCTCCAACGACAACACAGTAAAATTTATGAAATTTAAAATTTTGAAAATGGTGAATTTTAAGGGGATAATCCATAGTTCATAAAATAAATAAAACACCAAAAATATATAGATATATCCAGAAACTCTTGCCAATCGCCAAACAGGGCAACAAAAAATTGGCGAGAGTTTCCCCCTTATATAATATATAAATATAAGAAAAAACCCTCCCAACTCCTCCCGTCCATACCTAGTAGAGGAAAGCCTTGTAGGCGAAGATGACGAAGAAGATACCTGCGGGCACAACGATACGGGAACTTCCAAAATGGGGGAAGGGTAAAAACAAAACAAGGGGCGCGACAAAAACGACCCACCCAGCGACTAAACCAACCCAATCTGCTTCAAATCCTTCAATCTCACACCTCTACCTCTCTCACATCAACCTTTCAACCTCTCGCTCAAACCCCTTCTCAAAATGAGCCTTTTTCATCTCACAGGACAACGGATTAAGCGGGTTTAAAGTGCCACCACCGCCACTCAATAAGCCTATTCGGAGCCCTAAATGAGCGCATTGAGCAGTCTAAATGGCTGTATTGAGCAGTCTAAATGGCTGTATTGAGCAGTCTAAATGGCTGTATTGAGCAGTCTAAATGGCTGTATTGAGCGGTTGTGGGTTCTGCACCGTCGCATTTGGGAGAGTGGCTCATCCCATATTGATGTCGCCACTGGATTTCGCCTCACGGACTGCCACCTTTTTGGTGTGAATGCTTCCGAAAAGGAGCTTCAATTTGCCAAGGTCATAGTTGCCATTGTTCTGCTCAATGGCGCGGTTGAAAGCCCACTGAAACACCACTGAGGCACTTTCAATGGTAGAGGTCAAGCCGGAACATATGGACTTTACCTCCCTCAACCTCTCGGCAAAGACTTTTTCCCCAACCTCCTTCATCTTGGTGTCTGTCGATGAGCCACCCCCAAGGACTGCCACAATCTCGCTCAACTGGTTCTCATCCAAGCGTTTGCCAAAGGTCTCTAAAGCCAATGTGGCATTTGCATCTGCCATCTCATACAACTCCTTGAACTTCTCCTCCAACTGAAGCACCTGAGGGAAGACCCCAGCAGTGGATGTAGAAGAAGCACGGATGGACACAATCTTGTCCTTCAGGTTCTTGGACTTCAGCGCCACCTTTTGGAGGTCTCTGTGTGAACCTCCACCCATCATCTTGAGTTTGATGAGCATTTCGGAAGGGCACTCTGAAACCAATGAGGCTTCAGACAGCTTCTCGCCATTGATGGGGTTGAACAGGCCAAAGGTGCCAGTCTCAATGTTCGTGATGTCGTTAATCTCGTCCATCACCTGCTTCACAGTGGCCGTGGGCAAGAAGAACAGTTTGATACGCATATTCTTGTCCTTGGTGTTTGGGTAAATTACCACTTCCACCGCCTCGTCACGGTTGATGGGCTCAATATAGCCGGTGCCATCTCCAACATCAAAGTTGTAGTCAGCAAGGAAGGTGAAGTCATCACCTTCGCCCCACACCTCCTCAAAGTCCTCCTCATCAGAACTGCTGTTCTCATCATTGACTGGCTCTCCCACAGCAATGCGGTAGACGCGGTCATTCTTGTCATAGACATTCACCGCGATAAGGTCGTTCCCCACAGCAAAGTCTTTGACAAGGCCGTTCTGGTCTTCACCAGAGACCACAGCGTTGAGGAGATGACCGTTCAAGAAGTAAAGGAAGCGCCGGTCGTGTTCTTGGTAGAGGTTAAACTGTCTCAAACCAGCCAACACAGTGCCAATCAACTGAAAGACCGTTGTGGTAGGCGTGACATTCACGCTGTAGGGGCTGTTTGCAGGTGTTGGTGTCCTCACCCCATCTTCATTGACAATGAACTCCACAAACGCCACCTTCAAGTGAAAGTCGTGCTCCACCGTGGGATTGAAGACTGCCACTTCAAGCACTGAGCCCTCACGGATGCCGTAGGCAAAGAGGCGCCTGTTGGTCTGAAGCCTTTCCGTCCCAAACACCAAAACAACATCCTTGTTGATGTGCTCGGAGAGGTCTTCCTCCTTGAACTTCTTGACGGTCTTTTTCAAGGAAGTTTGCACATCAATCTCCCTGCCAGAAATGAACCTGACGCGAAGCCCGACACTGACAGAACGGCTTTCATCCACCAATGCTTTCACACGGGCTTTGTGCTCGTTCTTCATTCTCAAAAACTCTGCCTCTGCCCTCTCAATCTCACCCAAGATGGACTGGTAGCGGGGGTTATCGGATGATGAAGCAGGGACATCAAGCACAGAAAAGTCCTTTCCCACGAGAGCATCATCGTTGATAGAAGGCTTTTCCTCGACCTCTTTCTGACAAGTCAAACAGACAAAGTCAGGGGTGATGGCGAGCCCGTCGATGTCAATGCCCCCCTGTGTCTTGGCAGTTGCTTGCTGTTCTTTGATGTGGTTGGCAACCTTCAAGGCGTCAATCGTTGGAGAACTCGCAAAAAGACGGACATCACCAGCGCAGGAAAAATCGCCAACCATTTGGCCAACATCAGGCGTGTCAAAGTTCCCGGGTTGACCGTGCTGAAGCTTGAAGCTGGTGTGTGAAATCCCTGTCCCCTGCTCCACTAACTGCTTGACATCAAGGATACAATCCTTGGGGTCCATCCTCAACTTGAAGTTGAAGATGCCAAAGACATCCACAACCACCCTCAAAGACATTGCTGGAAATTGAGGGATGAAGCTCGGATTGGAGTAGAACCAAAAGGTTCTAATGCAGAATGAAAAGTTCTTAGCAACTCACTTGCTCCAAGGTTGAAGTTTCTGCCAACAGCACACACCCCGCTCCCATCCTCGCCTTCTCAAGGTTCTTCTTGATGTCCAGCAAACGTGGGCGGGCAGGCGGTGCCGACGGTGCCCAGAAATTAACCCATAAACCTTACAATAAAAAACATTGTAAGATTTATGATTTGGATTTATGGGGATTTTATATTTTGGGATTTTGGGAAAATATATTTTGGGAATTTGGGATTTTGGGATTTAGGTGGTAAAAATTGGTTGAGGTGGCGTGCCCCTGTTGGTTAATATGGTTGAAGTGGTTGACTGAGGGGATTTTATCTGAACTGGGGCATGCCCTTTGGTAGGTCTTACAGGTCTCCTTTTGCGACACATAGATGGCTCTGGTAGCCTGGTAGACTCTGAGACATCCAGGTCAACCAAGGCCGTCTAGTTTTTGTTTTCCCAAAACAACCAACACGAAGACCTGTGATCTCTTGTTGGTTCCGCAAACCCACCTAGGCTTCAGTCAGGTGGATCTCTGCTCAGCTTCCGCACCCTTCCTTTCAATCTATCCGCACCCTCCCCCCCTGCGTGCAGCGGTCGGCAAGATGTACCAGCTTTGACTTAAGGTCTATCTTGGCTCAAGCCTGAGAACCACCACGAAAATCTCCCTCGAATCGGCGGTTTGGAGCCCGGCGGTTTGGATTGGTAAAGGGGCGATCTCCCAGTTAGCCCCTACAGGGATCCGGAGGCATAAAAAAAGCACCGATCGAACATTGCAACTTGTCAGTGGTGGTGTGTCCATTTCTTTATTTCGGTGTTGAAAAAGCCACATGCTTCAAATGGTTGCAAGATGATTTTCTTTTAAGGAGCCCTCTACAAGAACCCGGGAGCCACCCAAACCAGGGGATTACTGAAGAAGCTACGGACCTAACAAATTTGTTTGGGTTTTGCTTGGATTGTTTTTTTTTCTTCTTAATTTAAACTTGTGGCTTGCTCTTAGGTTGCTTTGATTTTTTCCTTTTGCTTTGCTTTTGGTCAGCTTTTGACTCCGTCTTGGTGTTTAGGCTGCTGCGACAGTGACAAACGGACTCAATATGGAACTTCTGGCCACTGGGCAGAGTCTTGAATATTGAGCCGTCTTCTCTTATCAGGAACCCCCCCCCCTTCCAGCGCAAATGAGGCAAGTGCCCAGACCCTGAACGGGACCCGCGCATTTCTTGAACGGCCCAAAGTGTTCCATAGTCCAAGGCCTTGAGGAAGGCCGACTTTGTCCTGGAATCCTCTTGGCTCCTGTTCTGGGTGGAGTAACACCCCCACACTTCTCAAGCTTAAACTGAAAGACATTTTATCGATATTAAAAAAAAAATGCGATCTGAGTCAAGCCCACACTTCTCAAGCACCTTGACCCAAGAAAGTTTCCCTTAAACCCGCGGACCCGATCCAGTTCACCGGCCCCGGAAAGGCGAGCCACGGCAACCACCCACGCACACATGCACGTCAGCAAGCACAAGCACGCGAAGGAAGGTGGGAAGACGTATGCAACTCCCACGGGAAGGAAGGTGGGAATAATAAGGAATGTGGGAATGGGTCAGTGTGAACCCTCTGACCCTTTGATGTGCATTGGTGTTTTATGCTCCGCCGAGCATCTTTGAGCGTGCTCGGAAGCCAAGCCTGGGCAAGTTGCTGGAATATTCACAAGCCAGATCGAATTGGTGCCGGTTGAAAGGGATAATTAAGCTACACCTGGCCAAAGTGCGGTATGAACAAGTGTGTATGTGTGTTTTGCTTCTCTCCCCCTTTTAAAACCAGCTTGCTTGTGCGAAGTGGCGAATGAACCAGAGTGTTGGCAATGAAGCGGAAGGGAGTTCCTTTAAAGGAACCAAATCGGGGAAGGCTTTCTCGCGGTCATGAGCCATTTCTCGAATTCCTGCCTTTCAAACCAACAAGACAATGGGTACCTAGAGTCTCCATGACCCTTTAACATGGGGTCATTACCCTAAATAATGGTTGGTCATGGACCTATTTTTAAAGGGTCATGGAGACTCCAGGTATCCACACATACCACTCCTAAGTTACCCGGCGCCCAAAATACTCCCCGCCTGTGTGCGCCCCACACGGGGACCGTAGCGGCTCAGGCTGTACAAGTGCACCTGGGACTCAACATCGGTTGGCTCCTGCATGGTCTGGGACTCAGCTAAATGGCTAGTAACTCTGGTAACAGGGACAAATATCTACCTGTATATATATACGTATACATATATATGTAATATGTATACGTACATATCTACATATATATGTAATAGAACCATTGCAAGTGAGGTACCATGAGGCTTCCTACCCACTTAGCGATTCCTCCCAGAACATTTTCTCTGTGTGCCCTTAACCTCCAAAAAAAGGGCTCCCTGCTGTTTTCCTGCCATACCATCCACTTGAGCACCTGTTGGCAATAGGCACGGGAGATTTGGCGTAAAGTCCCATCGGCAAATGGTAATCTGGGTTGTTCAAACTGGGCGGCGGGGGGGGATCCCAAGTATGATAAGGGAAGCCAGTACCACCTCGCATATGGCAGGTTGCCTTCTTTCCAGCAATAGAAGTGGAGATGGTTTTGGAAACTAACGCTAACCCCAGATTGCTCAACCTCAGCGTATTCATACTGGGGTTGATTATCCAGGGTTTACATTACCCCGAGCAGGCCCTCGGTCGTCCTCAGTGATTGGAGACAGCGTGTTTCTCCCTGTTCGATGGTAAACTTGAAAGCACAAAGCTTGCCGAGCACGGAATTCTCCACGAGACTGCATACAAAACAAGAAACATGCAAAGTAAACTCGAGCCCTAAGCTCACTCTGAGGGGCCCGCTGCGATCAAGATTCTTCAGCTTTTCAAGACATGGTTGGATTTCATCAGGCGTCCTAAGCAGTGCATCGAAACCACATTGTAACGACTGGAACAGTAGACAGGACGCATCCTAGGTCCTCCAGTAGAGAGGTTAGAATAAGGGTACCCTTTTTCTGTAGTCTATTTTAATAGGGGATGCAGTCGGGGAACCCTCCCGTAGAAAAGGGTAAATGGGCACAACTGGGGTCCTAGACAAGCCTGCACGAACAGCCCTGGGAACACCTTTTGCCTGGAAGAGATGCGAAAAGAAACCAACTGGGGGGGGGTCTGCGGTGAACCTTCGACCGCCAAGGCGCCACGGGACCGTTGGGGCCATTCGGAAAGACCTGCCCAGAGCGTGAGAGCGCGAGAAAGGCGAAGGAGAATGCCATGCGGCGTGCTCCTAATCCCAGACAATCCACGTAGGTAATATTTTCCAACATGTGACCCATGTTGAAAGTAAATGTGGGTATATATGACTTACGTAGATTGTCTGGGAATGCCAAATACCTAAACTCTCCATCGCCTTTTTGACATGGGGTAGTTGTTCCCATCAATTGCAGCAATGGCTGCAGGTGCAAAGGGTCAGGGAGATTTCAGGTATGGGATTGTTTCCAAATGGGAATCGAAACCAAATTGCGGTTCTCCTTTGAGGGTTTAGGTTTTAGGGCTTGAAGTGCAGAACACTCAGCGTCCGCTTCCAACTTGGCATTCACTTCAAGCTTTTGTTTTTTCTGTGTGGCGTCCTGAGACCTGAGGGGCGGCCACCATGTGGCAAGCCTCCGGGCGTCCCTTAAAAGGCCACGGATTTGCCAAGATTGAAACGAACAAAGCTTGTCAGCTTGGGGACATTGACCTGCTCCATACCCGATTTGAGTGATCCAAATCCACCATTCACGGTCTTTTCCCTGGACAAACACAAGAGGAAAACAATCATGGCATGATCAAACCAGCAGCGGAACACCTGACAAGGAGGCTTCCAACATCTACCGCTGGCAGCCTCACACACTGGAACATGAACTGATAGCATGTCCCAAGACACCGTCGCAACGTCGTCTTCCTGGGGCATTCAGTGAGGTTCCATGCGGGAATGGTCGTTTCGCAGCCGCTCTTCCCTATTCCTCCAATAGAGAGCTTAGAATAAGGGTATCGTTTTTCTGTAGTCTAGTGGGGGAACCCTCCCCCAAAAAAGGGGTGAAAGGGCACCTAGCTGGGGAGCCTAGCTTGGCTTGGTTTCTATGGACTGGCTCCAAGGTTCATTCCATGTCCAAATCCTAAGCAAACCCAGTTGCCCAGCGAACCTTTCGCGCTCAGATGTTCTTTCCCGACTTACATTCAGCAACCCTTCCCAGGGCTGCGGATGGTTCCCACCAAATCCAGCTCGACGTCGCAACTGCTCAGCGCAACTCACTTCCAACAAAAGTCCAAACCGTGTGTTTACCACCCAACCAGTTTTTTTCCAAGAAGTTTTAAGTCCAGACACTCAACAAGTGAGGCAATTGCAGTGCAAAGTATATGGTCAGGCAGTTCCAGCTCGCAAGTCGCAACTTTCAGCACACCAAGTACACTTTGGCCGCTCCACCTCGAAACTTGTCCAACTTTCCAGCGCAGCTCTCCTACCTGTGCCCTGGGATTCCGTTGCCACCATCAAAACAACGGGGGCTCATGTAACCACCATCGATTCCCTAAATATTATCATTTTCTTCTAATGGGAATCGGTTGAACCCTAGGGTGTGGGCTTCCTGAAGATGGGACAACCTGGACCCATGGACCGATTGCCAAGTTGTCCGCCTTCCCGCACAAAAAGTGGGGCAAGGCTGGGAAAACGTAGGAATCGGTCCTTTGGTGGTCAAGGCAATGTGGGGTGTGCCTGTCTTTTTGGAGTTGGTGCCCCTTTTCAGGTTGGTTTTAGCGGGAAGCCAACAGGAACACCTGTACTAACTTCTTTCGCTTTGTTTTGGAAAGATGCTCTGGCGCTCGCTTCCTGAGCTGATGCAAAGTGGTTGGTTTTGCACGGACCTGGAGTCTCCACGACCCTTTAAGAAACAGGTTGACCGACCATTATTTAGGGTACTGACCAACCATCTTAAGGGTCAGAAGGAGACTCCAGGGACCCAAAAAGTTCAAAGCCCCACACGGAACTCGGGGAGTGAGGCTGATGTCAGCCCCGAAACCCCGGGAAAACCCCCCCAGAGGAAGCCGCCTCCACTTCGAAGAGCTGCGGCTTCTCCGTGGAAGCCTCTGGAGTGCAAGGGACGGCAATGGCCACCATGGACCGATGGACCTACCTGGAGTCATGACCCGAAGTACAACTAGGTCCATGACCAACCGCCTTTTTAAGGTGATGAGCAACCATTTTTAAAGGGTCAGAAGGAGACTCTAGGTATCCCTGTGTTGTGCCTCACCACTTTTTATGGGTCAGTTCACCAGAGACAAGAAATCGGTCAACAAAGGGGGTCCAGGTAAAACCTGTGGCCCACAGAAAGTTGAATGGTCCGGTTGTAAGTAATCTGGTTGATGAATAATCCCCTGGTGGATGGAAAAGCCGAACAATGCCCTCGCAGCCTCTTGATTGGAGCTTTGTGTCACTTTTATTTTCTTAATTGGAACTCCTTGTTGGTGGGAGGGTAGCCCAAACCAAGCCCATTGATCCACAAAAAGTGTTTCACGACACCTGATGGACCCTTAGCAGTTGGTACTTGAATCAAGGAAGCGTCACCCCTTTCAAGCCACGCACCTTGGATGTAGGGCTCACCAAGGGCTCACCAAAGAACAATTTCAAGCCACCCACATTGGCTGTAGGGCTAGGATGCAGGGTCCCACTTTTTCTTGGACAATTTATGTGGGCTCACCAAGGGCTCAAGAACCAAACAGGATGCAGGGTCCCACTAGGAGGATGTAGGGCTCACCAAGGATCCAGGCCTCAGGGCAGCCCAAAAACTCCCCGAGAGTTGTCCGAACGAGGGCAACCGCTTTTGACGTCTTCAATGAACCCCAGACGTCCTTTTTATGCTTATCTCGAACTTTCCTTTGGAAAAAAAACACAACACACACACACAAAAAAAAGCAAAACAACAGAGAGGGGGGAAGATATCTACGCGATTCATGCATTGCAGGGTGAGCATCTTGACAGGCCAACGCGCCAACGCTTCACCTCAAGCATCCATGTGACTGCCGGCCATAGGTCATCACATGGCAGTAAACCCTGCCTGAAAGGGACCCGAAGCACCTGCCTTCCCAAGGCAGAAGGCACCACGTTAGTGGGGGTGAGGGTTCCATTTATGATAACTCCAAAGCTTGAATTCAGGAATCCCCAAAACAAGAACTTACATCCTAGGCTCGCTTTACCCCAAGTGAGCTCGTCATGAAACAGGCAAAGGACCATTCAAAAAAAGGAGAAAAAAAACACGATCTGGAGTGGCTCACTGACGACCTTCCTTGTGAACGTGTCCACCCCATAAACTCAACTGCTTCTTCTCTTTGCATGGTCCCTACCTGTGAAATCGTGGCCCAGATTTCGACTCCCATCCGCCACAGGTGGATGCGTTGGTCTCACGTCAAGGCTGGCCCGCCCGAAGCCCCGGATCCGCCCCGCAGCTGCCTCAGGGGAGGCACCTGGGTGTGATTTGGTCTGCAAGTCTGAACCACTGGCCGAAATCGGACATGGGAACCTAGAGTCTCCATGACCCCTAGAAAAAGCGGTCATAACCCCTTAATTTCGCGGAATGAATCTATTCTTAAAGGGTCATGGAGACTCCAGGAAGCGGGAATTGTTCGGCACCGGAAAGGGGAAATCCAGTTATTGGCAGTACTTATGTTCGCACCATGATGCAGGGAGATCGAACCATTCCAGTTGTTCTTTTTTTAGGAGGTGCAGGATTTGGTCCATCCACACCATGGCCCACATACTTCTCCCCAAAAGCAACTGCAGCCCATGTGGTGGAAGGGGGTGCCTCAGGTTATCGGACTGCAGTCCGCAGCAACGCTGGCAGGCTTCAACGGTTTAAACCTAGAGTCTCCATGACCTTTTAAAAATGGTTGGTCATTACCCAAAATTAAGCGGTTACTGTGGATGGACGAAATCCTGCACCACTTGGAAGCCATGAGAAACCATTGATTGTTGGTATTCACAAGAAAATCATTATTCCAAGCTTTCTTAAGTGCTGCAGGATTTCGTCCATGAGACTCCAGGTATAATCATGTATAATCATATTTCCACTTAGATGGTTTGGGACGAATCACTATTGTACATGGCTAGCAACCCTGGTTGCGGGGGACTTACAACCATTGCTTTGGCGGGCAACCAAAGCGAAGCGCAATTTAGCGGTTCAACTCTCGGACCATTTAAGCAGTCGCTTGGGACATGCGCCCGATTCGAGCAGATCGACTTGCGTGATGCGGCTGCTCCTCTGCCGAACTGAGGGCCAGGGCCCTTTTCCGAGGAATCTCAACCTGCGAAGACCTGTCCACTTCTCCAATTCTAGTTGCAGCCAACAATATGAATTCAAGCAAATGTACGTTTCAGCAAATATGTCTAGGTCCTCCAGTAGAGAGGTTAGAATAAGAGTACCCTTTTTGTTGTAATCTATTTTAGTGGGGGAACCCTCCCCGAAAAAAAGTAAAAGGGCACTAGTTTCGTTTAAGCATTATTTTCAATCATCGCTGGTTCCAGCAAATGGCCCACTTCCCCTGAGGAAATTGCCCCATGCAAGCTCTCAGGACGACCCAAAGGACCAAATTTGGAGTTGCGAGTTCGCAGGTAGCCAGCAAGGTTCCACTTAGCGCAACTCAGTTTGGGGATTCCTATGTTTTGACCTACGGCCAAATAAGCTGGGTGAATCATGACGCCAACCGGAACGCAAAGTTGGTCGTGAGGTGCAAGTAGATATCACAGTAGATCCCAGTTGTTATTCTCATCATATACATGTTTATAGATAATAGGCAACCAATGGAAACCACCATGTCGATCCTAGAGGCACACAATCCTGGCTGCCATACTTCCATCTGCTTAAGCCCCCTGGAAAAAAAAAAACATAAAATATTTCCAGTAGCCATAGATTCCCTGTAAGACCAGCAAGGAAAAAAAACAGGCTCTTAAGCAAATGCCTGCCATCGTGGAAACCGGATCCACTAACATATTGCCCATCATCCCAAACTCGCTGGCCAAGATGCTGTAGCCATCCTGCGAGCAACGGCGGAGGACCATAGGTGTGGTTGGGCAATGGGATGTCGAAACTCGAAGTCTTTTCACATGTGTACTTGCAGGGGCAGGGTACGTCAGGGAGGTGGTCAGTAAGCCTGGTTGTAACCCAGCTAGGAGACTTGTAACCATGGCTTTTGTGGGTGATAATCATGGTTACTAACCACTTACTAAGTACCTTGACCCTGCAAGTAGGTCGACTTGACTCGGATTTTCAATGTGAGGGACCCCCGAGTCACTCCCCTCCACCTCTATACCCGCTCAATTTGCCTTGAACACCGATGACGCCACCCCCTCCACCCCTCATTTGTCCCTCATGAACCCAAAAACACGCGTTCCCCCCCCCAACCCCACCTGCACTTGCCAGGCCCCCGCCCCCAACCCCAACCCCACCCCGAACCCCCCCCACCCCCAACCGCCCCCCCCCCCCACCCTTGAATCACCCCACTCACCCGGCCTCGTAGTGGAAAGCCTCCGGCTCCACTGCGCTGTCCGCGCCAAAGGACAACGCCAGCTTGGCGCTTTTGCACACGCGGCGCTGGCGGGGCGCGAGCGAATGCTACGCTGTTCAGCGAACGGCTTAAAGGGAAACCAAAACGAAGATCCCACAAGTAGGGGTGCTCCTGCACCGGCACGTATCCGTGTTTCTCACGCACCCCACGCCCTTGCTCAAAAGGAAACTTAGTTTGTCTTCCAAAATAAGTTCTTGAAATTCCAGATCTGTTGGTGGGAGGCCACCAAAATAAATTCTGGGGAAACAACCATAGTTTTCTATCTCTCATAATCCCTTCCACCTGATACAAGAAAAGGCGCCCCAAAACCACAAATCGTTGCGGCCCCACGTCCCTTCCTTGTCGGTCCCCTTCTGCTCCCAGACAGGCTCCACCCTTGGTCCCGGCTCCCTCAGCCACTAGGGTCAGCGGGATATATTTGTTTGACTTTCGCGATTGTTTTAGAAGTGGTCTGTTCTAAAATTCGTACTGGCCACTGGAGTCACTTGCTCAAAACCTGGTACTAAAAATGGTGAACCAGGCGGCCGCACCTATTTATAGCTGGGATTGTCCCTTACTAACCTTCTACCCGGGTTTTGATTGAGGCTCACTTTGGGGTGTGGCTTAAAACCATGTCTTATTGGATGCCTTCTAGGGTGAAGTGTGTGGACTGGCGGGTTGTGTGCTTTGTTCTGAGTTTGTTTGCATTTTTTCCAAAGGGGACCGATTTTGCTTTGCGCCCACAATGCAGCTTCAGATTTTACTGGTTGCAAACAGTTTGGGGGAGACCATTTTAGGGGGAGTCGAGCAGTTCCTGGACTTTGATTTACCAATCCATGCAGGAAGCGCCCACCCACCCACCGAACCAACGAACCAACCCAGGCAGCCCAACCAAACCAACCAACCAACCAACCAGCCAGCCAGCCAGCCAGCCAGCCAACCAACCCACCAATCAACCAACCAATCCACCAACCCAACCAATCCAACCAACCCAGCCAAACCAATCCAATCCAATCCTGTTCCCATCCAACCTGGCCTGTCCAAGCTGATTCCCTGCTATACGTGAATAACTTGAAGTGGGTTACATACGGAAACCCAACCACCAAGCCAACACTGAAAGCATCTAAACACCAAAGGAACCGGATTCGCTGGTTCCGAACCGCCAAGGGAGGCATCTGCAAAGCTCACTGTCCTTCCAAAAAACTGACTTGACAAGCGGATCTGCAAGTAAGGGACTTCCTATCGTGGCTTTCGCTCGCTCGCTATACCCCCCCGTTTCCAGGTGAGCTCGCTATAGAAAAAACAAAGACACAACAAACACAACAACCTTCAAACGCTTAACCGTTACCCTACACCAAACCTGCACCGACCTGAAGCCAAAACCAGCAGATGATCATGGACTCCACTTTTTGCGAGTTCCCTTCGCGCCTGCACTTCTTCGGGCGCCAGCCACTTGCCACGGGTCCACCTGGCCAAGCGAAACCATGGCCGCGTTGTTTGCCGGCGAAGGAGGAGGGAAAAACCGAGGGCTCCAATGGATTGCGTCAACCTACTCCAAACACCCACTTTTTCTAGGGTATTTCTTGGAAAACTGTTTTTTTTCCTTTTTTTCTCCAAGGTAAATGCCTCCTTTTTTAGTAGAGGGTCGACATCATACCATAAAAGCGGGCACCTGTGCGCCTTTTTGGGGCATGTCTCAACAAGGACCCCCCCCCCCAACGTCTTCTGGTCTTAAATTCTGGGGTTGTATTCATGACCCCATTCCCGGCCTGAGCCCGGCACTCACCTCCCATCAAGGTCTTCATGTGTGTTGGCTTTCTGTAATACTGTGGACCACATCCATTTCGCACCTAAGAAACCACGGCCGCAACCATGGCCTTTGCCGGGGAATCGAATCACTTTCCAAGGTTTCTGAGTTCGGTGAAACGTTGCATGGACTTCGCGAAATCCACAGTCTCTCTCAAGGAAGCGGGCCAAAAAGGAACACCTGGGCCCTCTTGCTTCTCGAGGGGATTCCAAGGCACAAATGCATCAAATGGGTGGCTCGTCTTTTGTACGGAACCTGAGAGGTGGGAAATTGAGTGAGTGCTCCCAATGTTTTTTCTAAAATCGGGGGGTCTGCTTTTGAGGGCGTTCTTTTGTTGCAAAGGGAAACCAAAAGGACAACCGAAGCCGTTTGGTCGTTGAAAGGGGAGGCAAACGGAAACGCGAATTGGGGGGGGGGGGGGCCTAAAACAAACAGCACCCATATGTGCCATGGCGCACCCGTCACTTTCGGCTAACAAACAAATGTCGTCTCCTAAGAATCCTTACCCATGATTCCCAAGGGTGCCATGACCCAATCGGCAAAAAAAAACAAAACACCCAACTGAACCACCATACATATATATATATATATCTATGTATGGTACCCCCAGCCATTGGACCCACACTTGGAAATTTCAAGAATTTAACTTTTGAGATTCTAGCTTTACCATCCCCGAAAGGCAGTAACACCGGGGTCCATGGGGGGCGGTTGCATATATAAAAATATATAGAACCCCCTTCTCCTATGGACCCTGGTTTTACTGCGCCCAAATTCCATGGGGGTACCATATATATATATATTATATATATATATACGTTGGAAAGAAAGAACACAACTAAACCATGACCTAAAATAAAGGCTGGTCATGGACTTATATTTATTTCGGGTCAGAAGGAGACTCTAGGTACATGAACAAAATGTAAAATGGCTCAAAATCCAAATTGTACTGCCAGTGAACATCCCAATCCAACCACTAAAATAGGTTCTAAAATGGGTGGTGAATTCACCTGCTGAACCATCCAAACCAAAACTCTCCCACTTGCCCAAGATCCGAATCTTCCCAATTTACCACAAGACCCTCCCCCCCACCTCCCACCTCCCCCCGCCACCCTCCTCGGGGCCCCGGGCAGCGGCTGCATCTCCGGCACTGCGGCGATGGCGTTGGAGAGCCACTCCTGTGCCCCAAAAAGTCCCACGACACGAGGAAAACCCGCGGTGGCCATTGTTTTTTTTTGGCTGTTTGTTTCTCGAAAACGTCGAAGAACGTCCAAAAAACCAAGGTAAGAAAAGCAAAACACGTTGAACACCAGGGTAAAATGTGATTTTTCACGAGGAAGACCGCCGGTGGCCATGGGGGAACATATGAAACACGCCGAAAGCCGGGCGAACAATGTGTTTTGTTTTCACATGCAACCAACCATCTAAGGTAAGATGATGTTTTTGTTTTATTCTCCGCACTTTTCGTTGAAAGGAGACTTGGAGGGGAACGGCGGCCCGCGTCGATTGCAAAAAACAAAGCGAGAAATGGGCACCCCATGGGGTTTCGGACATATTTTTGAGACGTGGGGGGCCAAAAAGGAGAAAGGAGCCGGGGCGTCGCCTTTTCACTTGAGCGTTGACACAGGCTTCTAAAGCCAACAAACCTCACGTCCGATCGAGTGAATTGGCCCACAAAACGTCCATGCAGAAGCTGTTCATTTACCACTTCCTGGAATGCAAGAAGTAATAAACTCTGTTGTTGACTGGCCTGCTGAGTCATGCTGAGAACAACCTAAATATATTGGGCCTAGACTAAAATCATGGCAACGGAATCTTTGAAGCTTGATTGAAGTTTGACTTTACTAACTCTCTCAGCAAGGTGACTTGTAATGCAAAACCTACTATATCAGAGAACTCTATACCCAAACCATGCTAGGTCGTCCACTAGAGAGCTTAGAGTGAGGGTACTAACTTTTTTGCTTCTGTAATCTATTTTAGTAGGGGGCCCTCCTAACCAAAAAAGAGGTGAGAAAGGGCACCTAGCTGGGGGTCCTAGCATGTAAATCTGCTCATCGGGTGATATCCGCACAAATATTGCTCGTGTGCCTCTGCCACGGTCGCATGCTCCGGGAACTTCCGGGAGAAGGCTTCCATCCTGAGCGTCCGGGGTTCTCACTGAAAAAAACCAAACCGGAGAAATGTTTGATCAGAATACTTTTGGGCTCACCACAACGAAGCCTTGGGATTATTTGTTCACACACGGCTCCGCAGTTTCCCGATGGTTGGGGGAGGAGTTCTGCTCGGTTTACTTGCCCAGGCCGGCGGCTCCAACTCAGCCCAGTCCCCACTGGTTTTGCTGGGTGAAAACCTTCATTTGATTCAGGTGTCACTGCATTTCCGCAAAAAAAAAGTTGAAATCAACAAAAACTCGGTGGATTCCATTGAAACGATCGCCACTTTTGGAGGGTCCAAAAGAGGACATGGCTCAGAAACCGTCAAAACCTGACTTCCGATCGAGTGGATTAGCCAACAAAGTAACCAAGCTTGTTGTTTGCTACTCAAATAGTCTTCCCAAAAAGTTCAAAGTCCATGAACTCAGGGAGTGAGGTTCTCACTTTTGGAAACATTGGAAGACCAGGTGAAAACGATTGGACGAATCAAGAACTTCAGTTGCAACCAGCCCGAATGGAAGCTGCGCGCACCTCTGCAGACACTGCGGCCAACCATCAGTAGGGCCCCTTTTTGGTTGACACCTTTGTGTTTTTCTACCGACATTTCTCGGGGGAGTGATAAAACAAGTTGTCCAACACGTTAGTCCAAACGACCCGAATGAGTCACACAGGCACCCTATTAATATTCACATCCATATGGCGCCACTATAAATTTCATTTGCAAATGTGGCACGCCCAGTATTTATCGTACTTGAAGTTCGGTACGTCAGGTAAGTGTTCAGTAAGCCTGGTGAAATAAGCCACTGAACGGAGACTTATTTCACCATGGCTTTGTTGGGGTATAACGCTGGTTCTAAGAACCCGAACATCCTTGCAAATATGGCGCCACTAGGAATTTCATTCCGGAAGCCCCTCAAAATGGCTTGACGAACATTAATCTCCGCGATGAAGTCCACCAAAAGGGTCCCCAATTGAATTCACGCCCATATGAAGGCTGACCAAAAACATAAGAAACCAGGCTAAACACCAGCAGAACAACAGCTACACAAGAAAAGGAGAATCCCACCAGGGGGAAATGATACATCCGCCAAAACAAAACGTGTCAGGCCTAATTGATTAGAACGGGGAGTGCGGTACTTGAAAACCAATTTGCGTCACAATCTCAGGGGCCGATTCTTTGTAGCAACTCGTGGCTCCAGGGATCCTCAATCCACGCCTTTTCAAGGATTTCGATCCTCTAACTCATAGGTATTATTTTGGAAATATAGATGGCGCTGGTATATGGAATAAAACTATCTTATCGATGTTCAATCAAACTCGCATGAAAAGGACACCTATGCTCCAAATCTGGACTGGCCCGCGTTGGGTTGATTTTACGATTTTACTTTTGGAATCTCATCCAGAAAATAGGTGCCAGCGGGGTGGGTACTTGAGAGCCCTTTTCGGGCTTGGGGGTCCCTATAAGGTTCCTTAAAGAGTCTCAGGGAACCCCCCATTGGACCAGGGAAAGTCCCTCCAGAACTGGGCTGTCCTCAGATCCCCCCGCCTAAACAATTAACTCTAAGTGGGTTAAGTGGAAAACCCCCACTAAACGCCAAAAGGCTAAAAAGCTAAGGAACCGGATGGCCTTCGGGAGCCACCAAGAAAAAAAACAGTCCCTGCACGTAGCCCAGTGGCTGTCACGCAACTTTTGTGGCCAAAGGGCACCGGCTCGTCCGGCAGCTTCCACAGCCGGAACTCATACCTGGCGGGCGTTGGCCTGTATTCTTAAAATACCTAGGTCCCCCAGCTAGGTGCCCTTTCTCACCGTTTCTTTTTGGTTGGGAGGGTTCCCGTGCTAACATAGACTACAGAAAAAAAGGGTACCCTGATTCTAACCTCTACTGGAGGACCTAGATACTGTGGATGGACGACATCCTGCACCACTTTGAAACCATGGTTGAAGCGTTGTTCGTTGGTATTTACAGGGGAATCATTCCAGGGTTTCTTGGGTGATGCAGGATTTCGTCCATCCACAGTAGGAATCGGAATCTCTCCAAAATGGCGCAACGGTGTCCCTTTGGTGTCCCTTTAAACCGAAACATGGGGCTGCCTAAAAAAAGATGCGTACCTATTTTGGAATCCACGTGAATCCCAAAAGGGTCATTCTCCTTTTCTGGGAAACACCTTGTTGGGCCATGCATAGTGCTTTTCCTTTTCAGAAGTGGTGGTCCCCTTGGCTGCATAAGGGAAATGATATCACAGGGTTTGCGCCTCAATACCACAAATCTCAAGTACGGGGGTACGGGGGTCACAAACAAAAACTGGGAGGTGTTCTGCCGTGGAAGTACAGGTTTGGGCGTGGTCGAAAATAACCCTCTCCGTGGTAAGTCCCATGACTACTTTGTCACTTTGAAGGGGATTCCCTTGGCAGCTCACAGAAATTGGCAACCTAAAGCGCGCTGTTTCCGCAAACCACCAAGGAATCAAGCAATCCAGTAACCCAGCAACCCAGCAACCCAGCAACCCAGCAACCCAGCAACCCAGCAACCAACCAACCCAGCAACCAACCAACCAACCAACCAACCAACCAACCAACCAACCAACCAACCAACCAACCAACCAACCAACCAACCAACCAACCAACCAACCAACCAACCAACCAACCAACCATCCAACCATCCAACCATCCAACCATCCAACCATCCAACCATCCAACCATCCAACCATCCAACCATCCAACCATCCAACCATCCAACCATCCAACCATCCAACCATCCAACCATCCAACCATCCAACCATCCCAACAACCAATTAACCAACCAACTAACCAACCAACCAACCCCACCAACCAACCCACCAACCCACCACCACCAACCCACCAACCCACCAACCCACCCACCCACCCACCAATCAACCCACCAACCCACCAACCCACCAACCCACCAACCCACCAACCCACCCACACCCACCCACCCACCCACCCACCCACCCACCAACCAACCAACCCACCAACCCACCAACCCACCAACCCATTAACCAAGCAACCCACCAACCCACCAACCCACCAAGCCACGAACCCACCAACCCACCAACCCACCAACCCACCAACCAACCAACCAACCAACCAACCAACCAACCAACCACAAACCACCTGAAACCACGAACCACAAACCAACCAGAAAACCGGTCAGAAGGAATCCGCACGCTTGAGACCTCGCCTGAGCCCGGCGAAGCGGTAGCGCTCCCGGCTCGGCGCGCGCTCCACCAGCGCCTGGAGTTCCCGGGCTTCGGGTTGTTTTAAACAGAAACCCTATTAATTGAACTGGGGTTGACTCGTATGGGGTTAGCAAAATTCATGAACTGGGGTCAACTGGGGTTGATTAGTATTAATGAACTGGGGTTGATTAGTATGGGGTTAGCACTAGGGGGATTTACCCTGGCCTACAATTCATAGATGTCCAACTCATATAGCAACATACTGAGCTGTTCCCAGATCCTCTGCTAACAGTTTAAGTATTGGTTGCCATCATTTTAGTGTAGAAACCTGGAGTTGAGGGTAGGTGCTTAGGGCGCCCTTATTTCAGGCCTAGGAATTGTAGAATTTTCGCGGATTCTCTTTTGAGGTTGAGTCGGGAGTGGATTCCAGCAAGGAAACAGGAAAGGCTTGATGTGGCTGGGGCAAAATTAAACAGGCGAGCAAAAAAAACCGCCAGGTTTTGGCCACCACGTTTCCCACTTCCCAAGGCAACCCATTTTGGAATGCCGGTTTTTTGAATTCGCCACCGCCATTTAGCCAGGGCTTCATTTCGCTAAACCATCGAAAGTGAAAACCTCAAAGTGGCGTAAGATCATACCCTACACATAACCCACTTGGAAGGCTTGCCTTTTGACCCCCGAATCCTTTAAAAGCAGTCTTGAAGCACAGAACAAACACGGTGATTGTTTTGCATGGAAGAAGTGGGCCTGATTTCTGATTTGGGATCATCCACATCAGAGTTTATTCCCTTCAAAGCATGTTGAAGCTTGGCAAATATTCCCAGTTAAGTGACGTACGATAAATTTACCCTACACATAACCCACTTGGGAGACTTGCTTATAGGCAATATATGGGCGTGAATTTTAACAAGGGACGTGTGGGTGGACATCATTGAGCTAGGGGTCAATGCTGGTGGCCACTTTTGAAGTGGTTCCAATGTCCAATTCTTGAAACTCATGGCCATATACCTGGGCGGTCGCAGAACCCCAGCGAACAGTGCAACACTCAGCGGTCTAGTGGAATCTAACGCTACACCCTGAACACCCCAAAAGCCCAAGATGGCCGGGAACTACCAAACAATGGGGAGCCCCTAACCCCCCTGCTTGTTTAAACATGGGGACCATCATTGTGGTGCAAGGCAACGTCAAGATGAAACCCGTGGCATCCAACTGAAAAAAATATTCAGCCAGACTCACGCAAAAGGACACAAAAGCGCGCTGGTGTGTGGTCCTTTTTTTTAGAAATCCAGGGAGTCACAGCCCACAGAAATGGCTTGGCCGAGATGAAGAAGGCTTTTGTGAGGAACGGTTGCTGTTGCCTCCTCTGCGAAAAATGAATGACCTTTCGTAGGTCCGATGGAGCTTTCCCAAAGATCCAACCAAATAGCCAGACAGCTATCTCAAAACGCTCAAAATGGGTTGACCCGAAACAAGACGAGTCAGCCACCCATGCCGCAAATTCCAACCAGCATGAAATAAGAGAGCGCCAGGTTATCAGGACTTTGACTTTCGATCGTTTCCCCCATTGAGCAAGATATACGCCTACGCGGACCCTCAAAATACCTTTCAACCTTTTGTTTTAACCAACAAATATGCTTAACCCTCAAAAGACCTTTAAACACATTGGTGCTTGCAACCAACATTTTTGGTTGGTGCATTCTCTGTTTTAATGGCCGGTTTAATGGTCCAGGTATCGACTCTCCAAAAACCCAGGCCGGGCCCAAGTTCAGCAACCCCAAATCCTCATGCCGGCTCCGACCGGTCTTCTTTGTTCTTTTTCGGACCTGAGCCCCGAAAAACCCGGAGAACAAAACGGGTCCCTTAAGAGGTCCCCCCCAACGAGCGGGTCGAGGGGTCGATCGCCATCGGAAGGGATTCGAGCTTCGACGCTGGGCCACCCGGGCCCAAAGGAGGCAAGCGTTCACATCCACCTGGCCCGCACAATGACGGGCGCCCTTTTTGGAAGGACACCCTTTGGCGAGATGGATGGAACCGATGGACAAGGCAGCGCTTTTTGGAAGGAAACCCTGCGAGATGGATGGAACCCTAATGGGGAAAAACAGGGCATCCTTTTTCGGTTGGTTGAGGTTAAAGGGGAAGCCTTCCTAAATAAAAGGGAAAGAAGGGGCGGAATCCACTGCACTGGTTGCAACTGGGTGGAGCCAGCCATTTTAGGGTTCCCCCCTGTATTTTCCTATTTTTACACAAATGGTAAACCCATATCAAACATCGGGATGGATCAAAACCGCGTGGAATACTGCGAGAAGCCACCTGCCAACTGATGTGCAGTGGATTTGGTCCATCTATAAATAGATGGAACCCAAATGGAGGGACGAGCCACTCATATGGGGTGTCTTTTTCTCAGTCGGTAAGCTTTTGGCGATGGGGGAAACCCAACAGTAAATGGGTACCCCTTTTGGAAGGAAACACGTGGGAAAACAACCTCGCCTGTTTCTGGCGGGTTTCCCCATTTTGAGACAAACCCATACTGTGGATGGTTGCGAAATCCATGCAACGCACCACCTAAGAAACCATGGCTGAAACCATTCTGTTTGTTAGAGGGTCGAATCATTCCAGGGTTTCTGAATAGTGCGAAATGGTTTTCGCAACCATCCCACAGTATCTGCATTTTTCCATGACGCCATATTATGGCTGAAACCATTACGTGTTTTTTTTCTTGGGGGGTCGAATTATTGCAGGGTATCTGAATATCTGATTTGTTTGCCATATGTCCACGCCTGAAATAAGAATTCTAGATCCCCAGGTAAAGGATCTTTACCATGGCATTCGCTCGTTTTACGGATCGGTGAGCTCGGATGTAAGGCAAACAGTATCCATCCAGAAGCACTCCAATCAATTCAAAAACTTACTGGTGCGATAGGTCGGGAATGACCCCGGAAACGGGTGTTGGGAATGAACCGGATTTGGATGCATTCCGGAATCAAAGAAACCATAGGATGGATGGATTTTCTCGCGGAAATTCCAAGTCATTCTCTGCGGAAACAAACAAGACAAATCCAGTTCTGTAAAATCAACTGGCGCAGTTTTCCCAGTTTGGCTTCTCCTTTCCTTACCCACAAGGAATTGTGGCATCTACTTTCAGCCATGTCTGTGTGTTAACTGAGGGATTTTGCATCATGCTCCGGCGTCCTGCTCGAAATCCAACTTCTTGGCTACTGAGCACTGCACCCAAATCTTCAGTAAGACTCGGCCCTTGTGATACCTTTCAGCGCCAGGGTTGCCAACCCAAAGTTCTACAAGCACATCAACCACAGTCACCAAAACATGGCTTGAAACCATGGAGTTTATGTTGGTCGTTTGAAAACTCATGTCGGTGGGTGGTTTCAAACACCACCCCAAAAAAGGTACCCTAACCTCAAAAAGTCAAGCACACAAACAGCAACGCCTCCATTTAGGCGCGATGAACACCTCAGTTGCCCAAAGGACCCAGAAATAAAAGGTCAACCTTTTGGGACCTTTACTAAAAATGGACCAAAAAGGGGAAAACCAAAAGGTCAAAAGGTCGGCTTTGGGCAAGTGAGAAACGGGAACTCGAGTGCGCCCCAAGGCCCCAAAGGAGACGTCACTTAGCGAAACGAGCGCCGCGCCTGGGGAAAGACCTCCTGGAACTCCGGGAGAGCCAAGACCTAACGATCCGATGGACAAATCCAGAGATGACTCAGATTCCCAGTGGATATGGGAAAAAAACAGGGCATCCTTTTTCGGTTGGTTGAGGTTAAAGGGGAGACCTTGCTAAAAAAAATGCAAAAAGGGGCGGAATCCACTGGTTGCAACTGGGTGGAGCCAGCCATTTTAGGGTTCCCCCCTGATTTTTCTCATTTTGACACAGATGGTAAACCCATAGCAAACATCGGGATGGATCAAAAACCGCGTGGAATACTGCGAGAAGCCACCTGCCAACTGATGTGCAGTGGATTTGGTCCATCTATAAATAGATGGAACTCTGATATAAGAACGAGCCACCCATATGGGGTGTCTTTTTCTCAGTCGGTAAGCTTTTGGCGATGGGGGAAACCCAACAGTAAATGGGTACCCTTTTTGGAAGGAAACACGTGGGAAAACAATCTCGCCTGTTTCTGGCGGGTTTCCCCATTTTGAGACAAACCCATACTGTAGATGGACGAAATCCATGCAACGCACCACGTAAGAAACCGTGGCTGAATCATTACATTTCTTGGGTATGCACAGGGGGGTCGAATCATTCCAGGGTTTCTGAACAGTGGTGCGAAACGGATTCGCAACAATCTCACAGTTTCTGCAATGTTACCATATCCCAGACGCTCCAAGTACCTCACCAGGATGGCTTTCGGGGGGTAAAAAGGGGTCGTTCAGTACCTCCTTAGAAGGTACCAAGGCACCCTCTCTTTTTTTTTTAACCATGACTCCACATTACGGCTGAAACAATTACGTTTGTTGGGTTGTTTTCCTTGGGGGGTCAAATCATTCAGGGTATCTGATCTGAATTGTTTGCGTGAACATCCCAATCCCCACTAAAATAGTTCTAAAATGGGTGGTGAATTCACCTACCCCAAAATGGGATCCCATTTGTTTTGACCCACAGCCATATGTCAAAACCTGAAATAAGAATTAGATCCCCGCAAAATCTTTGCCATGGCATTCGCTCGTTTTACGGATCGGTGAGCTCGGATGGAAGGCAAAGAGTATCCATCCAGAGTAGCAGGGATCCTTACATGCAAAACACCTGAACATTGCAACTTGTAAATGGTGGTTTCCATTTCTTTATTTTGGTGTTGAAAACGCCATGTTTCAAATGGTTGCAAAATGGAGATCTTTTAAGGAGCCCTGAGTAGTTTGTGAAGCACTCCAATCAATTCAAACACTTACTGGAGCGATAGGTCGGGAATGACCCCGGAACCGGGTGTTGGGAATTCCCGAAAGGAAACCACGACTTGGATGGTTTTTCTCCGGGATCATGCCATTTTAGGCTGATTGCTTTTTCGCTCCTGTGAGATGTGTTTTCTTCTCCACTAGTGATAGATGTCCTTTACAACCAACAGGCGAACAAAACATATTCTTACCTGGACTGTCCTCAGATCCCCCGCGAAAAGTTTAACTGTTAGTGGGTTTTGGAAATCCAACCACTAAACACCAAAAGTGTAAAAAGCTAAGGAACCGGATGGCTGGGAATCACAAGTTAAGCAAGCGGAAGTTTCTCATTCCCCCCTGCCCCAAGGCGGCTTCCCCCGTTTCGCGACGTTTTCGGAGCGAGCCTCGCGGGGCACCACTGTGACGCTGTGCTGCCGGAACTGCAGCTGGCCCAGGTTCACGTTCACCTGACGTTCGGGCGAAAAAAGGGGCGGACCAAAAAAGGGCGGCCGGCTCGGCGGTTTTCTGTTTGATTGTTTTTTGTTTTTTTTTTTGGGGAGGGGGAGAAACCCCGGGAAAAGGGGCGGACACAACTTGCTGGCGCGAAATCGGTAGGGAATGCGAAATGGAATAAACCCGTTTTGGGATTCCCGATCGACTGCTTCGTGTGTTGGGCTCAAGGATCCATATCCCAAGGGTCCCTGCGCAAAGGAAACAGCGAAAGAAAAGTGTTCAACGACTCACTCCCTGAGTTCATGGAATTTAATCTGTTTGGGTTTGGACCAATTTTTGGCAGGAATCCTTCCCTACCGATTAGCCCCAAGAACTGCTTCAACTGGATTGTCCTTGTACCCAAATGGTTTTCCTTCAGGCTTCCGAGCACGAAACACTTCAACGAGGCCTTACCGAATTCAAGACTGCCCTTTTGTGCAGTATATTGTAGGTTTTCTTGGCTTGCTCGTTGCCCAGGTGCTACCGTGAGAATGAAAGTACTGTAAAACGTAGCTACTGCACAAGCTTGGTGTCAACCCGCGGTACATACTCTCCTTTACGGAGAGTTCGTGTGCTTTCAGACATCAGATCAATCACAATGACGAGAACCCAGCAAAATCGAGCAACACACTTTGGAAGGTGGGATTGTCCCTGGCAAAGCAGAAACCTATCCTTTGCTGAGGGCGTTGCTGCAAAGTTGGCTGGAGATTGGACATTGAAACCGGCCACTCCTAGGTGGCTTGCTATCCGTTGGTTTCAAAGGGAAATTGACATGCACTTGGCGCGCGTGGCACCTTCAGCAACTGCACGCAAGTGTGAGAAGCTGACATGTTCAACTGGCCGCATAAGATCCTGCAGTATTGCGCCAAAGGTGCAGTTGACATCCTGAACCAAAGCTGTCAGTCGTACCCTTCGAGGGAAGTGTGTTTGTGTTTTCTTCTGTTGATAGACGAATTGCCGCACAAGTTGGTAGGCGATGTTTACTATACTGTACATATATATATATATATAGGGTTTCATCCCATGCTTAACATGTCGTCCATCCACAGTATGTTGTGGAAGGCTTCCCCTCGAAACCGTTTTGAGACACCCTCAAACTGCCCTTATTAACACCCTTATTAACAAAAACAAATACACAAAAAGGCACATGACCCCGAAAATAATACATGGGTTGCATCACCCGATGTCTACGGGCACCTGGACTTTCAAAGGACCGAGTCCCCTTTTTTCTGCTCGAATATGATCTGTGAAGCAGCGGACTGGCAGAAAAAAAGGATTCGGTCCTGGGCTCCAGCTGGTTTTTCGGCTTCATTTGGGTGGGTTTGGATGGACAAAACCCAGTTTTGTTTTTGCTTTTTTGGTACTTTGGGTCTCCATTTCGAGACTTCGCCCAAAAAAACGGAAGCATCCCCAGCGCGCCTCCACGGGCGCAGAGGCTACGGAGGCGGAGAGCCACCGGGCGAAATCCTGACCCGGGACGCATCGGGCGTGCCCAGTTTGGGGCTGCCCGTTTTCAGATCCACCGCAAAAAGTTTAACTCCCAGAGGGTCCCTTGGTACTTCATGAGGATGGCTAAAAAGAGGGTAAAATGGGGTCGTTCAGTACCTCCTTAGAAGGTACTTGGACCCTTTGGGACTTTTAGTAGGTCGAATGGAAACTACCACTAAACATTAAAAGGCTAAACAGCCAAGGAACCGGATGGCTTGGAGCCACCAAGCAATACGAGGGGATCCCGTCACTGGCCTCAAGCGGCTAGCGGCTGCCTAGAGTCTCCTTCTGACCCTTTAATCAAAAATCAGTCCATGACCCCATCTAGGGTAATGACCAACCAGTTTTAAAGGGTCAGAAGGAGACTCTAGGTGGTGGAAACCATGGGTGAAACCAGAAGGTTTGTTGGTATTTGCAGGGGGAGTCAAATCATTCCAGGGTTGCTGAACGGTGCTGCAGGATTTCGATTTCAACCATCCACAGTAGGTCTATGGGCTACGCTGGCTGGGAGCCAGGGAGCCCTCCCCTTCATGTGCGATACGTTCCTATGGTTTTAGGGGTAAGTGTGGTTAGTGTACAATGTACTGTGGATGGCGCGAAATCAGAGACAGCACCATGGTGAATGAAACCATACGTTGGGGAATCGAATCAGAAACAAGGGTTTCTGAACGGTGGTGCAGGATTTCGTCCATTCACAGTAGAGCGTACTGTTGCTCTACTTAGGGTGTAACGTGACATAGGTCTCAATATTTTTGTTGTTCTGCAGTTCTTTGCCTGTTTGACGATGTTTCCAAAACCCGCAAAACCTGCAAGGCCTGGCTCAGGCAATGGTGCGGTGTCATTGCGCTGAGCAATCTGGGTCGCAGCCTAGGGACCTATGTATCTGCATCACGCGGGCCACTTCGGATTGAAGCTTTTTCTGGCATTCAATGTGCGCGCACAACTTGTGTCAGTTTGGGCCTTAACGATGCCTGCCTAGCTTTCACGGAACACTCAGCAGGGTGTCGCAGTCCGTGCATACACACGTGACTGTTTGTTTAAAGGAGCGTACTAGGGGCTAGGGTTCCTGTTGAGGACCATTTCCGGTCCACTGATTGGGGGGGCCCTCACAAGCGTAGGACCACCAACTGCCAAATCTGACGCATTGAATGCTGAAAACGAAAGATTGAAGCAGGTGTGGCAGATGGTTAACGACTGTTGTGGCTCATTTGTTTCAACCTTTTGACAAATTATCTCTTGTGAACGAACTTGAACAATTCAAGTCGAAAGGTCGATTCGCTCTGGGAAACTGAGAAAAAGGACCCCGCAAGGATGCCCAGTAAAGGGCCTTCATTCCGGGCGAGCTTAAGTTTCCCGAGGTCAGCGTTTTGTCTTATTTTCCAAAAAAGGTGCAAAAAAGGGCGGAATCCACTGGGCAACTTCTGCGGGCCCTTCCGCGGGCCCTTGCGTTTGGGCAGAATTCAAGTTCCTTCCGCCGGGCTGTCGAGATGTGTGTGATTCATCGTTTGCGCCCACCTCAAACATCCATAACGGCCATTGGGATTCCTCATGATTCCCACATCAGCATCAAGGGAATCGCACTGAAACTTGGCCATCTAAAAGCCCGCTTCCACAATTGGGAACCCCCAGCAAAAGAGCACAAATGAAGCCAATACGGGCTCCTGTTGGCCCTCAAATGCCAGATAAGTACAGGCACCCAAAAAAAAACTAGATACCCAAAAGAAACCTATGCATACTAAGAAACACCAGGGAATGAACTTGGGGATTTCCTTACAAGAAACCACAGGGGATGTATGGGGATGTGTTCTTCTCGGGGTCATTCCAACTCACTGCCTACCGAACCAGCAAGTACAGTGAGTGGCCCTCGAAATCCAGATTTCCCAAAAGAAACCAACATACTAAGAAACATAAGAAGAACAAAAAACAAGGCATCCCCCCACCCACAAAAAAACGGAACCAATATACTAACGAAACATACGCAACACAAACAAGACCAAAAAAGACACCATAATTTTGGGCGGTTTCAAAAGGAAGCCAACAAGAAAATCACCCATGTTGGCGGGTCCGACTCCTGAAACAAAAAGACCGGACACACCCATTTTGGCCCTTGGCTTCTTGGCTCGTGTGAAGCACCGCTTTTCCCTTTCTCGCCCTCGGCCTCGTCCGGGTCCACTTCCGCCGCCGGCAGCGGCGCCGAGGGCGAGGCGGCGAAGCGGCCTCGGCCGTCCCAGCTGTCCTCGAAGCAAAACTCGCGTCGTAAGAAATGCCCAGAAAGTCCATGTCCTGGAGGTGGATATGATAGGAGCTATTTTTATATATAAGAGGTATATGTTTATATGTGTAGATCCCCAGCAATGTTGGATCTTGGATCTTGGATCTTGGATCAGATTCCATACCCCAGACGGTCCCTTGCTACCTCATGAGGATGGCTTTTGGGGGGTAAAAAGGGGTCTAAGGTACTTGGACTCTGGGTTAATTTCCGGTATTAAGAAAACTACATACAGAAACCTGAATCCCGGTGTTCAGGTGTTAGGGGGGGGCATTGCTGGATCCAAGATTTCTCTCCAAAGTCCCCCACCAATCGTGGCTCTTGGATCTGAGATCCATATTCCTGAATACCGGGGATTAAGGAAATTGCATGACAGTGCCCATGTTTGAACATGGCTGGTTACATACACTGTGGCAGTTTTTAGTGTACCCGTTTTTGCGGTTTTGATTGGAAACCAAGAGGAGAATCAGCACTTTGGGGGTCCCCTACAAAACCACCCACCCACATGTAAAAAGGGGCTCCTACCTTTGAAAACAAACTGTATATTGGACGCACTTGCTATGTTTCGATCTACCTGGACCCTCAAACTACCCGATTGGGCAATATGGCCTAAGGATAGTTTGAGGGTACCAGCGTTGAGAAACTCTGGTTTCTGATTCGATTCTGCGTACACCCCAAACAATTGGTTTCAACAGTAGTTTCAGAGGTACCCGATCGCGCCTTTAAGTACCTCGACCCTCAAACTACCCCAACAAAAACACATGGAACTCACCCCAACCATCCTTTTGGGGCAATGACCCATTTTTAAGTTGAAACTTTCTCAGGGGTTTTGGGGCAACAACCCATTTTTAGGTTGAACACTTGGAGGGTCCAAGGTGGCGGCTCATCTTCAGACAGGCCGAACTTTCGGCCGCTCTGTCCTCCAGCTCCCACCACCTTCTCATGGCCACCTCGCGCGCGGGGCTGGACCTCACGGCGACCGTCGACCGTCTTCGCTTCCATGCCCAGAGGGTCCAACTTGGCACCAAGATTATGCTGAACGACGCCTTTTTGCCCCCCTTTTAAGCCAGCCTACCACTAACACTACTAATGCTGCTACTGCTACTACGACCCCTTTTTACCCTTGTAAGGAGGTAGATCTACACATCGAGGTTTTGTAGGTCACCTAGGGAGGCCAATGGGTTCACTTATGTCCTTTTGCGGGTATTCCAAAAGGGTTGTAAAACTAAGTGGGTTTTTAGAGGAAAACGAAAGCTACCCACTGTACAAATGGAGTCGCTGGAATGTTCCGTTTAGTTGTTAGAAAGAGCACCTACTATCTGAGAGGGTCCCTTGGTACCTTCTGAGGAGGTACTGAACGACCCCTTTTTACCCCCCCTTTCAAGCCATCCTCATGAGGTACCGACGGAGAGACCAACCAAAGGACCCCCCAAAAAAATTATGGATTCCGTGTTCTGCCACCCTCAAAGTCTCCTTCTGATCCGAAACAAATGGCTGGTCATTTCCCAAAATTTACAGGGGGTCATGGACCTATTGTTAAAGGGTCATGGAGACTCCCTTGGGACCAGAACCATAATCTGGGAAACCGTATTCCAGATGACGCAGATTCTGACCCAGATAAGGACCATCTGATTCATGACCCAGATGCCCAGATTTGAGGAGAACCACACTTTTGGTTTGTAGTTCTCCTGCAATCTGGGTCCATTAATGTGACACCCTCAAACTGCCCCTCTTTTTGTCGGTGGTTTAAAGGGAAACCATCCCCGATAGCCCAAACAATCCCTTGGCACCTCATATTTTTTGCGGATTTGAGGAATCTGTCGACGAATCCCCTTGAACCAAGCCCCAAGCCGTGAATATGTGGTACTTCGCACCCTCTGGATTTGCATTTAGGCCCCCTGGAAAAAAAAAACACAAATGTCCAGTAGTGAACTTGATTCCCTTCAAAACAAACAAAGGAGAGTGAGAACCTGAAGGAAATGGAAGTCTTGGGGTGTCCAGCTGGGTTTTTAGTGGTTGGATTCAGACCACTTCTGAACGGGAACAATTCCATATTGATAAACCGGGGTTGGTTAATCCGGGGTCAACATTAGTGCTGATCTGGCTGGTTCGATAGGCAGCGAATGAGAAAAATGACCCGAGAAAAACCATCCAATTGGTCATTTCCTTTGAGGGAATCCCCTTCCGAGTCATTGCCAACACCCGGACAGGGTGATTCCCTCACTGAGCATCAGCTAAGTTTTTGAGTTGATTGGAGCGCTTCTGAAAAAAAGGGCCCAGGACAGTTCCATTTCAGTTTCTATGTGAGCCCTGAGGCTATCCTGAAAGGCAAAGGAACACCTCCTCTGGATCCTCCCTCCCAGATTCCCACAAGAAAAAAGATCACCCCTGCCAAGGTCCGAGGTGATGCTTAAAACCACGCAGAAAGGGGAACTACGAGCAGGGAAATATAAGCACAGCGTACATGAAAGTAGAGGACACCCCCCTTCGTGCGGTACGGATCCAGCAACAAGTCTTAGAAAGAGACGCTTGGTACGGTGGATGCCAGCTGATATGCAAGTAAACCAACGTGACAAGCCATGGTTGGATTTACGTCGGGTGTCCTGTGTTCCCTAATGTCGAGTTGGCAACCTGAGCAAGAGGTGAGTTCGAATCGAAAATCAAAGGGCCCAGAAGGGACACATTTGGGTTCATCTCAAACTAGGAATCGGATTTCTCAAAATGGCTTAACGCTTTGCTCTTGGCTTTCCCTTCAGAAGCATAGACCGATGTCTCATCTTTGGGGCCACCAACGCCACGGTGGACACCACGTGCTCCAGTACCTGGGATGAGCGTCTCAGGCTGAGCCGAATCGGTAAGCCGTGCAAAGACCCGGATGGACGGGAACGGTAGAGGCGTGTTCTTTTTCCTAGGGCTGGTTCTTCCTAGGGCTGGGTTTTCCTAGGGCTGGGTTTTTCCTAGGGCTGGTTCTTCCTAGGGCTGGGTTTTCCTAGGGCTGGGTTTTCCTAGGGCTGGTTCTTCCTAGGGCTGGTTCTTCCTAGGGCTGGGTTTTCCTAGGGCTAGGGTTTTCCTAGGGCTGGGTTTTTCCTAGGGCCTAGGGCTGGTTCTTCCTAGGGCTGGGTTTTCCTAGGGCTGGTTTTTCCTAGGGCTGGTTCTTCCTAGGGCTGGGTTTTCCTAGGGTTTTTCCTAGGGCTGGTTCTTCCTAGGGCTGGGTTTTCCTAGGGCTGGGTTTTCCTGGGCTGGTTTTTCCTAGGGCTGGTTCTTCCTAGGGCTGGGTTTTCCTAGGGCTGGTTTTTCCTAGGGCTGGTTCTTCCTAGGGCTGGTTTCCTAGGGCTGGGTTTTCCTAGGGGGTTTTTCCTAGGGCTGGTTCTTCCTAGGGCTGGTTCTTCCTAGGGCTGGGTTTTCCTAGGGCTGGGTTTTCCTAGGGCTGGTTCTTCCTAGGGCTGGTTCTTCCTAGGGCTGGGTTTTCCTAGGGCTGGTTCTTCCTAGGGCTGGGTTTTCCTAGGGCTGGGTTTTTCCTAGGGCTGGTTCTTCCTAGGGCTGGTTCTTCCTAGGGCTGGGTTTTCCTAGGGCTGGTTCTTCCTAGGGCTGGGGTTTCCTAGGGCTGGGTTTTTCCTAGGGCTGGTTTTTCCTAGGGCTGGTTATTCCTAGGGCTGGGTTTTCCTAGGGCTTGGTTTTTCCTAGGGCTGGTTCTTCCTAGGGCTGGTTCCTCCTAGGGCTGGGTTTTCCAAGGGCTTGGTTTTTCCTAGGGCTGGTTCTTCCTAGGGCTGGTTCTTCCTAGGGCTGGGTTTTCCTAGGGCTGGGTTTTCCTAGGGCTGGTTCTTCCTAGGGCTGGTTCTTTGTAGGGCTGGGTTTTCCTAGGGCTGGTTCTTCCTAGGGCTGGGTTTTCCTAGGGCTGGGTTTTTCCTAGGGCTGGTTCTTGCTGGTTCTTCCTAGGGCTGGGTTTTCCTAGGGCTGGGTTTTTCCTAGGGCTGGTTCTTCCTAGGGCTGGTTATTCCTAGGGCTGGGTTTTCCTAGGGCTTGGTTTTCCTAGGGCTGGTTCTTCCTAGGGCTGGTTCTTCCTAGGGCTGGGTTTTCCTAGGGCTGGTTCTTCCTAGGGCTGGTTCTTCCTAGGGCTGGGTTTTTTCCTAGGGCTGGGTTTTCCTAGGGCTGGGTTTTCCTAGGGCTGGTTCTTCCTAGGGCTGGTTCTTCCTAGGGCTGGTTTTTCCTAGGGCTGGGTTTTTCCTAGGGCTGGTTCTTCCTAGGGCTGGTTCTTCCTAGGGCTGGGTTTTCCTAGGGCTGGGTTTTTCCTAGGGCTGGTTTTTCCTAGGGCTGGTTCTTCCTAGGGCTGGGTTTTCCTAGGGCTGTGTTTTTCCTAGGGCTGGTTCTTCCTAGGGCTGGTTCTTCCTAGGGCTTCCTAGGGCTGGGTTTTCCTAGGGCTGGGTTTTCCTAGGGCTGGCTAGGGCTGGTTCTTCCTAGGGCTAGGGCTTCCTAGGGCTGGCTAGGGCTTCCTAGGGCTAGGGCTGGTTCTTCCTAGGGCTGGGTTTTCCTAGGGCTGGGCTTTTCCTAGGGCTGGGTTTTCCTAGGGCTTCCCTCCTCCTGGGCTAGGGGTTTTCCTAGGGGCTGGGGGCTGGGTTTTCCTAGGGCTGGGTTTTCCTAGGGCTGGGTTTTCCTAGGGCTGGTTCCTAGGGCTTCCTAGGGCTGGTTCTTCCTAGGGCTGGGTTTCCTAGGGCTGGTTCTTCCTAGGGCTGGGTTTTCCTAGGGCTGGGTTTTTCCTAGGGCTGGTTCTTCCTAGGGCTGGTTCTTCCTAGGGCTGGGTTTTCCTAGGGCTGGGTTTTCCTAGGGCTGGTTCTTCCTAGGGATGGTTCTTCCTAGGGCTGGGTTTTCCTAGGGCTGGGCTTTCCTAGGGCTGGTTCTTCCTAGGGCTGGTTCTTCCTAGGGCTGGGTTTTCCTAGGGCTGGGTTTTCCTAGGGCTGGGTTTTCCTAGGGCTGGGTTTTTCCTAGAGCTGGTTCTTCCTAGGGCTGGGTTCTTCCTAGGGCTGGGTTTTCCTAGGGCTGGTTCTTCCTAGGGCTGGTTCTTCCTAGGGCTGGGTTTTCCTAGGTCTGGGTTTTCCTAGGGCTGGTTCTTCCTAGGGCTGGGTTTTCCTAGGGCTGGGTTTTTCCTAGGGCTGGTTCTTCCTAGGGCTGGTTCTTCCTAGGGCTGGGTTTTCCTAGGGCTGGGTTTTCCTAGGGCTGGTTCTTCCTAGGGATGGTTCTTCCTAGGGCTGGGTTTTCCTAGGGCTGGGCTTTCCTAGGGCTGGTTCTTCCTAGGGCTGGTTCTTCCTAGGGCTGGGTTTTCCTAGGGCTGGGTTTTCCTAGGGCTGGGTTTTCCTAGGGCTGGGTTTTTCCTAGAGCTGGTTCTTCCTAGGGCTGGGTTCTTCCTAGGGCTGGGTTTTCCTAGGGCTGGTTCTTCCTAGGGCTGGTTCTTCCTAGGGCTGGGTTTTCCTAGGTCTGGGTTTTCCTAGGGCTGGTTCTTCCTAGGGCTGGGTTTTCCTAGGGCTGGGTTTTTCCTAGGGCTGGTTCTTCCTAGGGCTGGCTGGTTCTTCCTAGGGCTGGGTTTTCCTAGGGCTGGGTTTTCCTAGGGCTGGTTCTTCCTAGGGCTGGTTCTTCCTAGGGCTGGGTTTTCCTAGGGCTGGTTCTTCCTAGGGCTGGTTCTTCCTAGGGCTGGTTCTTCCTAGGGCTGGGTTTTCCTAGGGCTGGGTTTTCCTAGGGCTGGTTCTTCCTAGGGCTGGTTCTTCCTAGGGCTGGGTTTTCCTAGGGCTGGGTTTTCCTAGGGCTGGTTCTTCCTAGGGCTGGGTTTTCCTAGGGCTGGTTTTTCCTGGGGCTGGCAGAGGTTGCCGAGGCAGACGGGAACTCAAAAACGCAAGACGGCTTGGCCAAGAACCATTTGTATTGCAATGGGCCTTTTGTCGCTTGCTGCAGGCTCTGGCAAGAGTCTGTCCGGAGATCAAGTCGGAGAGATTCGTCTAGGTGACCAACATGAACATATATTTCGCCAACCCAAAATTGCCAGCGCCTGGTGATTTGAAGCGCGGTTTCCCACAGTGGCTTGCGCTGGCAACACATCCAGCTCCAACCCCTCCGAGATCGCGGCTGCATCCCGCTCCGTGCCATCCGGGCTACTCTTCTGCAGCCATCCTGGCGAGAGGGCTACCCCATGCTTCCAAAAGGCACGACAATAGGAAGGGTTTCCTGCGTTTCCCTGGTTTTAGTGTAAGCCACCTGCAAATTGACCAACTTCGGTGACCCCGACAAAAGGAAGAGGGTCCGCATTTGCGAGCAAAATTGGGATAACAAGCAACCCTGGACGCTGAAAAAGCAGAACAACCGGCAACTTGCAGACTAGAGCCTTGCCAAGGATTCCAGCCGTAGCCCGCTTGGATTTGTTGAAGAGCACGTTCACCAAGTTCAAATGGACATGTTGGAAACTGGCGTGCATAGAAAGTGGATGGTCAACATGTTGGCTCCAAATGAGGGTACTGCAGATGTCCCGCGCTCCTGGGAATGCAAGCCAGTCAAGTTGGATACCCCTCGACATGGCATCACGAACCTTCCAACAAAACACCTTGAGGGCCACTGAGGGCGAAACATGAAATTGACTTCAAGGGACCACCTCAAGGGAACGCAATGACCAAAAAATGTTGATCCGTCCAAGCGGCCAATATGGATGCGACTTGCTTTGATGGTACACTTTGCGACATCCAAATTTTCGCCAAAGTTGGCTACCCTCTATGGCTTGGTCACTGACTCCCTTGGTCACAATGTGCGGGCGGAAACAAACTCCGGGAGCATCTCCATGCAGGAAATGTTCACCAGGTCACCAAATGTTCCCCGTGCTATGTGGGTGCTTGGGTAACTGTCTGGAGACGTTCCTGGACATGTATATAGATGGGATTGCAATCACATATATATATATATATATGTATATACACATATGTGCACAATTAATCTATACTCTGTATAACAAAAAACACAAGTACATATATAGCTGTATATATACATATGAACGTATATATATATATATATATTATAGATACATATGTTTCGATCGGACCCTTGCTGAGGCTCAAGGTCAGCCAGCGCGGCGGTACACACGGGATCGCGTAGAGTGGAAGAGCCTTGGCACCAACACCCAGCACTGCGGCCACGGAAAACGAATCAGCACGCGCCGAGTCTTTTTTGATTGACTTTGAAAGCGAAAGCCTTCCCAAATTCAAGGGGGCTAATTACACAAGGTGTCTGGGAAAATGTTGCGAATCAAACACAACTCAGAACCGCGTGGGGGGGGGGGGGTGCCTACTTCATTTGGGCAAATGGAAAGCCAACGAAAAGGAACGAAAGTCTCCCATGGAGTACCGAACTCTGTACAAAACATGAAGAGGCCATCCAACATTGTAACATTGGGCAAACAAACTAGCTTGAACTCGGGCAGAAAACCCAAGAAAACCTCCCTGACCCATGGAGTGCAGAGTTCTGTACAAAACATCAAGGGGTCATCACTGAACAACTGGCGCAGGGAACCGTAAAGCGGGGTGTGCCTCCCCCAAGTTGGTTCGGCCCATATGGGGGTTGATCAATATTCCGCTCGGCCCCCAAATGAACATGGGAAGCTTGTCCCATTTAGTGGTTGAAATATGTTTTTAGCGGGTTTTCCAAGCAACGGTCATCCTAGGTTCATCGGACCTTTTGATCAAACCCCCGCACCTTCGCAAACCTAGCCTACGAAAAGATGCTTTTTGCATGGTACCCGATCCGGGTGTTCTCCCTGTGGGCTTCACATTCTGGAACATCCCTTTTGAGGCGTCCATCTCTTTTCTCAGATGCCCAGTGGATTTCCATGGGAAAAACAGGGCATGGTTGCTTGACTTTAAAGGAATCGGAACCCTTCCCCAAAAAAGATGGAAAAAACAAAAACAGCGGAATCCACTGGTTGCAACTGGCTTTTGGGGGGCGTCCTTCTTAGGTTCGGTTACGATTTGCGGGGGGAGCAACGCAAGGGGGGTCCGAGGGACGAGTTCGGTCGCAGCGATCTTCTGCGCGATGGGGAGTCCCAAAAGTGAAGCCCCATAAAGTGGCCAAGTGAAGCCATAGAGCGTGGGCAGAGTGGAGCCACAAAGGCTTTGCAACTCGATGGCTTCAGGCACCACTCCATGGAACTCCTGTGCGACAGGTCTTGGTGCGGTAACTGGTCCCTCTCAAGCACCCGTCGCTCCAAAGCAGTGAGCTCCACCTGATGTGCTGCCCATCGGAAAACCTCAAGGAGCTCCAAATCCGGCCGCGAGAGACGCCTCCGTCAGCAGTCCCGGCTGCGTCTTCTTGGCGTGGCGTGAAAGGAAACCCAAAGGAAAGCCAACAGGCGCCGCTTCTTTGCCTGCTTCGGAGAACCCAAAACAGCGGGCGCGACCCATGTTTGGATTCGCCTATTCGAGAGGATGTGCAAAAAAACAATGTTGGAGGCCATCCCCTGTTGGCCAACTGCAAGACTTTGGTACAGCCGTGAGAAGAAAACCCTGCGGAAATTCAATCTAGCTATGCCTCGAGACGGGTATCAAGTTTCATATGAATCCAACTTGCGTGGCAACTTGAAACGCATTCGCGCAGATCGTTTCAGGGCACCCAGATTCCACACGTCCTGCTTGAAAAGCCAGCAATAAAATATTCACGCCCTGAGTTCCTGGACTTCAGTCACTTTTTGGGTTTGGACCACATTAGTGGTAAATCAACAGCTTGATTCTTTTTTGGGCCACTCGAGAAGCGAGAAAGAAAAAAAAATACCCTTCTTTCCCCATGGCCACTGGGGTTTTGGGCCGAGTCAATAGTTTCAGTCCAAATCTTCGCGCGAGACCATTGCCACTGAAACCCTCCAGAAAACCTCAGGCAAGGCCTTGCTTGGGCTGAAGTCCGTGCGGGAGATCTGGGTGTTTTTTGTTTTTTCTTTTGCCGCAGGAGCCAAAGACCTTGAAGAGAATCCACTTGGAAAGGATCACCTTTTGGGGACACCAGCAGAAGAAGAATGCAAAGGACATGGCTCAACCAAACGTTTGTTTCTGCAATGACCAAACGCCACCACCATGGCTAAAAAGCCAACAAAGGCCAACAACTGAAGCTCAAAATCGAAGAAAGCTACCAGCCTCTTGGACATGTGTCAGTGGCTTTGGTGGGGTATTTCACCATCATTATTAACCTAGATCCTCCAGTAGACAGGTTAGAATAAGGGTTCCCTTTTTCTGGAGTCTATTGTAGTAGGGGAACCCTCAGAGCCAAAAAAGGGGTGAGAAAGGGCACTACTGGAGACCTAGTAACCACTTACCTGACGTACCCTTCATCGATCGTTTCTTGCGCTCCCAGAGAAAACCGCACTGAGGCGGATGCTCGAAGATCTCGGTGTCCAAAAGCCCCAGCTCTTCCGCCTGCCTCCTCTGATCGAGCGGAGAAGCGGAGGCCCAAAAACCCAAGGCGAATACCGCGGCAAAAACAACCAAAGAAGACCGGGGCGCGTGGTACAAAGCCAAGCAAAATGATGGACCATCCGGAATGGCCCCCTTTTTTTGCCGAGGCATGTTCCACAAAAGAGGACTAATCCCAAAGTGGCCTTGGAGGGAAAGTAATCTGTGAAGGTTTTATGGGAGCTTCATGGAGCTTCTCGAAATCACATGCACAAACAAACACTGCCACAAAATGAAGCCTGTGGGCTGGTTGAGACAATGCAGATGGTCCTCCGAATGGTCTTGGATGGTGGAAACTGCCTTTCCACTTGCAAGTGACACCACTGGATCTGGGTCCTGTTCAAAGCAGGGAAAACCCAACCTGATGGATGGCAGAGAAGCAGAACCAAGTGCTTGCGGTAGGCAATTAGAGAAAACCATCCTCACACAAAAGAAGGAACTACGGCTGAAAGGGGCAAGGTGGTATCACAGAAGTTGGAAAACAATCTCTTCGTTCCAATCCTGAAAAGAACTTCATGAAGTGGAATCGCCTGAGGTGTGAGCATGTGTGCCGAAGTTAGATGGCCTGCAGTTAAAGAAGAACATACAGCGGGTTGTCATGTGCTGGGGTTCTTACTTAAAGGGGCGATCGGGTACTTAGTTAAGTGGTTAGTAACCATGGTTATAACCCACTTACCATGGTTAAAAATATCCTAAGTGGCTTGTAACCATGGTCACTAACCACTTACTAAGTACCCGATCGCCCCTTTAAGTATCGCAGCCTTTTGCACACTCGGGGCTTCTCCTCACAAAAATGGGCCGGAGACAGGCTACAGGAGGTAATTACGGAATGCCCTAAATATTGGAAGGAACCAGGGAAACACCCCTGGTGTGCTTGATTTACGGATAAATTCCCTAAGGAGCAAGGCAAAACCCGTAAATTCAGCCCATGGCTTGTGCTTGATGTACTTACTAGTTTTGCCAGGGCATCCACCATAGCTCCAATAAGCTAAACCTCTAACAGTCATGTTGAGAGCCTCAGCTAGCAGGCTGGTTCTTGGACACCTCCCAGCCCGACTCATTTGCTTCTGGGCATGTGGGAAAAAGATTGGCCGTCCATTTCCCCTACTCAGTTCTTCCATTTGCGTTTGCGCCCCTGGAAAAATATGTCCAGTAGTGATCGATTCCTTTCAAAACCAACAGGGGAAATTTTAAACAACAAACATAAAGAGCCGAGTGGCCGAACAGCAGGCAAGTAATCCTTTCCGCCATGCAAAGGTGGGATTCCCATCATACTAAATCTCGGTTGCTTTCTGCTCCCCTGCTAAAAGTTTAACTTGTAGTGGTTTACTGGAAAACCCATTAATCATTGGTTGGCAAAAAGTTAAAGTCAGAACATCCAAGCAAAATGCACCAAAGAAAAGGCAGCCTTCAAGCAATTATCCAAACGGAAAGGAAAACAAGTGCCCACTGAGTGAGGGGTTTTGAATGCAGCAGAGGGATTCCCATCTCCTCGTCCCCAGGCCGCTGGTGTCCAAGTTGGCGTTCAGAAAGAGCTCCGAGCAGAGCAGCGTGGACACGCCTCGATGACTCAACCCATCGCCTATCATCTACTTGGACCCTCCAAAAAATACCCATGGGGAATTTTCGCGAACCATCATGCTTTTGGGGCTATAATACATTACTACCCATGAAAAAGAAATAATGCGCCAACCAGAAATCTGGGGGACGTTTACCCATTTTGAAGCTGGAATCTTGAGGCTTACCCATACAACAGTTGGAATTTGTCAACCATACTTTTGGGTTGCTATAACCCATTTTTAAGCTGGAATTTTGAGGGTTCAGGTGCCTGGAACCCAGACAAAAATGGATTCCCCCCCCCCCCCCGCCCAACAATCGCAGGATAGGTCCAGGCCCTTCTTGGCCAGATTGCATTTGTACAGGTGTCACTGGTTTTCCTTACCTCCGAGTCGAACAGCAGTCCTGAAGTGCAGAAGTATTTTTCGCAGAAGTGGGACATGAATCTCATGCGCTTCCAACCAACTTGAAGCGCTTTCCACTTGGTACAAAAGCTCAATCCCATAAGTTGGGTTTACCCTGCGTCTAGCCCACTTGGGAGAGAATATATGAGTGTGAATATTAATAAGGGACGCTTGGGTGGACATCAGTTAGCTAGCAGCTAGGGGATAATGCCCACCAGCCACGTTTCAGGTGGTTCCACTTTCCAATTCTTAAAGATCATAGCTATATACCTGTGCTGTTCCCAGATCCCCTGCTAAACAGTTTCAGTGGTGTGGAAACTACCACTAAGCCCCAAAAGACCTCAAAACCTAAAAACTTCACAACCGTTGGTATGGGCTTGCAACACACTTCACTTTTTTGCGGCCCTCTACTAAACATGAACACAACCCAACAAAAAACGCCTGGATTTAAGAAAAGAGAAGTCCAACCGTACCCGGCAGGTCATGGATCGTGCTTTTGTTTTCCACATTGGTTTTCTGTTTTTGAGAAACACCATTGGGGTGGGTTTTTGTAAAGCTTAGGCTGTTTTATGAACAAACACCCACCTTTGGCTGTTTTGTGAACAAGAAACCAACCTTAGGCTGTTTTATGAACAAACACCAACCTAATGGGCCCGTAAATATGATATATATTTTTAAGCCTGGGCCCCGGGCTGTTTTTGTTGGCCTCCCCTTTGCGCCAGCGCTGGATCAGCGCCAGGTGCAGCCACAGGATGCAGGCCACCTGCTCCGGTGAGGCTTTTCCGCGTTTTGTTATTTTTTTGGTTGTTGCGGGGTGGCCGGGCGCTTTGCGGGCCGAAGCCAAGAGGAGTTTTGTTCGGGGTTGCTCCGGGGCGGCCTTACGTTGGGTCGGTTTAAAAAACAAGAAGCGTTTTGTTGGGGGGGGGGTTGCTCTGGGGTGGCCGGGCGTTTGATGGGGTCGGTTCAAATTGAAAGGGGAGCCAAGACGAGAGTTTTTGTTGGGGGATGTTCGGGAAAAGGCCGACTTTTTGGGGTTGGTTTTTGTAAGCATTGCCAAAAGGACCACTGCGACATGTTTCTTGCGGTGCTCTAAGTCGGGGGAGCCGACTTGTCGGGGTCAGCCGGACTTGTGGTCTCAAACGCCGTAAGCAAACGGGGTGTTTTTAGAGGAAACCCAAAAAACCACCGCAGGATTGTTTGTGACAGTCTTGAATCAGAGCTTGTTCTCATCGAGGCCATGAGTGCAGGCCCAATGTTGTATCGATGAGCCCTCGAAAAACCAGGGTGCTTTCTTATGTCTCATGGTCCTAGGCCAATCTGGAAAAAAGGTCTGGAACCTCATACAACAATACTCGGTTGCTTTCTGCTCCCCTACTAAAAGTGCCTAATTTTTAGTGGTTTAATGGAAAACCCATTAGTTGGCAAAAGTTAAAGTCTTAACGTCCGAGCAAAATGCACCAAAAAATACTCTGAAAAGGCTAGGACGACATGTGTCGGACATCTTCAACATGTTCATGGCCTAAACGCGCCTAAAAGTAAAGGCTGGAAATTCCCTTTCAAACAAAACGCGATCCCACTGCCACTGCCACTTCCAACATCTTCCAACTATTTGAGGGTGGCATCTCACGGTGCCTATGTTCAACCCTCTCTCCAAAATCAGCCAGACCTATTTTCCGCTCCCCGAACCCTCAAACCACCCAAAACAAAGGGATGCACTACCAACTCCTTCCCCCTAACCCCTTCCCCCCCCCCCCGCCTGGTAAAGTGACCGTTGTAAATATAAGCACCCCGGCCGTCGGCTTCCGCTCTGCACGGCGTGCATTTTCCACGAAACAGTGCATTTGGCCGATGGGCGCAGGCGAAAAACAAACCACCTGGTCAATACTGGAAGGGTTCATTTTTCCCTGGACGTTTGGTGGCCCCCCTAAACCCCCCCATCCAACGGCGGCAAAACCCTTTTGCCATCACCAACCTAGGTCCTCCAGTAGAGAGGTTAGAAGAAGGGCACCCTTTTTCTTGTAGTATTTTAGTAGGGTTCGGAACCCCGCCAAGAGAAGGGCACCTAGCTGGGGGACCTAGAATACAAAACCATCTAACTAAGGGTTTCCCTTATTCGTATTTCCAGTTTCGGCAGCGGGAAATCCTGTACACCAACAGGAGTCCTTACATTATACACCTGAACATTGCCTTGTAAATGGTGGTTTCCCTTTATTTTGGCGGAAAAAGCAACATGTTTCAAATGGGCAAGCAAAATGAATTTCTTTTAAGGAGCAAGCTGCCTCCCAACTCGGCGACTCGGCGATCGGGCGACGTGACTCCCATCTCGAACCTGCAGCTCCCCAGAGGCCATGGCCCTGGAGCACCAGCGCTCCAGCATCGGCACCGCCTCCCCGCGAGCGGATCCGCTCTAAGAGCATGGGACCGGGGAGAGAAATCGGGACGGAGAGAGACCTGGGCTCCGTGAATGGAACCAATTCGTTGTGTTTTTAGGGAAAATGGAAGCACCTGGAGTCTCCGTGACCCTTTTAAACTAGGTCCATGAACCCATTGTTTGGGGTAATGACCGCATCCTTAAAGGGTCATGGAGACTCTAGGAGATGAAGGTCTCCAGTCGAAATTCGTTCGAGCCACCCCTTGAACCCAATTCCAGTGTTTGGCTTTTCTTAGGGAACATGGAAGCTGAAGTGAAGGTCTCCAGTCGAAATCCTCCCCTCGCCCAATTCCATCAAAAAGGTGGTGGGGATACAGGGTGCTAATCTGTTTGGAGGTGTCGTGTTTTTGCAGGTAAACTTGTGATTCGCTTCGCTCTGTTTCGGAGTTTCGGTTTGTTGTCTGTGCAGGTCTTAAGCCGATTGCAAGAAGAAAGAGCCTCAAGGTTTGCTTTGGCTTCATGGCTCCGTGGTGTATATGGTCTTTGGCTAGCTTTAAGTTCCGAACAATGGTCTTGGGCATGTTATTTGCTGTTGGTCTGGGGTGCTGGTCTGGATGTTAGCTTGACTATGATTATGCTTGTTTGTTTGCTTGTTTGCTTGCCTGCTTGATTGCTTGCTTGCTTTCTTGTGTCTTAGTTCTGTTTGAGTCTTTTTGTTTGCTTGCTTATCTTGCTTGCTTTTTGGGGCTCGCCCTGCTGTGACACGTGCCGCATGTTCTGGTGGTCGAGGGGAACGGATGGAACGGACCACGGAAACCCTGAACAAAGGCTTTATGGGGCAGCTACATAGTAGGGCCCAGGGCTTCGAACATTTTTGAAACGAGATGCCGAACATGCCAAAGATTCTATTAAGCATAACCCAGGAACACCGAAGCATCAAACCGACTGCCTTAGGCTTAAAACGCACACACCCTTTTGAATTGTGTCCTCGTCTACCCTGGTTCACACAGGAACCAGTTGGGGGGCGGGGTCCAACATAGGCAACTCAAAGCGAGCTGTCAAAACAAATGGGGAGTTGTGAACACCACGGCCCCGTTTGGATCCTGGTGCCACCTCGCGCCTGAAGAGGCCCTGATTCTGACAGCCCTCCATGAACCTAATTAGAGTCTCCTTGACCCTTTAAAAATGGTGTAATGGGGTCATGGACAGATTTTTACAGGGATTTTGATTTTGCGGCATGGCCGGAAAAGGAGGGTCACCGAGCCCCCCAAAAGGCCGGCGTGTTGTTCCCAAACGATGCCGAAAAAATCGAGCCCTGCAAGTTCCGGGGTTTGCTGGCAGGAGGTATAAAGATCGCGTCAAATCCCGTGCAACAAAAAGGAGCGGCCGCAAGTCGAACACACCACTTACAACTTGGTTGACGTTGGAAGGGGAGCAAACAAATAAATTTTAGCAGTTATAAGTGGGGATTTCCCACTAAACCACAATAAGCAAAAATGCAAAATGTTTCCCAATGACAACCATGACAAAGCGGGTTCGCGCCCATGCGGGGTCATTCGATTAAAGGCATCCCTTCGTCCACTCGCCTCAAGGAGCAGCCGCGACTGCCAGAGCTGCGCCCGCTCTTCCAGCAGCCGCGCGGTCTCCGTAGAGGCCTCACTGTCAAAAAGGCCGGCGACACCCCGGGAAAATGAACCTGGCAACCAGAAAACAAGATTTCTTTGGGGGGGAGTTTCTTTCCTCTACAAAGGATGTAAAAAGGTGCTTTCAACCAGACAGCATGTTTTGGTTGTGGAAGTTGTTGATAGATGTTACGACCTTCAAAACTCAATCCTGCAAGTCAAGATGAAGCCCCCTAAGATGTTGGGGGGAAGTTTCTTTCCTCTTACAAAGGATGCAACAAGGTGTTTTCTCTATAATGAGTTTCTCAGAAAACATGTCTTCTTTGGGGGAAGTGTCTTTCCTCTACAAAGGATATGAAAAGTGCTTTCGCTCTATAAGGAGGTTTCGCTGGATTTTGCTACCTGCAAGTAAAAAATGAAGCCCCCTAAGCAAACACCATGTGTAGAGGCATCTCCTTTTTGCTGCATGTGCAGGGAGTGGTGATTCCGTTTTCTGGAAGAACGGCTTGGTAAAGAGGGGAAATGGGCAGCCAGCTGCAAATTTCAAGTGGGACCCCCTGAAAAACGTTTAACTTGTGGTTAAATTTAACCACTAAACCAACTAAAAACAAAACAAACTAAGCAACCGGAGGGCTGGGAACCGGAGTGACGCTCAACGGGAGCTTCGACATTGGCCTAACAGGTCAGGGGTCCCCTGAACGGGATCTGCGTGTTGACACACCCTTTCGGTTGCAAAGATGGCCCTCTCTGTCTGGAAGGCAAGCCCTGCTGGGCCAAGCTTCACAGGGCCAGAATTCGGGAACGGACTTGGACACTTGAAGACCTACCTGAACATGAAAGGAACTGCGAGGTTCCGTAGGGGTCCTTCTGTTACTTTGCTTTGGAAACTCACAATCCCAAAGCGTTTCCTTTAAGTAACCTGCGAAGAGAGCGTGGCGATTTGCCAACGAACCGGGTCGATGGGCGCATCTCGCCACACGGCGCGACAAAATTATTCGCTACGTAGACCCCCTAGGTACATCCCCACACAAGTATAGAGACACATTTCCCCACTATATTTTATAATATGTGTACACAGTTGTCCAGATATGCACGTTATCAATAATTATATATATATATATACACACAAGACATGTTCTATATGGCATGTTCTAGAAAAGATATGATAATATGAACAAATATGGGATCTGTAAGACATATTTGTACTCTAGATGTCTACTAGGTGTACATAATTTGTACACATATGTATATTATGTTCTGTATGCATATATATATATATATATGTGCACATATGTTACATATATATATATATAGATCACATACATAACTTAACTATGGTATGCATGAACCACCTTCTCCGCCCCCTCCATCCCTCAATCTGGCCCCTCAGCTTCCGGGCCGAGCCAAGGCCGCGGGTCGAAGCCTCCGCCGCCCCCTCCAGCGACCGCGCAGCCACCAGACCTCAGACGAGGCGAATCGGGACGTCTTCCTGCGACTTGCCCTTTGAGACCCACGCAAAAAACAACACACACAAAGGGGACACCAAAACGACCCTTTTTGGTCCCCTCAAGAAAAAAAACACACCAAAAAAAGGGAACCCAAAAGCAAAGACACACCCAAAAAGGGCAGCCCCAAAAAAAAGACAGACACATGTTTAGGTTGTTCCACTGAAAAAACTACTACCAAAAAGCTTGCCCTCACAGACACAAACGCAGACCCTTTTTGGTATGTGGTGCTCCGTCCTCGGTGCGTCCGGAAAGTTTCGGAGGGTGAAGCTGTCTTCGGTTTGCTGTACGCTTAACCAATGAGAGTCCTGTACGTCGGGAAGAAGCAAAACTGGGCTGTCCTCGAATCCCCCGCTAAAAGTGACTAACTTTTAGTGGGTTAAATGGAAATCCCCACTCAACACCAAAAAGCCAAAAGGCTAAGGAACCGGATGGCTGGGAGCCACCAAGAAAAATGGTTTCAGCCGCAGCAGGGGTTCTGAGCTGAGTTCATGCCAATAGGTGTCGTTTTTAAGGCTCCCCTTCAACCGTTGAACCAGGTTTCTATCAAAGTGACAAGGGCTCCCTATGAAAGGTTTCGGCTTTTGAGACTCCCGGTTTAACCGTCCTTGGAGCGCTGGGGACTCCAGAAAATGGTCTTCCATTTGGCACTGCAGCTCAGGCTACTGTAGGCCTGCGACCATCCCTACTGTGGACGGATTCGAAATCCGTTTCGCACCACTTTGAAACCATGGGGAACCAGTGTTTGTTGGTAGTTACAGGGGAATCATCATTCTAGGGTGTCTTGGGTGGTGCAGGATTTCGTCCATCCACAGTATTGCATTGGCTCGACCTTCCTTACCTTGCAAAAAGCACAGTGCCATTGCGTGCCTGCCTTCACTGCCCCCGTTGCGGAGTTTAAAAAAGTGGAAGCGCTCGCCGCCCCGTTCCGCGCCGTGGCAAGCACAAAACAGCTGCTGGCAGGGGCTCTGTTGTTTGTGCGTCCTGTGTTCAGCCCGGCCAGCCACTTTAAATATCTGATTTAAACCTGGGCTGCCCTCAGATCCCCCGCTAAAAGCTTTGGGGCTAAACATTAAACACTAAACACTAAAAGGCTAAAAGGCAGAGGGGATGGCTGGGAGCCACCAAGAAACAAATGTTGTGCACTACCTCCCAGCCCCGAAGCCAACCTAACAAATTTAAAAGTCGTCACCGTACTATTGCTTTGGCGTTTTATATGTTCTTCCACGGCGATCACATTGCCATTCAGATCGGACGCGGTGGCTAGTTTTGACACTAGTTTTGACACGGATCCACTCCGTGAAACACTGGATGGGGTGCGTTTGCTCAGATTGGAACGGTATCTATTGAATGATGGTTCCACACGCAGACTGGCAGGGACAGACTCCAAGTCGAAGCAGGCGTTGGTCAATCGCGGTCACCTATCAACCACCGGCAAGTGCACCGGAATGCTTTGACTTCAACAGCCGAGCTTGACAAACAAACAAGCTCCCATACAGCTTTGTCTTCACATAAATTGCCCCTGGTGGTTCTCACATGTATCTGCAGACATGGCTGCTTGAAACTAAAATGCTCGCTACACTGACAACAGTTCAACCCTCTGCGCATGCTGCTGTGAAAGAAAACAGCGCGGCCTTGTGAGCCTGGTTCTCAAGCTGAGCCACTGCAATCAGCATCTTGGTTGCTGTTGACCCCCAGCAAATGGTTTTTCACTTTTTTGGGGTTTAGTGGAAGACCCCTAGATTTCCTAACAAGTTAAAGTCCAACCCAATAGCAGTCAAGTTAACTGCTCCGACCTGAAGAGGTCAGCCGTGGGCAAAGTTCTTTTGAATCGTGATGCTGTGGATGGACGAATTCCGAGACCGCAGGACTTTGAACCCATGGTTGAGACCATCGTATGTTGGTATTTACAGCGGAATCGAATCATTCCAATTCCAGGGTTTCTGAGGCTCTGAGGTGCGAAATGGATTTCGCAACGCACTGGTCGTGTTCAAACCGCCTTTCTCCGTGCAAGGGTGAGACCTTCTTTCACCCCCTTCCCCCGCTTCCCTCCGGCGCCGTCCAACGCTCCCTTTCTCCAACGAAACGAAACGAAACGCTCAAGGCGCCTCATGCGCCGAGAACAGATTCTGCCCGGAATCTCAGATTGAGAAGTACCGGGCATTAATCCAGACCCCCAGTGGTCATGGGGCGAAAAGGGGCAGCCAGTGGTTGTTGGTTGTTTGTTAAAGTAACAATCTTCCAACCATAAATTTATCAGCTGCCACCTTTGGTGTCTGGGTCAAGATGTCTAGCTGACAAAAACGAAGGCTAAAGTTGATCGGCTTGGGCCTTTAAGACTCGAGCACCAAGCGTGATTCACAATAATTGGTGACCGCATGTGAAGGGTCTACATCCTTTCTTTTGAAGGAGGTGAGAACGAGTAGGTCCTCCAGCAGAGAGGTTAGAATAAGGGTACCCGATGTTTTTTTTTTCTGTAGCCTATTTTAGTAGGGGAACCCTCCCCCAAAAAAGAAACGATGAGAAAGGGCACCAATTGCTGGGGGACCTAGATGACCTCATGCCAAAAGGCACATCCTTCCAGCCAAAAGCTTTGGGCCTTTGGGGTCAGAGTCTGGTTCCCTCATCGCTAAGCTCTGTCGGTCAGGGGCTGCTCTGAGACTGCAGCTTCCCTGGCGATTCGACTTCCTCGGTGGAAAAGCACGTGATGATGATCAATCAAAACTGATCGCTACAACCTCCATTTGCTGGAAAAACGACAAATCTTTCCAGTGATGAAAAAAATCCGTTTATCACCAAGGGGGTGACAAATTCCTTTTTATCACCAAGGGGGAGAAAAAACAACTTAAGCAACTGGAAGCTTCCAAAATTGGTGGATGCCCACAACCATGCCGGCCAAGAAGTAGCAAGTCGGCGGCACCCATGGTAACCTCCCACCCGAATCGGTCTTGGGAAAGTGCTCATCTTCCATTTGCTTAAGACCTGGAAAAAAGACAAATCTGTCCAGTAGTGAACCAACAAGGGGAAATAAGAAAAAACAACATATCTTTTACAATTCATTTGCCCGTTGGTTTGTGGCAAAATGTCGCCACCCATCTCTCCCACTCGTTTATATAGAACATCTTTCTTTCAGCCAGCAAGAAAAGGTCAAAAGGTGGGCCTGTGGTTTTCCTTCGACGCGCTGGAATGGGGGCAACTGCCCCATCGTCAAGGATCCTTCATTCCAATCTGCCAAAATCTACTGTGGATGGACAAAGAAATGTTCGCACCACTTCGCAACCAGGGAAGCCATTTGTTGTTGCTTTTTACAGGGGCAATCATCCTAGGGTTCCTTAGGTGGCGCAGGATTTTGTCCGTCAGTAGGGCAACGCACTCCTTTTTGACAAGAAGGATGGTCAACTCCGAATAACAACACACCCAAAGGGTAAGGGTAAGGCGAGCTGCTTCGGTCAAGTCCCCCCCCCCCAAAAAAAAAGGAACAAAACACGCACAAAAACACAACAACAAAACAAAAGAACAAAACTTAACTCAAAAGCGCGCCGTGCCGCGATGTCGGAGCATCAGCCCGGACTGCCAAATGAGGCCCCAGAGCACGATGCCCGCGGCGTCCACGCGGAAGCAGTTGCGGAAGCCCAGGCCCGCTGGGGGGTCCATGACCAGCGGGCCCCACATGGCCGTGCCGATGCCCATGGCGATCCTCGCCGGAAAAAAAAGGGGGAACAAAAAAACGAGCCGTGGGCGTCTTCTCCTTTCATTGGTGGCTTGGATTGGTGATTTGGTGGTGGGGTTTCTCATTTGCCATCAAACGCCGTACTTAAAGGGGCGCACGGGTCCTTAGTAAGTGGTTAGCAACCATGGTTATAACCCAGTTAGGAGGCGCATAACCGTGGCTTTGGTGGGTGATGACCCTCTTACTAGGAGGTGAAGTGTGTCTAGCCACTCACCAAGGAGATCGCCCCTTCCATGTTTTCAGCTTCTCATTTCACTGGCGGTTTGGAGCCCGCTGATTTTGTGATTAAGGAGAGGTTTCGAATTTACCGCCCGCAAAAGCCAGAGGTTCAAATCCCTAAGCCCCACCAAATCACCCACTCAGCCAGGGATCGATTCTTCCATCAAAGAACAACATCCAACTGTGAAGGCTGGAATGGCACACCCGACCACACCCACGAAGTACTACTTAAAGGGGCGCACGGGTCCTTAGTAAGTGGTTAGCAACCATGGTTATAACCCAGTTAGGAGACTTATAACCATGGCTTTGGTTGGTTATAACACCATGGTTACTACCCTCTTGCTTAGTAGAATGCCCCTTAAAGCAGGTGTCATGTTTTCAGCTTCTCCTTCACTGGTGGTTTGGATTGGTGATTTGCTGGTTCAGGAGGGGTTGTTCATTCACGGTCCACAAAAGCCAGAGGCAAACACGCCAAATAAAACGGAGAAGGTGGAACAGTCGTCGTCAAACGAACCCTCATAAGATGCCACGCGCCCTTTGGCACAAACTCTTGCGGGGGGCCGGCTCATTCAGGGCCCTTGTGTGTTTTTTTCCGGATCGACTGAGTCACACTCCACAACTGGCACTGGTTGAAGGCCAGCTCGCCTTGGGATAAGTCTTCCGGCAAAATGCTAAAACCAAACACAACGACAAAGCTGCAGCACATCACACATATGCCCAAGCTACAAACTTCAGAGAATCATAAGTGGCCATGAATGTCTATAGGTAGCCACCTTTAAACGTGTGTTGGTGGACATAAATCCCCGAAATGATGTCCACCAATGGGCCACTGATTAGATGTTCTACCCAAGTTTGAGCTCATTTCCCCAAAGGGTGAGACCAGAAAGACTTGGCCGGACCACGGCGAGTTAAAACAATCAGCACTCAGGGCAATGAATTTGCTGAACATACCCCCTACTCCAAATACCCACTTTTTCTAGGGTATGGTTTTTGGAAAAACCTGGCTTTTGAAGGTAAATACCTCTTTTTGTGTAGAGGGTCGACATGATACACTAAAAAAGTGGGTATTTTGGAATCGGGGGTAAGTGTGATGGTACACGATGTGAGTCACAATGAAAACCTGATAGTGAAATGGTCCACCCAGAAACATGTAAAGAATGCAGAAGGCGGCCCCAACTATTTAGGGTTGGGACTGTCCCTTACCTTCACTTACCCGGATTTGATTGTGACTCATGTAGTGTTTTCCACTGTAAGTACCCTTTCTGGGGGATATTTGCAATTGCGGTTGCTAAGCTTCTACTCCCTAGCTAATCGATCGCCTCTTTACTCTGTATACGACAAAGCGTGGGTGAACACATACCCCCCGGCCCGCGGCGAACAGATCACGAGACCAGCTTTTGGTCTGAGGATCTGGTAGTAGATGCCATTCACTAACGCCTGCAGGGCTTGGACCAGCCCGCGAAAAATGTCAAGCCTGGTAAGACTACCACCTTCAAGCTCCCCTTACACCAATTCATACATTGTTGGTCTTCTTCGGAGGGTACCCCTTTGGGGGTTGGTTTGAAGGGTAATTAAGGAACAACCACTCATTTGCAGGGTTGCCCTATTTTGAGAAGCATTCATACATTCTTGTAGGTCTTTCAGTCTAGATCAACTGACCCATAATTTGGTTTGCAATCACTTCCAACTGATGTAAGTACTGCCTCATTACACTGGGGCCCGACCTCCCACCCCCCCCCCCTTCTCCCGGCTCTCCCCCGTGCCGGGCAAAGGCGTTGGAAGAGCCTGGAAAGAGACCCGGATTGGACCACCCCCCCTCAGTTTCTGACTTGAAGCTTGCCACTAAGTTTTGCAAAGGCTTAGTAAGGCTTTAAGCCCACATTGTTTGGCGATGCGAGGGACGTTCAAGTCTAGGTCCTCCAGTAGAGAGCTTAGATGTGTTTTTTTGTTTTTATGCTATTTTTTAGTAGGGGAACCCTCCCAACCAAAAAAAGGTGAGAAAGGGCACTACTGGAGGACCTAGAAGTGGTCCCCCTGCTGTTCGTTTCATATCGGCTACGGATCTGTAGTAAACGCAACAGCCCCCAAACGGTGTTTGCGGTTGCATTTGCCCAACGTCGGGAGAGCACCAAAGGATCCCAGTCATTTAAACGGGGTGAAACCCCGATGGAACACTAAAAGAAACCTCCGAATATGTCTGTCAACCACAATCGAGACACCGTGTAGTCTTGATGTCTGCTGTACTTTTACTCCACTAAAATGGTGTTCCCAATCAACGGCTGAACGTATACACCTATATATGAACCCCCTGTATGCACCGCTAGTTTATGGGTTAATTCATCGTTGATTGTTGGCTTAAGCCAGTTCACATGACCAAAAACTCATGAGGGACCCCAAATCTAAACTGCTACTATCTTCAAAGAATGAGCCACGCCTTTAAAGGGTGGTTTGAACAACATCTCCTTTCAGTTTCCCTTTCAAGGGGGGTTGACTGTGTTCGCTGCAATGGGGTATGTCGGGGGCTTGTGAGGGTACCATTTGGGGTCACGCACCCATGTAGCCCACACCCCTGGCCAAAAAAAAGAAAGAAAGCGAGGAACAAAAACATGAACGACTACGAACAGCTACGAACAGCTACGAACAGCTATGAACAACTATGAACAACTGCTTGGAGTCCACTGGTTTGTCTTCCCCCCCCAAAACAAAAACCATTAAACAACGGGTGGAACTGAAGGAATGGGGGGTCACAAAAAAAGAAGTGGGGCGGGGGGTGAAGAAAAAAAAGGGAGCCCGCATATCCACCTCGGTCTCTCTCCCTTTTTCGGTCTCTTTCCGTCGCCTGCATCCGTGCCACGCAGCCCGGCGGCGCGATCCGCTGGCCATACTCCACCGTGGCCGACCACATGGCCGCGAAGGTGAAGCCGTGCCTCGGGTCGCTCGGTACGCAGAGGTTTTGAAGTCCCTGGGATTGAGATACTGTGGCTGGACGAAATCCTTTTCGCACCACCTAGAAACCCTAGAATGATTCGATTCCCCTGTGAATACCAAGCAACAATGGTTTCCCATGGTTTCGACATGATGCAGGATTTCGTCCATCCACAGTAGGTCCTCCAGTAGAGAGGTTAGGAAAATGAGTTCCATCAATACTGTGGATGGTTGCGAAATCCGCGTCTCACACCACGAAATGAAACCGTGGCAAACCATCACGTTTGTTGGTATTTACATGGGAATCGAATCATTTGAGGGTTTCTTAGGTCGTGCAGGATTTCGTCCATCCACAGGAACTAGTTGCTCGGTACGCAGAGGTTAAGTGCCACTATTTGTTTAATGACTAGTACCGTTAGGGTCACCCCGGGCATTGAGATACCACCCTCAAAACCCGCTAAAACAATGGTTGGGCGAAAAATAACACCACTGGTTGAGCAGTCGGAAACTCGGCGTCGGGCATACCACGGAAAGGTTCTGGAGTCCCGTCCAGCGGGGTGGTCGGGGAGGGGGAGGGGGGTCACTAAGGCTTTCTAAGGCTCTCTAAGGAACCCAAAACACACTTGGGGAGATCCTAAAGGTAGCCCTGGATTCAGTTGGCACCTTTAAAACAATGGTTGGGCGAGAATATAACCATTGTTTACCTAAGTATTGTCATCATCCAAACTGGGTACTTGAAGGGGCAGAGTACTTAGTGTGTGGTTGCTAAACCTGGTGAAATAACTCACCAAACCCATGGTTATAAGTCTCCGTTCAGTGGGTCATAACCAGGCCTACTGACCACTTACTAAGTACCCTGGCCCTTTAAGAAAAGAGTCCTATCCAGCGGGTGGTCAATACGGCTCCCGAAGGAAGTCTGGGAAGCAAGTCTCAAGTTCAGCTTCGGGGTGTCCAGAGTCCCAAGTAACATCAGTGAGAAGGACCCCCGCCCAACAGTAGATTTGCGCATCCCTTTAATCCCCCTGGGGTTCAGTTACCAACATAAAAAAAAAAAGTAGATTTGAGCATCCCTCTAATCCCTGGGGTTCGGTTACCACCACCAAAACAAAGGCCCAGGGATTGATTACCCATTCTTTTGAAGCATCGTTCTTTTCAAACCGGATCTGTTTCCCCTCGGGTTCTGATGGTTTTCTGGAAAGATTCGGATCCCTGGAAAGAACGGGGCAGTGTCCCCTGGAACAGGGGGTGTTTTCCGTTCGGGAGCTTCATCCAAATTGGGTTCCATGCCATTCTTAAGGTTGGAACCCTAGGGAGGGGGCTGGAACCTCCCCAAAAGTGACAAAGTTTCTGGTTTGGGGTCACTGTGGGTGGCTCGAATCTCCCAAACGTGGCGGGGTGTTGTGGAATCTTTAAGAAGGGGGGTGTCCAAGGGGGGGGTCCTTCAGGCTCCAATATAATAAAAACAATTTGTACCTACCCCCATAGGGATTCCATGAAAGGGGAAAATGTCCGTTGGCTTGAGGGAAAACCACCATTAGTCGGGGTGCAAACTTGACTTGCGGGTTGAAAGGGCACATAAAGGTGCAACGGCCAAAAGGCAAACACCTTGCATGCGAAAAGATTGCGCGAGGGTGAAAAGAGGTGGGGGGTCAAAGTGGACTTGGGAATTCCCGTTGCCTTTTAAACCACTAACCCAGGAGGTTCAACCCCATGAAAAGAATGGTTGGCGCAATTTGGAGGACACATTCCTGCGGCAAAGAAAAGTGGCTATGTTACCCCCCCCTCTAATTTGATGGTCGTTGGAATCCCGGGGCTAAGGAGTCTCCCCAAAAAAAGTCCCCCCCCCCCCTCTAAGTTGATTAAAACTTAAACCCTGCGACTAAAAAATGTGTTCAACAAAAAGGTATGGCAGGAGAGGCGTGTGTTAAGTCTGGCAGTGGCGCAAAGGCTCCACCAGCAGAACCAGCCAGGGATTGGAGGCGGGGATCACTGTGTAGCACCTAGGCACGAGCGTCTTGTCTCTTGGACTATGTCCGGGCTACTGTGGATGGTTACGAAATCCATTTCGCACCACCCAAGAAACCCTAGAATGATTCGATTCCCATGTACATACCAACAAACAATGGTTTACCATGGTTTCAAAGTGGTGCGAAATGGATTTCGTCCATCCACAGTATTGAGGTACCGCCCTGAAAAAAAAACAGGAAACGGATCGCAGGTTCCCTTGGTGCATTACCTGTCTCCAGCAGCAGGCATTGGAGGGAAACCTCCTCCAAGGGGCAAAACATGAAAACAGCCAGGTCTGAGGGTGATGTCCGAAGGAAATGTGTCAACATAATTCGGCGGACCTAACACAGAAAAAACACCGTGCAAAAAAACGGATAGGCCCCCACAGTTCATATGGAACCTGCAGACGGGGGAGGGGTCCCTATAAAAGGATCATGGTCCAAGCCAGGACCCGAACGTTCGTGGGAGGAAGCCGGCTGGTTCTCAGCAGGGAATGACAAATGGAATGACCGCAAAGAAAATCATCCATCCTACCTGAAGATTCATTCTCCGGCCTTCACGAAAAAAACATCGATATTTAGGAAAAAACAGTTGAAGACGAGAACTACCAGGACATTCACGGAGAATGAATCTCCAGGTATGGTTTATTCGGCAATCCATGCAAAGCGCGGACTCAAAGCCCGGACTCCTTCGGTCATTCCATCAAAAAGCTTGCTGGTGCTCAGCCGGGAATGAGTTGGAAGCTGGTGAATTCCGAAGGGACCAAAGCCTGGGTTCATTCCATTTCTCATTCCCTACTTCTCGCACCGGCCAGCTAGAAAGGAAGGGTCCCCTCCAAACAAATAGACTCAATAGACCCGGACCTGGGAAGGTCATTCCACCCACCAAATGAACCTTCCAAACCATCCCCTGCTTCCAAAAGCGGTTCATTCCCAAGACCCGGAAGGTCATTCCATCCAAAAGCTTGCTGGTGCTCAGCCGGGAATGAGAAATGGAATGACCCCAAATGACACCATCCAACAAAATCTTCCAAACAACCCCGTCGCATGATTTCCTTTAAAGGGAGTCGCATGGTTTCCAAAAGGAAAACACGGGGCTCGTCCCCTCCCCCAGGGCTCAGCGGTCCGGGCGCAGGCAACGGAAGGCCAGCACCACCTTGCAGGCCATCAGCACTGAGGTCAGCCGATCCTGGCGCATCGATCGAGCGGACAGACGCCTTCGAACTTCGGACTGCAGACGCCTTCGCGCGCTGCAAAAAACGAAAACCGCCCCGAAAGGAAACCGCCTGGAAAAAGGTATTCTCCTTCTTTTTTTTGGTGGATTACAAGGACACCATAAGGAACACTGAGCCATTTGGGGAGTGCCCCCCAAAACACCCGAATTGGTTCTAATTGTCTAGTTTTGGTCGTAGGTTCCCAGTTGCGATTGAGCTTCATCTCCACGTCTCCACTCCCTGCATGTTCCTTCCAGGTCCCTCCGCCCGTAGATATAATATTTATTTGACTCAATTGCAGCCGGGAACACTGGGCTCGCCCACTTTGTTGCATCTAGGTCCTCCAGATTTGAGAGGTTAGAATAAGGGTACCCGTTTTATGTAGTCTATTGCAGTATAGGGGAACCCCCAAAAAGTTGGTAACATGCTCTACTGGGGGAACCCAACTGACAAAGGGGGGACGGTGCAAGATGGTGCTGTCGCGTTGGAGTCGAGTCCTTGTTGGAGGCCCAGACGTTTTCGACGTATTTGAAGACAGGGATCTCGAAGAAGCACATCACGGCCTCGGCCAAAGCTGACCGACGGCAAGTGTGTTCCAAGTGATCCCTTTTGCCAGCATATTAGGTTCTCCTTCTACCAGCTAAACGGAACATTCCAGTGACTCCATTTGTATAGCGGGTAAGCTTTGTTTCCCTCTAAAACCAACTTGGTTTTACAACCCGTTGGGGTACCCGCCAAAGGACGTAAGTGAACCCGTTGGCCTCCCCAGGTGACCTGTAAAACCTCGATGGCCCTAAATGGCAAAAATCTGGGGTGCACGGAACATATGTTCAGAGCAATTCGTATTGAGTCTACCCCAAACTATCATTCCATACCTCCAGTATGGGTAAAACAGAAAATCACCCCTTTTGTTGTCGTGAATCTAGGGAACCTTTCCAAAGAAAGGACCCACATCGGGTGGAATCCAGTGGATGCCTGGGAAAAGCAATCTTGGACAGTTCAGAGACAAGCGAAAAAGAATCGGTGGCCCGCCGATGTTTCTGGTTGGGAAAAGCGTTGTCAAATTGGAAAGGGTACCCTTTGTGTTGGTTGTAAAGGAAACCAAAGGGAAGTCCGCAACTTTTGGGGGTCCCTTAAAAAGGGACACGCCTATTAAATAGGGATTCCGAACCCCCCTAATTTGTTTGGTTTCCGCAAGTGGATTCGAATCCTCTTCAGCGAATCCCAGAAAGGGCTGAAGCTAAGAGTTGGTTCCCCATTTAGGGCGATTACCCCCTCTGGTGGTGGATTTGTTTCCAGGGATGAATTCCCCCTTCTTTTCAGAAAAGAATCACTCTTTCCCAAAAACCCAGCCATTTTTGTCCGGGTCTCCAAAGGTTTTCTAGACGGATCCCTGAAAAGAATGATGTTGGAAGATACCCCCTCCCGCCATTCCATTCCAACGATCTGAGCAAAGCCATCCAACATCGCTCTTTCCCAAAAAACCCGAAGCACTTTTTGACGTGTTTCCAGAGGTTGGAAGTACCCCTTCAACCAGAGGTTGGAAGTTTCCCAGTTTCCAGAGGTTGTACTCCAGAGCTTTTCCAATCCGAGCAAAGCTCCAGGGAATTCCCGAGCAAAGCTCCGCCCGAAAAAACGCTATCCATGCGGCGGTGGAGGCGCCCAAGAGGACCTTGGGACAGTTCTCGAAGTCCTGGCGCTCGTACTGACGTCGACGGGGGAGGAGGCTGGAGGTGGGGTCCGACGTCGGGGCCCAAATTCCATGGATCTACCTGAACCTGCCAGAACCTCCTGGGGCTTTCAATAAAAAACCCAGACCCTCCATTGGACACTTTGGGGTTTGGGGGTCTCAAAACCTGGCTATTTAAGGGCCCTAAATCAATCGGGAGCCTCTGGGCCTCGAAAATCCAACTTAAAGATGGATTATAGCAACCCAAACTTGTGGTTGGTGAATTCCAACTTGTTTATGGAACCAAACTTTCGGCCTCGCCCGTGTCTCCTCGTTGAGGAAGACCAACAAGAAGGACTCCACGACTGACATGGCCAGGCCGTACCTTGGAACTCGACGGTGCCGGGGTGATGCCACACGCTGGGAAGCCGGACACCAACCAAAAATAAAAATAGGAAGCCAAAGGCAAACCAAGAAGAAAGCAAAACAGGAAGGCAGCTGATAAAACTACATGGGAATGAAAAACAAATCGCCTGAGAAAAAGCTCGGCGACATGAACAAAACGAAAAGGAACACCTTTTTCACCGCAAGGGGGCGGTTTTGGAAAACCGAAAAGACGAGGCACACAACAAGGTTGGCGAAGAACCAGAGAACGTCGAAGTTCAGAAACTGCCTCGCGCGGATTCACATCTGCACATTGGGTCTCCATGACCCTTTAAAAATGGCTGGTCATTACCCTAAATAATGGGCTCGTGGACCTATCTTTGATTGGGGTCATAGAGACTCCAGGGGTCATATGTTGTTTGCTTTGGGTGGGGGGGGGGTTCTCAAAGTCAGAAACGGGGGTGCTGTCGCTTGAAAAAAATACCACTTGGTGTGTGTGTGTGTGACTTTGATCATGCTAAAATCATGCGGCTGGTTTGCATGTGTTACAATTCCAAAACCTGATCGTGGCGACCACATATGGCTATGAAATGTGATTCGGGACCGTCTGGACATCATTTAGGGGGTTTTATGTCCACCAACCACTTAGGGGGGTCCGCATTAAAATTCATGGCCATATTCATCGACCCAAGTGTATTAACAGGGGGGGGTCCCTGGGTTTAGTAGGGGTTCATCACTATCGGAGAAAAACACCCCCTGTGAATAAACTGGGGTTGATTAATATATGGCACTAACCTTGGAAGAATTGGATCCGAGTCTTGCGGATTCTTTTTTTTTACCCCTAGTGAGCTCGCCTTCCACCTTTCCCGGTAGGCTCAGCGAAAATGGAAACGGAAGCCCACAGAGCCATGAGCAATGAAGTCTTGCAATCGGATCCCGTCTGACGGATCGGATCTTTCCCATGGCAAACCGCTCTGGTTCTCAGTTCAGTGACCCTGGAACAAAAAGGGAACCCTTTTTGGGGAAGACGATTTTAGTGGGGCAGCCACCAAAAAAAAAGGGGAAAAAGGGAGCCACTGAACAACTCAGGGTTTTACCCCCCGGATTGGTGAGAGAAAGCTACATAGGCAGATTCAGGGCTCCCTAGATGTCCCCTAAAAACATCGCCTTCAAAAAATACTCACCTTCCATGGACCAACAAGGTGATGTTTAAAACCACCCCAAAAAGGAAATACAGGGACCCCTGAGCTGTTTTTTTCATGTGCGCCCAGAGAGACGTGAGCGAAGCAAAGAACTCACTGCCGATGGAGGTGGGCTAAAAGAAGTCCAGGAACACTTTTTATGTGCCACTGGATTGGTGACCCAAAACGTGACTACCTGAACCCTCAAAATGTCCAACTTAAAAATGGGTTGGTTATAACCACCCAAACTTCTGGTGGGTGAATGCCAACTTTCTCATGAGGCAGTGTCTTCGGGTCCAGGGAACTCTTTGCTGGGCACTCGGAGCCTCCTGTTGGGGGCAATGGCGGGCAACCCGGCAACTCATGGAACTGAGGTGAGAAGGTCCCAACAGAAGGCTCCTTTTGTTGGCGTTCCATACTGTGGACGGGCGAAATCCGTTTCGCACCACGTTGAAACCATGGTTGAAACCATTGTTTGTTGGTATTTACAGGCGATTCCTCTTTCCAGATTCTTGGGTGGTGCGGGAGTTTGTCCATCCACAGCATGCGAATCTGCCAGTGACGCTTGAAAAGGCTTACGGCGACAAGTGCGCTTGGGTTGTGATGTAGGGTTGGCTTTCTGATGGGTTTAGGGCTTGGTGTAGGGTTCATTTAGGGCTGGGTTGGGTTGGTGTAGGGGTGCTTCGGGGTGGCTTTAAGGCTGGATATGGGCTGGTTTAGAGTTGATTCAGCTTGGTATAGGTGTATGCTCAAGTTAGGATTGATTGCGTAGTGGTTTAGATGGTTAGGGCCGGGGTGCCCCTTGGTGGTGGGATGTCGGGAGGGGGCCCCCTAGGGGGGGGGGGGAGGGAATACGAGACACGGTTTCATACTGTGGATGAACGCAATCCTGCACCACCCAAGAAACCCTGGAATGATTCGATTCCCCTGCAAAAACCAACAAACCATGGTTTCTTAGGTGGTGCAGGATTTCGTCCATGCACAATTCGGAGGAGGTTCGTGTGTCTCCTGCCTGATGCTGGCCATCTCCTGTGACGCCTCCTGCTTGTTCTTCCGCATGGGCATGTAGTAGAGGATGATGCCCAAATACACCGCCTGCCAGTGAATCAAACAAAAGAAAGCCCAACGAGGCTAGGAAACCATGGGCTTTTCTCTCTATGATTTCCTCTTTTGGAGTCTTGGTTTGGCTCTAACGAAAAACAGCACCAGGAAACGGCACCACTCAGCTGATGGCAAACATAACCAGAACTCGGCTGCGTTGCTTCAATTTGACCATACTGGAAGCCAAGCTCGACAATCAGCTTCCCTCTAATGGTTTGGATTGGGGTTGGAGCACCTGGGAACAAGCCTGACACAACCAATGGGCGCCCCGGAGCAAGAGGCAAGCAACAACTGCCCACCCAAAAACCAACAGAATCAGCATAGGGAGTGCGCAAAAAAAGACAACATAATCTGACACCTACAAGTGGGGCGAAAACCAGATCCATTCTGAGTCCTGTTGCCAAGGAGTTTGCCACGGAATGACTCTGTGGAGTTGGACCCTTTGAGGGATTGAAAGGGAAGTCCGGAAACCAAACACCTCGGGGAAATCCGTAATTTGCTACCAGGTCCTTCCAGAACTGGTAGCTCCTTAGCTCCCTGCATGAGAAAGCGCAAACTTGGATACCCAGCTCCGAGTCCGGCTCCATTCCTTCCATCAGTTTTTGCAAAACCACTCGCCGGAGGAGGCAACAGCAGAGGGTAGGAGGTAAAAAGGGCGCGGGTACCAAACCTATATCTACCCCCCCTAGGCTAGGGGGGAACCAATCTCCCCCGGCATGTCTAGGTGCGTCTTTGATTTAGGGGAATGGTGGGTTTCCTTTGGGTGTCCCGTTCGAAAGCACCCCACAATAAAGAACCTGAACCCTCAAAGTATCCTTTAAACATGGATATGATCCCCTAGTTTGGAGTATCCCATTGTTAAGGATAGTTTTTTTGGGTGCTGCTGCACCCTCGAAAATGACACCCCCCCATTTTCTCGCCCCAGTGTTTTTCCGCAAATCTCCTGATCATGCAAACGGCTACCATGCATTTATTCCAAAATACCGGTGTTACTATTCGTAGTTTGTAGCACTATGGTGGTCAGCAACCACTTGTACAAATACGGTGTGTTTGACCATTCTCCCCATCAAAACACCGCATAAACATGGCATCTCTGACCACTCTCCCAATCAAAACGCAAAAAACAACAACGTGCTTTTGGCCCCTTTTGTTCCATCAGAACACCTGAAAGCCCTGTCTTCTTGACCCTGCTTCCCATCAAACCACACATCTCGGCCGCTCGTAGTTTTTGTCTAGGTTCTCCAGTAGAGAGGTTAGAATAAGGGTACCCTTTTCGTCAGTAGTCTATATTTTACCCTCCCAACCAAAATTGGGTGAGTGGTCGGGCACCTAGGGGACCTAGGGGACCTAGGGGACTGTGTCCGCTTCCCACAGCGAATCCGAATGGATCCGAAACGAATCCCAGGGAAAACCGGTCCGACGATCCGAAGGCCTGGATGGAGGCGAAGCCCCAGAACATGAAGCCGATGCCGAAGGTGTCGATGAGCTGCCCCGCCACCAAGCCTCGGAAGACTCGCCTCGGAGCCTCGGAGCCTCGGAGCCTTACTAACGAAATCGATGGATGAAGGGTGGGTCAGGTAAAGTGGTCAGTAACCAAGTGGTAAGTGGTAAGTGGTAAGTGGTAAGGGGGCTGGTTTTGGCCCCTCACATGGTGGTCTGAACCCCCCGAAGCCCCGCTAAAACACTGAAAACTGGACACCCCTGTGAATAAACTGGGGTTGATTCATATGGGGTCGATATTACTTCAAGGGGCGAATCCCCGCCATTCTTAACGGGGCGATCGATGAAGGGTAGGTCAGGTCAGTGGTTAGTAACCATGGTTACAACTAACCCACTGAACGGAGACTTGTTTCACCATGGCTTTTGTGGGTAACAACCGTGGTTACTGAAAGGGGATCGATGGATGAAGGCTACGTCAGAAAGGTGGGATATGTGGTGCGATATCCCACAAAAGCCCATGGTTACTAGCATAAGTGGATCTAGATAACCACAAAAATAGGGATCTACATAGGGGTTGATTGTAGTGAAAAAGGCCTTGAACTTACAAAATAATAAGGACAGCAAGCGGGACTTGGAGTAACAAGTACTGCCATGATGTTTAAATGCCAATATGTACAATGGTTCTTTCTCTTATTTACATTAATTGAAACTGGGCCAAAACGGGAAACGACAAAAGGTGTAAAAGGAACTGTTCGGCGTCAGAGCTGCTCATGCCGCCCCAGCCCACCGCGCACCAAAGACGCTGGTCGCCATACTGCTCCTCGCTCTCCTGTTCCTTCAGAACCTCAGAACTTCACAAGTTTCCCAACCACCTGGATCGCCAGTTGCGATCGCTTTTTTCCCTCCACTTTACCCCAAAAGCCAGCAACAGTAACCCAAAAAAGCGGCAACTTGGCCATCTAGAATCTAGGCAGTATAGGCGCCGCCTCAAACAACTGGCATCTGCTTGTGTGAGATACAGCCCCAGGGCAACCCCACAATGGAACCCTGGTAAGCGGTTAGACATGGACTAAAACCTGCGGTTTTGTTGGTGCCGTATCAGACGGGGTACCCCATTTGGGGATGGCTCAAAATGTGTCAACGCTCGGGCGGGTTTTTGTCGTTTCCGTTTACCTTTGGTGCCATTTTGGTGGGAAAGCCTCCCCCCCTCAAAAAACAGAAGCAAAAGGGTGCCAGTGTCCGTGAGCCACATCCAACCAACTCGGCCACTGGAAAATGAGAACCTACTGTGGATGGACGAAATCCTGCACCAGCTTAAGAAACCCTGGAATGATGCTTCCCCGCCTTTTAATACCAACAAACAATGGTTTGCCCTGGTTTCCAAGTGGTGCAGAATTGCGTCCATTCACAGTATTTCCAGTAGCGAATACCTTCTGGTGCCAGTTTGGCTCGACACCTCTTTCTGAGCCGCCTTTTTGTCGCTTCATGGAACCCGTGCGGAAAGCTGAGGACCTGAGGATGCGGCGGAGAGGCACATGGCATCGATGATCGGCCCCCCCGTGGAGAGGAAGAAGGAGGAGCTAACACAGACCAACGAGAGCAACCAAAAGTTCGTCTGCACAGCCGGCACCAAGTTGAAGAAGATGATTGCCTGAGTCTCCGTTGCAACGAGTCAGAAGTAAAACCCGGTGATCGAAAGCAAAAGTTGAAGAAAATGATTACCTGAGTCTCCGTTGCAACGAGTCAGAAATAATCAAATTGCTTTGGGAAAGACTAAAGAAATCCTTGGGCAAAAGTTGAAGAAAATAATTACCTGAGTCTCCGTTGCAACGAGTCAGAAATAATCAAATTGTTTTGGGAAAGACTAAAGAAATCCTTGGGCAAAAGTTGAAGAAGATGATTACCTGAGTCTCCGTTGCAACGAGTCAGAAATAATCAAATTGTATTGGGAACGACTAAAGAAAGGCTTGGGCAAAGGAGTCAAAATACAAGGTTCACCTTTTGGGGCCATGGCACAAAATGGAGCAAACGTCAGAAATAGAGGCCGGTGATCACCTTGTTTTGAGGTCATGGACCAAAGAGGGGACAACTCGAAGGTCAAACTGACAGTTGCCATAGGATTCAGCAATCAAAGGTGATCACCTGCTCAGGCCATGGCTAAAAATGGACCAAAGAGGGAAAACCTAAAGATCAAAAGGTGAAGCCTTGGGCAAATGAGTTGTCTCAGGGTCGGTTGCAAAATGCGGAAACAAAGGCGTGTCTCAGCGTTGGTCGCAACCAATGGTTGAAAACTAGGAACAGCTCATAGTGCAAGTCTTAAGGGAAAGCAAAAAGAGATTGTGTGAACTACACAGTCTCCCTCCGCTTTCGCCGTCGACGGATAAAAAACGTCCACAAAAATCCGCCGCGTCTCCGCGGGATCCGAGGTGCGGTGCCTGCCAGAGAGGTGCCCACCAGGACGCGCTTGTACTCCCCCAGCCGGTCCGTGGCCAGGGACCAGAACCTCACCGTGCGAACGCGCGAGCGCGAGCGCGCGAGCGCGAACGCGCGAGCAAGAACGCGCGCCCAAGGACCGGCGTGTCTGGGTGCGAGAGAGATGCGAAGGAGTGGGGAATGACAGCGACAAAGCTGTTTGCTTGTGGCTTCCTTTACGGGAATCTCATTCCTTAAGCACTGGCTGTTGTCAGATTCTTCAAATTGGTGGCTTGGAGCCCGCAGGTTAGCTAAGGAAGGAACTCCCAGCGAGCCTCAAGAACCAGAACCGGCAACAAGCGCTTCACAAGCGCTTCACACCCCGAGATGTGGGTGATGGATCCGATTCCTTGAATTCTGGGTGGTTTAAACAAAAACCTGTTGGTGATGGATCACCCTCCTGGTGGTGGTGAAAAACCGCGCCAAACATATTGGCGATAAATCCGATTCCTCCTTTTGGTTGTTTTCAACCATCTGTTTTCAAACCACCCCTACCTATTTGTCCGATTTTTGAGAGCCCCCGCCCGGTTTGAGACAAATTCAACCGTTCAACATCACCCCCCTTTGGGTGTCCTTTAGGACACATCGCCTGGTCCCGAAAAAATGGACTCGAAGCCAGGCTATGAGATCTGGAAGCGACCCGAATTGGTCCACAACTCGCGCTTTTGGACCCAACCCCACCAGGCTCGGATCTACCTTAACAGTTGATCAAACTGGTGGGTTCTACGCAAGGTTCTTGGTTGATTCTGAGGGGAAATCCTTCCCACCCAAAATAACAGAAGAACAAAGGGTGTCAGTGCTACTGAGCAACATCAAACCAACTCATCCACCGGAAAATATGAGAACAGATTTCCAGCAGCGATAGATTCCTTTCAAGCCAACAGGGGAAACAAGCATATTCTGAATCACATTCTCGGCTCTCCGGAGATCCCCTGCTAAAAGTTTCACTTGTGGGTTCAATACAGAAACCCAACCCCTAAACGAAACAACTCAGAACCTGCCCGGAATCGGACGATTCGCTGGTTGAACCGCCAAGCAATCTTGGCTCAAAACCTGTCTGGAACCGGAGGATTCGCTGCGAAGCGAACTTGCGAATATTCCGCCAAACCTGGGTCAGATCCCAATGTACAAGCTTAACTTTCAGTGGGTTAAACGGATATCCCCACTAAACTGACTAAACGACTAGGCTGAGAAGCTGAGGAACCAGATGGCTGGAAGCCACCAAGAAAAAACCGCCTTCCGCGATCCCATCCGCTCGCTTCCCGGTTTCCTCCATTTGTTGAAGGCCCCTGGAAAAAAAAAAAAAACATAGTATAGTGATAGATTCTCGTGAAAAACCAACAGCCAGGCCCCCCCGATGGCCGGTAATTGGCGTCCCGGGTGAAGTGCCGGCAATTGGCCAGCCATTGGGGGGTGCTGGAGGGGAAAAACAACTTAACCAAATGGAAGATGGTCGCGTTTCGCGTTGCGGCCCGGGCGCAGCTGCCCCAGGAAGGAGGCCACCATCTGCGCGAGGCTTAGCATGCCGATCTCCGTGCGCGTCACCCCCACGTCGGACCAGAAGACGTTGATGAAGCGCCCAAAGCCTAAGCCGGAGACGTGGAAGTGTCTACTTGGAAGAAAAAATCCAAGCCACCGAGTCGGAGTCCCCCCCCCCACCGACAAAAAAAAAGAGGATGGCCAACCAACTGAGTGAGAGCCCCCCTAAAACGGAATGTTTTAACCAACTGAGTTTAGGGGGACCACCTGAGTAAGAGTCCCACCAATTAACCTGGAACCTGACGCCCAGGGGGTCCTGGTTTGCATTCTGGATATTTCTGGACATGTTCCTTGTACAGGGCCCCCGAACGTCAGGTTCCATGTTACTTGGTGGGAGGGGAAGAGTCACCCAAAGAAGGGGAAACTTTCAACCAACTAAGCAGACAATCAACATGGTAAGGGGACCAAGCCCAGGTCCCCAAAGAAGTCCCAACTTGGATGTCCAACCAACGTTATGTAAGTAGGTGTTATAACCATGGTTACAGGAAAACCAACACCAGAAAACCTATAACATACTAAGTTGGTTCGACATATAAGGGGACAGCCCTTCTAGCTCTAACCACCTCTTGGAAGGAAGAAGTCGCTGCATGTGAGTCTTTCCCTCATGTTCCTACTGGTGGCTTATCATCTACCCTCAACAACAAGAACCAGGGGTTGATTTCCCCAAGCCACCAATCCAAACCACCGATTGGGGGGACGCCGATCCAGGCACAAGGGTGTCTTAAGTGAGGGCACAAGGGATTGCCAAAGAGGGAACTGGACATTGCCAAGGCACCTGACCCGGCCCCAGCAGCATAAAGCAAGCACGCCCGAAAAGCAAGCAACGCAACTAAAACAAATCACATCAACACCAACAAATATACACACCGAACAACACAACCAACAAAATGAGAAGGGAAACACAAAGGACAAAAAACACCCAACACTTGAAATCATAAAGAAACACACAAGCAACCAAACAAATCCTCAAATAAGTAGCACTAACCAATCAACCAAACATTTATCCAAACCCAAACATAGCAATAGAAAAAGCAACCCAAAACAATCAACACATACCAACAACAACCCGGGTACCAGCATAGAAACAGCAAAAAAAAACATGCGCAGAAAAAAAAAGGGCGGGTTTCGAAGCACGCCTCATCTCCCGATTCCCTTCCTTTTTTTTCTCCGAGGCTCATGCCCACGCTGCAGCGCCCAGCAGTTGACACGCCTTTAAGGTCCACAACGGTGTGTGCCGGACCCTTGGGGATCCATCGAGGGACACCGACATGGCGACCAGTTCGGGGTTCGGAGCGAAGGCACTGGACGTGGCGCCGGATGGAGTTGCATGACTTTGAGTTGGGCTGGTCTCGAAATGGTCGGCCTATGGAACGGCTTCTAGAATCCGGACTCGAAGCAGAATCCACAAATCAAACTTAAAAGGATCCGAACTGGAGCAAGACAAGTTGGCGAACAACTTTGACCATGTGAATCAAGTTACCTACCGACCATTCCGGCACATGACAAAGGTGGATTTGCCATGTGTTCCCGCTGAGCGAAGCTGAATGCATCTGGTGTGTCCGAGCCCTAGGTGGTGCTTGAGCCTTCAGATCTTCCCGCGGTCATGGTGTGGACGCAGATCTGAACATACCGTGCATGGTTTTGCGAAATCCATGCAACGCACCACCGAACTCAGACACCCTGGTTTCTGATTTGATTCCCTTCAAAATACCAACAAACAATGATTTATCCGGGTGTCGAAGTGCAGGTTTCGTCCATCCACAGTATGGAGTGTGGGCGAAGATGGGACAGCAGCCCTTGACTGGACTCAAAGATGCGTCGCTGGGTCCTTGATTCTTGAGCGTCTTCATCACAACTTACACCAAAGCATTGCTCGTCCTGATTTTCCATTTGCTTAAGCGCCCTGGAACAAATCAACCTATTCCAAGAGGGGGATAGATCCCCTTTGAAACCAACAAGGGCAAATAACAAATGTTCTTAAGCAAATGGTAGAGACTCGAATCTCCTCGGGTTTGTTTTCCCGTGGGTTTCGATGCGAGATTCTGGGCTGTCCTTTCAAAGTGATCCCCTACCACAAGTGCTTGACTTGTGGGGTGAATACAGAAACCCAACCACATAACTAACAAAAAAACAAAAACGGAAACCCCCGCTAAACCAACTAAAAGCCACAAAACAAAACCTTCCTGGAACCCGGGAACATGCGCTGGTTGATCCGCGAAAAACCAAAATCAGACCCGAAGTCGAAGCGCTTTAGCCTTCTGAGGCTCCCGTCCGGCGTAAGCCGTGGCCTCAGGCAGCTGAGCCGACCGAAAAGGGCGAAGCACCAGATCCTGTGCGTGATCCGAAACTCGGGGGGACCGACCAAAATTCGAGGTGTATTGCCATCAGTTTCCTCAGCTGCCCCCAAAAAAGGCAGTGGTTTGTGCGACCAGTTTCCTCAGCTGCCCCCAAAAGCCGGTGGTTTGGAGTTAGAGGTGGTTTGGCGGTGTTCCGGGGTGGTTGTGCAAGAACCAGGGGTTCAAATCCAAATCCACTTCCCGCCAATCCCAATCAGGGGTTGCCTGACTGTTGATTTGTCCTGGCCTAAATTTGCAAGGGAGTATGTGTCATGTTGTCCGCCATGCGTGGTTGCAAAAGAGCTTATGTTTTCTTCAGGAACGGCGTTTGGAGGTCATGTGACCGAACCATGACCATGCCCCCGTGCAAGTAGGAACGCATGAGGGCGTGTGCTTCAAAGACATTCTTGGGAACGAGTGTCATTTCTTGCGGCTGAAGTGCTGTTGCTGGCTATGCTATGCTGCCACGAATCTGGACTCTTGCAGTTAAAGCGGAATGTTCAAAACATGGGGCTTACTGGCGATCCCCCTGTAGATGATGTATAAGCGCAACCCAACCTTTCGGCCATGAACATGCCAAACCAAAGTAAGGGACACATAACTTTAAATGGGTTGGGAGCTGACTAAGGGTCTTTGGTTGTTTGTCTGTCTGTCTGTCTGCCTGTTAGTTAGTTAATTACTTAGTTTGTTTGTTTTTTGTTTAGTCACTATTGACACCTGCCAAGGCTACTGTTTCTATGGCTCGAAAATACGTCAGCGGGTCTTCTGCGGTAGCCTCGTCAGGTGCTGTCAATGAAACCATGTTTTGGGCGTCCATTTGGAAGTGCCGGGACTAATCTCGCCCCTCCTACGAAAACCGTGGAAATATCCAGCCGAGCCGTTGGTGGTGTTGTCCTCTGCGAAGTCAACAGGTTGCTATTGAAGAGGAACAAACAAATGAAGAACACACAAAAAGGCAAACAGAAAGGCAAGCTAAGTCTGAACCCGCAAAAGGGCCTGGGACACAAACTTGAGATCGGAGCAAAACAAAGCAGATGTTGTTTCTCATTCGAGAAGTATCCTTCTGATATTGATCGGGGGAGATGTCATGATGAAGTGGTTAAAATTGTAAGTCTGCTTTGCTCCCCCCTGTTCACTATTAATTACTCCCCCCTCTTCAGGGCGGCACTAATTCACACAGTCCCCATGCGTTAAGCCCAGTGATCCCAGAAAACTCGTATAGGTACAGTAGCTAAGGGTTTCCTTTTGGTTTCAACCAAAAGAACACACCATCCCTCACCCGAACAAGACGCACTCAACGTGTATTTCCCCCTTTGAGTTAACATCACCCCAATCAACCAAAAGGAAAACATCCCACATCGTACCCCTAGCAAGACGCAGTCAAGGTGTATTTTTCCTTGAACATCACCCCAATCAACCACAAGGAAAACCATCCAACTGTGCCATACTGTACCCCTAAGAAAACGCAGTCGCAGTGTATTTTTCCTTTGAACATCCCCGTCACTTAGATGGTCTGGGACGAATCGCCACATAGTAACCCTGCTTACAGGTTGGACTTCCAACCATTGCAAGCCGGTTACAACCAGGGACGCTAGCCATTTAGCTAACTCCCAGACCATCTAAGTAGCGCACTCGCCGCATCTCACTTCAGGCGCTCAGGCGCCCAACGCGGGTCCAGAGCCGCACGGCGTAGAGCACCGCAGAGGAGGCCGAGGTGTACTGCGGCACATCCCGCTCCTACGTCCACAGCGTCAACGGCGGGTCGGTCTGTGGGTCGTCTCCGTGGGGGTTCCGTGTGAGACATAACAGGGATCCTTACATTACATTATACACCTGAACATTGCCTTGTCAATGGTGGTTTCCCTTTGTTCTGGTGCAACAAGCCATGTTTCAAATGGGCAACATGTATCTTTTACGGAGCCCTGCATAATGATTTGAGTTAGCCCTTGGGAGTTCCTTTTTCTGTTGGTTAACCACTTTTCGGGGAGTGATAATTGGTTGAACGTAGGCTTATTTTGGTGGGTGTACTTGAATTACTAGGTCACCTCTAATTAACTTGGAACATCAAAACCCGGTATTAAAATGGTCGTAATCCCAGAACCATGCTTTAAGAATGAAGAAGGCGGATATCCGCAGCTATTTACGGCAAGGGGATTGTCCCGTAGTGACCTTCACTTACACGGGTTTTGATTGTGGCAATGTGGAGCTTGGACACAAACCCAAACACGCCCATATCATTCGGGTATGACAAAAGGTCAACATCGGTTGCATGGCGATTTACTGAGTTATAGGTTCGATTTGAAAATGTATAGCCGACTTGGTGATGAGAAAAACATGTGTTATATGTATAATCTTACTCATCACCAAGTCGACTATACATTTTGAGATGGAATCTGCGCACAAATGGGAGGCGCGTATGGCTACGTAAATCGCCATCTAACCGATGTCGATCTTTTCTCATTTCCGAATGATATGGGCATGTCTTCGGCGCACACAGAAAATCCGATGTTCACATTTTGTTCACCTTTTAGTCTGCCTAAATATAAACCATGAAAAGGAGACCCCAGACCTGTTTGCGGAGGTCGTTTTTTGGCGGTACCCCCCCTCTTCTTTTCCTGTGTGTGTGTGTTTACATGGAAACCAAATTGGAAAACCGCCATTTTGAGGCTCCCCCTAAGAAACGACACACCAACTTCTGAAAAGCACCGCCCACCATCAGCCACTGAGCTTCCCTGGTGGTTTGGAACCCGTCAGCTTGGGTTCAGGGGAGGAATCCCCCATGTACCCTCTGCAAGAAGTCCAGGGACCCGTTCAAATCCAAACCACCGAGCTCCAAACCACCTGGCGGGTTACCTAAGGCCTAAGGCCCAGGCTGACACCCTCCGAAGAAAAAAAAAAAAACCGTCCCCTGAAAAACGGACAGTTGGCCCTGCTGGGTCCTCCAGTAGAGAGGTTGGAATAAGGGTACCGTTTCATTTTTCTTTAGTGTATTTTAGTAGAACCCTCTCCCAACAAGAAACGATAAAAGGGCACTACTGGGAACACCCGCCCACAAAAACGAGGTCCCCTGAAAAACAACCTTCAGCCCTGGTTACAAAGGAAAAGGTCACCCGCGGGCCACCGAACAGCACCGTTTCATCCACGCCAAACGGTCGGTTGATATGTTTTTTTCTCGGGCGCGAGCCATGGCCAGGCGGAAGATGCCATCGAGCTCTGCCAGCACCGGGGTAGGGCCTGCCGTTTGGCAACGGGCTTCGGGAAGGGCGGGGGAAGGACGTGGGTGGCGCTTGTTTTTCTTTGGAGTTGGTACCCCTGCCCAGAGGGTCCCTTGGTACCTTTTAAGGAGGTACTGGACAACCCCTTTTTACCCCCCAAAAGCCATCCTCATGAAGTACTTGGACCCTCTGGGCTGGTTTGGTGGAGTACATGGGTTCTGCAAATGTTGCTCTTCCAAAAGCTGGAATACTGCGGATGGACGAAATCCATTTCGCAGCACTGTGAAACCATGGTTGAAACCATTGCCTGTTGGTATTCACAGGGACATCAACGTTCCAGAGTTTCTGAGGTGCAGGATTTCGCAACCATCCACAGGAAGGGTTTGATCCTAGGTGAGCTAGCCATACAATAGGCAGATGGGTTGTGCATTGAAATAGGTGGGTTTTCATGGCGGCTTTCAGCTGCCATTTGTTTCCTACCCAACCTGGTGGTTCCTTTAAACATCACCCTTGTGATACCAAAGTTTGCGATCATTTCCATGACTACTTTCCACTTTCAAGGAGGTTCCCTTAAGCTTGGTATCACACACATTCATCTACCGACAACGGGGTCTGACGCAAGGTTGATAGCGGCATCAAGGCTAGGGTCGATACTGGAAACGGCGTTGGGCCGGTACGGAATTCCCGGATTTCTTCCCCAAACTCGCTGAGCAGGTAGCAGCGAAATTAGGCCGCACTCGCCAGTAGCGGCGATTGTCCACCAGGCCTACCAAGCGGTCCACGGGCAAGCAGGAGGAACAAGTCATAATATCTGCATCAGCGCCAACAATAGTTAGGTGCTTGAAAATCAAAGTCATAGGACATCATGGGCTCCGAAGCCCTAAAACTGGCAAAGGACAATTCTGAAAGGGCTGGTGCTGACTTGTCCTGGCCCAAAAAACGACCTCCGAGCATGCCAAACCCCAACATCTACATCCTTACCCATTACAATCTTCAACATGTCGCAGCCAACCACGGCCAAGTATCAACTCGCCATAGAAGAAGCCCGCCGCCTGCAACTGGGACCTAGAAAAAAATATCACCTGCATGCGAGGGCCTTTTTCAAGGTCATGTTCAGGGTTATATACTACCTATATATACGAATATATATATATATATATACATGTATGAAGAGTACATAGGACTTATGTTATTGTTGACAAGCATCCAAACCTCCAACACCCCACCCATACCTTGAAAGTGCCCTGGACCATTCTCTTTGTCTGAGCATCTGACTATGCACCAACTCCTGGCAGCCAGGGAGGGGAAACTCGCCCGAAAAAGTCCACCTGGACCTACTGTGGATGGACGAACTCCTGCACCACGTTGAAACCATGGTTGAAACCCTGGTATGTTGGTATTTACAGGGGAATCATCATTGTAGGGTTTCTTGGGTGGTGCAGGATTTCGTCCATCCACAGTATGAATTTTCGGGCGGACACCTTGCTTGAATGGTATGTTTTGAGGGTCCAGGCAGGCCACTAAAATGGTCCAGACCCAAAAGGTCTAGAGTCCAGGATCTCAGGAAGTGAGGAAACGTTTCGGTCCCAACAGGGGTTGCCCGCTCCAGTGTTTGGCTGAGTTGGATTCATCTGAGGCTGCCTCTACGTTGGGGTATCAAAATAGGGGGACCCCCCAAATGGGTGGCTTCCAAATGGATTTGGAAGCCTAAAGAAGGGCACTGCACAGCTCCCAGCCCCCATGTTTCACTGCTTGGACATGTTGCAACAAACGGAATAGTGTGCTCGTCTTTATCCAAAGCCCCATCTCTGCTCCTCAACGTCCTCAACGACACAGGAAGGAACATCCCAGGGTGAATGATTCACGACATTCGGCGAGACAGACCTACAAACGGCTGACCCGCAAGCCAAGCTGAACAACGCCAGAAGCCATCAACATGACACACGGAACAAACAACACGCTGAGAAACACCTGCTCACGGGCTAACAAATCAACAAGCCAACAAAACTAACCAACAAAACCAACACGCCTCTGTGTGTGTGTGTGGGTGCGTGCGTGCGTGCGTGCGTGCGTGCGTGCGTGCGTGCGTGCGTGCGTGCGTGCGTGCGTGCGTGCGTGCGTGCGTGCGTGCGTGCGTGCGTGCGTGCGTGCGTGCGTGCGTGCGTGCGTGCGTGCGTGCGTGCGTGCGTGCGTGCGTGCGTGCGTGCGTGCGTGCGTGCGTGCGTGCGTGCGTGCGTGCGTGCGTGCGTGCTGGCTGGCTGGCTGGCTGGCTGGCTGGCTGGGTGGGTGGGTGGGTGGGTGGGGTGGGTGGGTGGGTGGGTGGGTGGGTGGGTGTGTGTGTGTGTGTGTGTCTGTGTGTGTTCATTTGTTTGTTGTAGAGCGCGGGGGGAGGGGGGGGAGGGGGGGGCAAAACAAGTTGGTTGTCCTTTGGGTTTCTCGTTAAACCAAGCTTCAACAGGGTACTTCCAAGGCAACCCACACCATTCCCCCACCCTGGGCTGTCCTCAGATCCCCTGCTATCAATCTATCTTTTTGTGGGATAAATGAAAATCCCCACAAAGCCCTAAAAACCCAGGCGCACAACCAGAAAAAAAAAAAAGAAAGAGCTGACGCTGACAAGCACCCCCCCCTGCCCCAAGCGTGGCCGGGTCGGCGTGCACGAATCGCCCCGCAGGCGTCGCTAGAAGCTTCTGGCCCTCCGACCTCGGGACCCGCGGAAAGGGCCAAGCCTCACATGGAACAACTGGGCGCCTAGGGAGTCATGAGGTCGGCATGGGCATCCCTTTCTGCTTCTTATGAAGATGCCGAGGGCTTTTTAAGCCAGGAACGAGGAGGACCATGTGGGGGTGTCTTTTTTGGAGGTACCTGGAGTCTCCATGACCCGAATCAAACAGTACCCTAAATAATGGGGTCATGGACCCATGTTTAAAGGGTCATGGAGACTGGAGGTGCGTGGTTTTCAAGGGTGCCCCTCTCTTGGGGTGAATTGAAACGAGAAACCAACAGAAATCCATTTCGCACCACCCAAGAAACCCTAGAATGATGATTCCCCTGGAAATACCAACAAATCATGGTTTCCCATGCTTTTAGAGTGGCGCAGGAGTTCGTCCATCCACAGTAGGTATCCGTTTGGCAAAAAAGATGGCCCCGGTAAGTTCAATCAAGCCCCTCTAAACCAGTGGCATCTAGTTCTCACCGCAGGAAATTGAAAAGACCACTTATGGAAAGGACGTCCACCATTGTTCGGGGGGAACCCCCCTGTTTTTTTTGCATACCCGCAACTTCATGAGAACTGGTGTCACTCGGCCGGAACAGTCAGGTTCCGACCGGTGAAAACTTCAAAGGAATCGGCCTGAAAGCGGCCATCAAGCTGTGGTTGATCCTCCCCGAACGGATAATAATCAGACATATGGCTGTGGCTCAAAAAATGTTCCACCATGGCACCTTGGTAAATGCCACCAAACTCTAAAACCTGAAGAACCCTAGCTCTCCAGTTTTGAAGCATGTTTTGGGCTTGTGTGTGTGTGTGTGTGCATAGGCTGGCTAAAAGCAAGCAATGTCCCTGGGAAATGCAACAACAACTTGAGAACAGGTTGTTTCGTGGTGTGTAGTATATACATATGTACGCAAGCGCAGCTGTCTGTTTGCGTGTTTGTTTGTGTGTGTGTAAGATTGATTAGGCAAAGGGTGCTGACGGCAAAGGTTCAGCAGTCGTGAGAGTGAACACGTATGGGCTTCATTGTCTGTTGAAGTATGTCAAGACTGACACAGCCAGGTTCGCGGCGTTTCCTTTTGGGCAAGCTCTTGTCCAGTCTGCTGAACGGTGTCGAGAGAATCGACAAGCCCGCCAACAGCAAATTTCAAGTTAGGATGTATGGGCACGTCCTCTCTCAGCGCCCCCCCCCCCCAACAATGAGTGGTTTTCCCGTTGGTTCCCCTTCAAAACCAGAAAGGGGTAGCCTCACAAAAACCACTCCAATATCTCAAATGGATCCGACAAGTGGTGACTTCCTTTGGCTTCCAAACCACAAAAGCTGCTTGCGCCGGTTCTCCTCGGCTGAGTTGCCGCATTTCCTTTCAAAGAACGCAAGAAAGATACCCACAAACGTACATGCAAACAGACAGGCAAGCATACAAAGGAAACCAAGGCAAGGAAGCAAACAGGGACCACCTTCCCTTCCGCCCTTCCATTTGAATGAGTCGCCCGGAAAGGCCCGGATACACCACCTCCGGGCACTGCGCTGACCTGGGCCGGCGGCGATCCGTTGACCCTCCCAAAACAACTCGCTGGTGCTCAGCAGGGAATGAGGGAATACTGGGACCCCGGGGTTCATTCCCTCACTCCCTACAGGCTTAATGTTGACCCAATATTAATTTCAACCAACCAGCTTAGTTTCATAATTTGGGGGGGGGGGGGGGGTTTGGCCCCTCCAGAAGCGGTCTGATTCCAGCCACAAAAACCCGAAATGGACACCCCCACAATAATAAACAGGGTTTTTGTTCATCCGTGGTCAGCATTACCCTGCCAAAAACAAAGATGGAACCTGCAAAGGGGTCATGTTGAATGGAAAATGGTAGGCGAGCTTTGGGAAGAAGTCTCGATGGGCTTCCCTGGCAAATTGATGACCAAGCAACAGGGGACACTCGTATGTGCCTGTGTTGCTTGATGGTACTTTCTTTGAGTCGGGGTCGAAGGTAAGCCACCTATGTTGGGGCATCTCCGTTTGGAAAGAACGTAAGGTACTGCTAGAGTCCGTTTGATAATCCACGGTTAAGCCTGGGCTCCTTATGTGCCCTTGTTTTACCTCCTGATGTGAAAACCACACAACTTTCGACACATCCTTCACAGTGATCGTCTAAATTCCCGTTTCAAGGATCAATAAGCATCCACAACCAGAAGGATTGACCTGGCACTAGGTCACCGGCAAAACGGCAGCCAGCTATTCTGGCATATTTCCACATAAGCCTGGGTTAAGTTCTGTTGGCTTCTTTGGGATTTGAGGGAATTGTCCTAGGGTGTACCCTCCCACCAATTAACATGGAACCTGACAGGGGGTTACTTTAAGATGAACATGATCTTTCAGGACCCCCCTGTCACGTTCCATGTTAATTGGTGGGAGAGCAATGGTTGCCGTTTACCAACGGTCAACATTCACCGTAGTTATTTAGAGTACGGGAATGCTATTGACCATCGTTTGCCTAAAGGCAGTGGCCATTCGAAAAAGGGCAGCTTTTTCTTCCGCAGGTCGTAAACGGGGTTTCCCCCTTCAAACAACTAAGTTGAACAAGGGCACTAAAGCCTCTCCGAAACTTGGCTTATTTCTGAAGGGCACCACAATGACACGTAGTTCAGACTGTTTCATGTTTAGAGCATTAACTTCCATTTGCTTAAGACCACTGGACAAAGTATAACATATTTCCAGTAGAGATAGATTCCCTGAAAGACTAACAAGAGAGAATAACACATATTCTCAAGCAATGGAGAAAGACTAATTCAAACCCGTGTTTGTCTTTTTTGAGAGTAATTATCCGTTTTGAAGTTGGATCGGAACCAACGAGGAAACCACCATTTGCGGGTTCCCCTATCTGGGTGGTGCATGGAGTTTCCTCCCAGTTACTCGTTTGCGCGGTGTTTTTCAGTGAAATAAACAATCCCTGTTCAGTTGGAATCCGCCCCCAAAAAACGCAACATACTGTGAATGGTTGTGAAAACCCTTTCGCACCAACGTTCAGAAACCCTGGAATGATACGATGCCCCGGTACATACGCACAAACGTTCTGGTTTCAACCATGGTTTCATAATCAAAACCGATGGGTAGTAGAATGATGTAACGAACGAAAAAGGCGGCTGCACCTATTCATGGATGGTTGAGATTATCCCTTGCTATGCCTCATCTACCCGAATCGTTTTAATATCCCCCTACCTCAAGGGTAAGGGTCCCCTACTTCCATTTATCTAGTCTTCCCCATAAAAGGGGAAAATGAAACCATAAATCGAGGGCTCCCGAGGTCCTTTTCTCCTCCCTCCCCCAGGTCCATGTTTAGGGATGTTTTTATCTCACTTCCGATCGAGTGGATGGCCAACAAAAAGCAACCAAACTTGTTTACCACATGGTCCGATCCCAAGCTAGGTCCTCCAGATTTGAGAGGTTAGAATAAGGGCAACCGATTTTTTTCTGTCTATTTCAGCCCTCCCCCAAAAAAGAAGTTGGTAAAAGGGCACCTAACTGGACCTAGCAAGAAGTGACTCAAGTCCACTCAGTTGTTCACTGAATTGGAGCCACTGAACAACTGACCTCAGCAAAGGGAGGACTCGCGGCTCACCGGTCGCATCTCTCGCATCCCTCGGATCTCTCGGGCCCCGGGGCCCCGGCTCGTTCTCCTCCTCGAAGGGGCCAGGCTCGAAGAGCACCGCGTCCAGCATCGCCTCGCACGCCCCGGACGCTCGGGACGACGCCCCCGAAACGGGACCTCGGGCCGGCGGCCGCTTCTCCGCCCCGGGAACTTTGAAAAAGTTTGCTTCGGCCGGCGCCCCCTGGAAGAAAACACACATACCTGTGGATGGACAAAATCCATTTCGCACCACGTTGAAACCATGGTTGAAACCAATTTGTTGGCAATTACGTTGGGGAATCGAATCATTCCAGGGTGTCTGAAGGGTGGTGCGAAACCATGCAAAACCACTGTTTGTTGGTATTTACAGGGGAATCATCCCTCCAGGAGGAATCACCCTTCTTCTAACCTCTCCGGAGGACCTGACCAGCTGCACCCCGATGGACCGATTCCTTTTTCTGACGAAATGACCAATCGAACATGGTGCCTGGAGTCTCCATGACCCTTTAAAAATAGGTCCATGACCTCATCATTTAGGGTAATGACCCCATCTTTAAAGGGTCAGGCAGACTCTAGGTACTTCCACCAGACTCTTGGGTCAAAATGAGCCACTAGGGGACCGCAGGTATAAGAGCTTACTTCCATTTACCAGGGCCATTCGGGGTACCTATTTTTGACCCACACCCACCCAAAACAAATATTATCAAGCAAGTGGAAGCCAAGGCTTGGCGACTTCATCCTGTGGCTTCACTCCTCTGACAGCTCGGAAGCGTTAGCGGTCCCCTATAGTGGTTTAATTTTGACCCACACCCATGTGTAGGCAGGTACGCCCTCAACAATTATAAGCACGTTCCTTAAAGCTGGTCTTCAAAAAAGGGTTTGCTGTCTATTATTGTTTGTTGGAGGATGTAGAATTCTTCAAATTGCAGCCAACGTTCAACTGACGTTTCAAAAGGAGCAGTGGCTTTCTTGCAAAATTCAAACAAGCCAAAAACAGATACCCTCAGAAAACGGCTCTCCTGCATGTGGGGCGATTGGGGGCGGGAAGTTTCCTTAAGTAGTTGTTTCTCAACAAAAGCACTAGTTGCTCAATTGCAATGGTGAGAAGGGGACACAACTTTCATTCATGTTCAGAAGGCCCAACAAAACAAAAACAGGTTGCAGTGTAGCAGCAGCGTGATTTGATGCAGCTACGCAGCTTCGATGGTTGCATGACGTTCGCCTTTTTGATCTAATTAGGGCAGCCCAACATCATCACACCAACAGATTGGGTTCCAGATCAATACGAAACCCCAAAACAACACAAAGCACAAACAGCTAAACAGCCAAAGACTCCAAGGTTGTTTCCCCCCCCCCCCCTCGTCGCCTATGTTGATTTCATTTAGGGTGGCTGACAAACTTTTCTCGGACGAGTTTGGCGGGAAGCTGGTTGATAAAGGGCTTCAGATCCCACATGTTCGAAGGGTAGGATATGCTATGCTTCTGGGAAACAACACCGATACCAACATGGCAGTCCCATTCCGGTGACTTGGTCACTTTGAGGGAAGTGGTACCATTCCAACTCAAACGACTTGTCGCTTTGTCGGCATTGTCCTTTGGGCATCACAGAACTCGGTGATGCAACACCCTAAAACCAGGTCGCCGCGACCATGGTACCCCCTTCCCCCGGTTCCGGCGCCGCGTTCGGAGCGTTCGGAGCGTTCGGAGCCCGCTTTCGCCTGTAGACGTGGGCAGCAGAGCGCGGCAAAGCGGCTGCGGTCGTTGAAGAACTGCAGCAGCAGCGGCACGCGGAGATAGGGCACCTGGCGCAGGTCAAAAACAGGGCTGACCCCCAAAAACATAGATGGAACCTGCACAAAAGGTCCCTACTTTTCCGCTTGAGCATCACTCCACCAAGAAACAAGTCCCCCCTGAAGTGAACCTTTTTCGGGAAATCTAGATTCGAAGGCTGCCATTGTTTCCATGATAAAACTGCGACCGGTGGTTGAACTGGTTGAGTTTTTGTGGATTCCTGCGAGGAAAGACCCCCCGATTTTGGGGGTTGATTGATTCTAGAAGGAAACCAAAACACAAAGTCAATTTACTGGAGGGCAAGATCACGGCTGTTGATGAAGAGGAGTGATTCATATATGAACCCCAGATTCATCAATTGGGGGTGTGTCACACAACCGGTCGCTTTGTGAGTCCGATAATGTGGCTTCTAACAATGCAGGATGGTGTTGAGCAAAACGGGGTGGGGTGGGGACTGAGCAAAATGGGGTGGGTGGGGACTGCAATCCTTTCCGCTTGTTGTTTCATGGTCATTCAGTCCAAACAGCAGAGCTAACAAAAGCCGCGGTTCTCGAAACAGGATGTGGGCCAGGCAATCATTGAGTCTCGTGGTCTCTCTTGAAACCGCCCAGAAATGAGTCATAATCAAAATCCGGTATCGAAATGGTCTACCCAGCACCATGTAAAGAATCAAGAAGGCGGATATCCGCAGCTATTTTTATGGCTGGGAGTATCCCTTACTAACCTCCATCTACCCGAATCGGTTTTGAGGACGTGGCTCAAGTGGCTTCGGCTTCATCTTTTGAAAACCACAACTTGAAGCGATTCGAAGCAGAACGAAGGCTTCGAGGTGAGCTCGAGATTGTGATTTTAAACGAACAAGCGGGGATACGGAGGGAGCGGGAATATGGGGGGATTCCAACTTGGCGCCATTTCACACTTAGGCAAGGTGCACTTAGGGGGAATCCTCGCGTGTCCCTGGTTCCCACTGTATCCCTGCTATAGTTGGTTTCCCTGATGATTGACTCCGCTTGAACCAAAGGAAGAACAGACAGGCCGAGCTGAACGCAACCATTTGGCACGTGTCACAAAGCCGGCGCGGATGAATCAAACACGTGAGCGCCCATTTCGTTTTGGTTCTACACGCACCAAGAAGAGGAATATGAAAGGTTTGTCCAGGCCCCACAATCCTCTGAAGCAGTATGGCAACAATGTAAATATGATATGTACAAATGCACATACATGCATACTATATTGTATATATATATATACATACATAGTATGTCACTGTCATGTCATGGGAACGGCTCCACAGCCCGTTCAGGGTTTGTCCTGCTCATGTCATTGTTTGTCTGTATTATGGCCCGGATTAATGACCTCTGTCAAAACTTGGTACAGCTTTGTGGCAACATCCTGAACTCCTGCCCCCGAATTCCCCGAATCTCTGCCCGGTCGCCGTCAGGAAGGACAGCAGCAGCTCGGAATCTGCCTGCCGGGGTTGACAACCCCACCTGGTGAACTTTGTCTTTAGTCGCGTGAAAATAGAAGTCTTTACTAGGCTGTGCGTTTTCTGACTCCCTGCTTCAAGCGAATAACTTGTGGGTTAAATACGGAAACCCAACCACTACGACAATTGAGCATTAAAAAAGCCATAAGGACCCGGACGGCTGGGAACCGGCAAGTTGATTGGTAAGCGGATTGCAGGCAAGTTACTGTCGTAAGTACCCAGCCATTTGGTTTTGGTATGTTTCCCTGGACACAGGGAACGGAAATCACGGAGGTATGAACTACTCCGTTGGTTGAGTTGATCAACTGTGGCGGCTGGTGTCCCATACTTCTACGTTATATATTACTTGTGAATGGTAGTGTGAAATCGTAGTTTCAAATACGGGAATATCTCTTCACCCGTTAAACAAACAAGTTGTCAGACAAGAAGACACGTGCAGTGAACAAGTAGCATATTGGCGTGTTGAAACCGCCAGGGATATTCCACAGGGATTCACCAAATGGTGCCCCGTTCAACGGCGGCCTTCTGAGGCTACTAACTCCCTAGGTCTGGAACCCTGCCTTCATTGATCCTAAACTGGGTGTGGCTCAAAATTAAACAGGAGGGGTTACGCAGGTTTTGGTTCATGTGTCCACTTACCAGGGTTCCATTTTGGTACCGGTTTTTTGAGCCACAGCCAACTCACCTGCTCAAAGGACCCAGACCTAAAAGGTTTACCTTTTGGGGCCATGACTAAAACTGGACCAACAAGCGAAAGCCAAGAGGTCAAAAGGTCGGCTGTGAATAACTGAGTAAATGGGGCCGAGCCCTATGATTCACAACCCCCGAATCAGGTTCTACTCATCGCCTGCTGAATTCTCCATCTTGTGGCTTCTTTCAAATAGCAACGAATTCATTGTACATACTGTGGATGGACAACATCCTACACCAATTTGAAGCCATGGGAATCCATTGTTCGTTGGCATTTACAGGGGAATCCCCATTCCAGGGTTTCTTAGGTGGTGCAGGATTTCGTCCATCCACAGTAGGTGCTCCCTGAAACTGACCCCCCTTCTTTTTGAATAGCAATTCAAGGGAAGCACCAAAGAAGAACCAAGCATTTGCGAGCCCTATCCAATTCCAAAGTGTTGCACTCGCTAGTTTGCTTCACCTGAGTCAGGTATCCCAAGAAGCACGTTTGGGATACACCCATCGACGGATTCTCAGGGAACCCAGAGCAAACACACTCATGATTGAGGTTCCCCCATTGGTAAAACCAAATACTGAAGTCATAATCATGCCTGGCACTACAGGCTCCCAAAACCCTGCGGCTTCTAGCCTGGAATCATAGTGTGCATGCCTTTGACCGAGCCTCGTCTCACTTCCTGTACTTTAAAACAGACATCCTCCCAAGACATGAGTAAGGTCACTGACCTGGCTGGGGCGGAAAAAACAAAAAAAGAGTTGCGGCTCGGTCCGCGGTGATCCGGACCTCTGGCTTGGTCTGGGCTTGTTGGTCTGAGCCGCTTGTGGGTCCGGACTCTGACCCCCAAATGGACAAACCGGATCCCCGAAAGTGAGTCAGCGGCCACGTTAAAACTGGGGAAGCTTCATTGAAATGGGCGACTTCCATTTGCGTTTGCGCCCCCAAAGATGCGAAACGAGTTCCAGTGATAGATTCTCTATAAAGCCAACAATTCACTTCAGCAAATGGATCTGGTTGTCATTTGAGTCAAAATCAAAACCCGGTATTATATAAATAATCTACCCAGAACCATGCTTCAAGAATGAAGAAGGCGGATATCCGCACCTATTTCTGGCTGGGACTGCCCCTTACTAACCTTCATCCACCCGGGTGTTGAGTGTGGCTCATGTATTGTTTTCCACTGGAAGTACTCTTTCTGGGGGATATTTTTGCAATTACGGTTACTAAGCTTCTACTCCCTAGCTATTCGACCGCCTCTTTACTCTGACGACAACGCCAAGCTGGTCATTTGGACAGATCCGAGCCCGGGTTTTCTCGATTCGACCGCTTCGCCTGCGACAGCTTCGCCTCGAAGTTGGGCAGCTCGGGCCTCACTTCGCACGAGCCCACGGTCCTTAAGCACCGCGGAGTCCCATCAACAAGCCTCTTCGGCTTGAGGGAAACCCGAGCCCTCCCACATCAGCCTGGAGCCTCAAACTTCCCGAAAAAACGCGGGAACACCCTGTTTTTTGGGGCAGTCTCCCGTTTTTGCGGGTAGTTTGGGTGCCCCGCTTCCCCAAAAAGAACATGGGTTTTCGCTGCGAGCATTGACTCTCAAGCAAGCAAGCAAGCAAGCAAGCAAGCAAGCAAGCAAGCAAGCAAGCAAGCAAGCAAGCAAGCAAGCAAGCAAGCAAGCAAGCAAGCAAGCAAGCAAGCAAGCAAGCAAGCAAGCAAGCAAGCAAGCAAGCAAGCAAGCAAGCAAGCAAGCAAGCAAGCAAGCAAAGCAAGCAAGCAAGCAAGCAAGCAAGCAAGCAAGCAAGCAAGCAAGCAAGCAAGCAAGCAAGCAAGCAAGCAAGCAAGCAAGCAAGCAAGCAAGCAAGCAAGCAAGCAAGCAAGCAAGCAAGCAAGCAAGCAAGCAAGCAAGCAAGCAAGCAAGCAAGCAAGCAAGCAAGCAAGCAAGCAAGCAAGCAAGCAAGCAAGCAAGCAAGCAAGCAAGCAAGCAAGCAAGCAAGCAAGCAAGCAAGCAAGCAAGCAAGCAATGGGGGGAACAAAAACACCCCGCAATTTTGGGGCTCAGTACTCGGACCCAGATATTCAAGATCACCTTCTGGGGTCACTACAACCAGGGGTTAAGGCGTTGAGGCTCCAGGCTGATGTGGGAGGGCTCCGGTTTCCCTCAAGCCGAAGAGACTTGTTGATGGGACTCTGCGGCAAGAAGGGCAAACCAGGTGAAAAGGTCGATTCGCTTGGGGCAAGTGAGTGTGACAAAAAAAACCAAGGTATGTTCCGATCGATTTTTTTGCGAGCTCAATCCCACCCTCTTTGTCGCCAGCCGTCTTCCCAAAAAGTTCAGACACCTTGTTGGAATGACCCCGAGACAAACCATCCCCGATTTGGTTTCCTTTCGTGGCTGGAATTAGGACCCCAGCAACAAAATAGCTTTTTTGCCTGGTTAGTGGAAAACATAGGGAACCCCAAAAAGCAAAAAAGCAAAAAGGGAAGCTAATTCTGGTGAAGCTTTCAGGGAATCCCCAAACCCGGTTCATGTCCACCCGGAAGGGATCATTCACTGAGCTTCCCGGCGTATGCAGCACATCATCCTGCGTCTTTCCCGTTTTGAAATGGACCTTCCTGCATGCTCAAAATCTCCGCCTTTTCGCTACGAATTGCCGTTTGGGGCAATTGCGTGTGTTTTTTGCCTACGGCCTTGTTTTGCTCAATTTGGGTGTGAAGCGCAATCTCCCCACATTCCCGACTTCGGCGCAAACAAATATGACCGCCGGCTTTTTTTTCTCGCGCAAAAGGAATTTGTTTCGCCCTAATGACCTTAACAAGTGTTTTTTGGCCAACGCCTAAAATGATTGACCCCCCAGGCATATATATATATATACATATATATATATATACATATATATATATATATGTAAGAAAATGTATGCTTTCCATTTTCGAAAGCCTGCTGACGGTGTTATTTTACCTGTGGAGTTTTTGGAGTGCTTCTTTTGATAGCATTATAGAGCTATTTATTCGGCGATTCTCGCGGGGTTGGTTCTCCATTCTGTTCAACCATCTTTCTTTTCAAAGACCGATCGCCGTTTTTGCCGGGTTTGCGGAGGATTTTATCTATACAAGGATCCCTGGAAAGAATCGTTGGACGAAACCCTTTCGTATTCTTGACATCAGAACCACATGCCCCACTTCACCCCACAATTCCCAACATGTCTGTCTCCACACCAAATTAGTTCTTCTCACTTCCTGAGTGGATGGCCCCCCGAAAAGAAGGTCCGAGCTTTTTGTTTACCTAGAGTCTCCTTCTGACCCTTTCAAAATGGTTGGGCATTACCCCCAAAAATGGTTGGTAATGGACCTATTTTTGATTCGGGTCAGAAGGAGACTCCACGCACTATACCAGATAATCAACCATGTTCAAAGCCTTTTGGCGTTTAATGGGTGGCAAGCCCTTATATACAGGTTAAACAAACAAAAAACTGTTTGTTTCCCACCAAAATGGCAACCGATCTCAAAAAGTCAGTCAAGTCCGAGCCCCGGACCTCAGGACCTCAGGAAGTGAGTTCCGGGAGTGCACCCCGGGCGTACGCCCGAACTTCAATCCATTTTATTCCCCAAATAAACCCAAATAACAAAAAAGAGAAGCCAAAAAGCAACAAAAAATATCCAAAGCCAAAAAACACCTATTTGCTCAGCTTTGGTGATATCCAAAGCCAAGCAAATATATTATAAGCCTTCAAAAGCCGACACCAAACATCTCTCTCTCTCTCTCTGACTCCAGAGGCTTCCCTCCCGACGCCTTTTCGCCCCAAAGCGCCGCCCAAAGCGCCCCGCCGGCGCCCGACGCGGCCCGCGCCCGCCTCCGTGTGGATGCTCTGCCCGGCCAAGTTGGAGGCCTCCGCGGCGCTGAGGAGCACCGGCTCCTCCGAAGCGAAGATCGAAGCGGCGCGGAGCGAAAAGCACGGCTCGATGGCGTCGAGGTCGGTGTTCTGTGTTTTTTTTGTTGGGGGGGGGGGAGTTGTTTTGGTGGGTTGTTTTGGGGGGGGGGGGGTTGTTTTGGTGGGTTGTTTTGGGTGGGGGGGGGAAAGAGTGGCTTTTTTAGGCGCTTTGTTTCTTTCTTCAGGGAAACCAAGCAGAAAATCGCGCTTTTTGGGGGTGTTATTTCCTTTATTTTTATCGGGGCGTGTGAAACAATAGAAAAGACTGCCTGCGGAAAACCCAACCTCCCAGGAGGTCCCTGTTTTCTGTTTTTTTGTTTGGAGAAGGGAAACCCAGTGGATTTTTAGGGAACCAAAAGGAACACCGTTGCGCTTTTGTTGGGGGGGACCGAGTCCTAACAAAAAGCACACCCATATTTATGGGTGTACTTCATTGAAGGTCGGACCCCTCCAAAATGGGCGCTAAAAGCGAGCGAAAGCCATGCCAGGCACGTTGATTGTTCTATTCAAATTGGGTTTCATCCATTTGCTGGTGCGAAATGGACTTAGTTCCTCCACAATCTCATGGAAGAGACTCCATCCGACATTGCCACACCTTCTTTTTAGAACTACCAAACACAATGCAACAAAATCAACAGCAGGGTGGTTAGTAAGCCTGGATAGAACCCACTTAGCATGGTTATGTCTCCGTGCAACGGGTTGCAACCAGGCTAACTAACCACTCACTGAACACCCAGCGCCTCGACCACATCCATAGGGCAGCCAAAACTCAGTGGCCAGTAGGACAGACCCATCCGTGCTTTGTATTCAGTCTATCCTGAAGCTTCGATCTGCTTAAAAGGCCCCTGAAAAAAAAAGTAGTGATAGAAGTGATAGATTCCCGTTTATAACATATTTCTCTTAGCAAATGGAGGTCACTGCTTGATACTGAGTCCATCCAAAAAAATCTAAGCAGCCTTGGTATGATTACAAACACCTGCCGTGTTTGCAGCCCCCTACAAAAGCTGAACAGAACCAAGAAACTGAAAACAACAAGAATAAAAAATAAGAAACACAAGAACAAACAATAAAACAACACACAGTTGCCAAGAACAGTGAAACTCAGATGCCCAGTGGCCAGGAGAAAAAAGGGGCGCATCCTTTTTTGGTTGGTTGACTTTAAAGGGAACCCTTCCCCCCCCAACAAAAAAGAAGAAGAAGAAGAAGCGAAATCCACTAATAGCAACTGGGAAAAACCAAGCGAAGTGTCCCTCGATCTCCTGGACTTGGCTGGTCCACAAAGAGGTCACGGTCCGCCCCAGGCGCGAGAAGAAGCTCGCCGTCTCCTGAGAACTAGCGAAACGCGCCAGAAACCGCCGAAACCAAGGCTTGGCGCACGCCTCAGCATAGGAGCCCAAGGCCACGTGATGTGGGTATGGGTCAAAATTAAAACAGGAATTGGACCGCAGGTTTTAGTCCATGCTTCCATTTACCATGGTTCCATTTTGGGTAACTATTTTGACCCACAGCCATGTCAGGTTTTTGTTTGGGGTCCATGACCCTTAAAAAACATGGTTGGTAATTTCCAAATAATGGGGTCATGGACCTATTATTATTTCGGGTCATGGAGACTCTAGGTAGGTCCTTATATTCGTCGTAACCGCCAACACCCAAAAGTGGGCGAAGCCCTCACCCTCACCCGAGTCAAATATGGAAACCGAACCACTAAACCAACTACCTGGACCTTCAAACTCCGGAAAATTTCTGGGTGTTTTAGGAGACCCCTACGATTTACCGAATTCTAGTGGTTTAGCACATTTGGGTCCAGGTAAAGACAACTGGAAACCTAAGGCCTGAGGAGCCGGACGCAACTTAACACATACCTGGAGATTCCATGACCCTTAAAGATGGGTCATCACCCCTGTAATTTTGGGTAGTTGACTCCATTCTGTGAGGGTCAAGCACTAGGCGAGAATCCTCGGGCCCACCTTTTGTGGAAGCTTGCGCGCATCCAGGGGATGCAAAAGCGTAGCGGCAGGGTTCGCCGCAGGGAGTGGTTCCGAACAGCAGTGCAATTGCAGCAAAAAGCAGTACCTGGAGTCTCCATGACCCTTCACAAATAGGTCCATGACCCCATTATTTAGGGCAATGACCCCATTTTTCAAGGGTCATGGAGACTCCAGGTACCAGGGCAGGCGACCCCCCTACATCACACTCGGCACACCGCCCGCACTCCCTGCTCATTGGCAGACCGGCCCTCCGATTGATTGAAATGGCCGAATCTTTTTGCACAGCAAAGATTAGCAAAATTGATTTCTGCGCAGCGAAAGGTTCAGGTACCATGCTGGATTGTGTTCATTGGGCATTGGCATTGCCACACTCTGCTAGAAAGGTTTATGGATGCTCATGCTAGGAGGAAATCCAAACTGATGACGGTTTTGAGCATTCCTGGGGCTCACACATGTGGCATGGGACACGAAGTCACGAAGCCAACTCTTTTGCCAGCTGAGTCACAATCAAAACTTGGTACAAAAATGGTGAACCCAGAACCATGTAAAGAATTAGAAATGCGGCCGCAACTATTTATGGCTGGGATTGTCCCTTACTAACCTTCGTCTACCCGAATCGGTTTTGATTGTGGCTCAGCTGGCTCTTACATCACCATCCCGCCTCTCTCAATCTCTCGACTCTCGAGGGCCCGAGGGCCCCGGCGGGTTTGTCGCCGGCAGGCACCTGAGGGGTATGAAGACACGGAACGAACCAGGGGATACCATGGTTGAAACAGTTGAAGCACAAATGGGTATGGGTCAAAATTAAACCAGGAATTGAACCGCAGGTTTTAGTCCTTGGTTCCATTTGCCAGGCTTCCATTTTGGGCACCCAGTTTTGACCCACAGCCAAATATTGTGTGACCTCCACAGGAAATGCAGCGCAGTACACGAAGATCATGACACTAGCAATCCTCTTGCCCCCAAGTTCATCCTCCAATTCACTGGAAAATCAGTGTGAAATGGTTTGGCCAAGCTTGGCCCATAGTAAGGGGCAAATTGAATCCCTGGGAACACACCGTTTCCCAAGGGTTGAAAGGTTCAAGGTTCAAAGAAAGAGCACCCGACATTCAAGCTGCGAGGTGCTTCTCTGCTTATTTGTTTATATATTTTTTTGGGGCGGCGGCCAGTTCGTGCTCCTTGAGAAGGCTTCGCAAAGTCGACAAGTAGGGGACGTGTTCCGAAATCCCTGGCTCAAGGGTGGGGATTCATGTCCACCAATCTCTTTCTAGGTCCATTCAAGTGATGTCCTCAAAAAGACCCTCACCGCCCCCAAACTATATTTGAGAATCCCCTCCATTAAATCCAAAGGGGTGAAAATATGATTAACCACCATTCTCTATGTGGGGGTTGTCCTATATTCCTTTGCCCGGGATTGCGCCCTTGGGCCGCGCTTGCGCGAACCTTGCGCGGACTTGCGCGCGCACAGCGGCGCAGAAATTGGTTTTCGTTGGCCGCGGTTTGCGAAGTTTTCGTGTGCATTGCAAGCAAGCTAATCTAAGCATCACAGCAACCCGCAGAAGCTCTTCCCGCTGAGGCCGCTTCTAGGCCAGCAACGTACGCCTGACCCAACAGCGGACACAAAGCCACAGTGTCCAACATCTGCACCTGTTTCCACATCCGTAACCCTGCGCACTCTGTAGCACACCTTTTCAGCAAAGCCCGGACCATTCGCTAGCCCTCATTGGAGCTAGGCGAGCTCGAGGAGCTGCTGCTATCAGAGTCCGAGGATTGACTCTGCCTGGAAGTCGCCGCCTCTTTCATTCGGCTCCATCTGGTTCTCCTTCGCAGTAGCCGGTTAGCTTGTTTTCGAGCAGCTTTCTCCCATTGGGACTCCAGGCTTGGTGGCTGCATCTTTCTTTTGAGGTGCTCGTCATACCGGCCCATCATAGTGTCAGATTCCCCTCGCGCTGGCACCTTCTTGTTCCAGCGGGTGTTGGAAAAGTAGCCGCGCCGCCAAGCACGGTCTGCAATCTCTTCTGTTTCCACTTTCGGGAAGGAGCGGTTTCCATGCTGGCCAGCCATATCAGAAAACGTGTAGTCCACAATGGCTGTATTCCGAACTCGCAGCCGTGGATTTCCTGGAACTAACTGCAGGCAGTAGGTCTTGCTGATCTGGAAGTCTTGCTTGTCCGGCAACACCCAAGCCGACAAAGGCTTCAACTCCGGCTCCCAGCGCACAATTATGTGTTGGCAGGCTGCGTCGATCGCATTGGCCCGGCGCGCCTCTGCCCTCAGAACTGCTTCCAACTCCTCCGGCGTTGCAATTCTGCTTCCTGGCTTCTTGAGGAAGTTCTTGAGCCAGCCCTCGATCACACCAAAAAGCCCGTCCACTTGCCCCTTCCCATGCTTTTCACCGAAAAAGGAAAGGCGGACAGAGCGCGGCGGTGATGCTTCCACCCAGTCTGCAAGCCATCCTGCGATGTGGTCGTAGCTCTTGTAGTGCGGGCCACAATCAGACCACGCAAGCACTTCCTTGACTTTTTCCCAGGCGTCAAAGTGCTTGGCGGCTTCCAAACACAGCAGGTTGGAAACCAGAGAGCTGTGCTCAATAATCGAAGAGAGGATGACGATGTGTTTTTTGTTCAAAACGCCTCCTTTCCGCTGGAACAACAAACACCCCCAGCATGTCAGCTCCATGCGGCTTGTTCCATAGAACATATCTCCTGTTTGCACATTGGCCTGGGGCAAGCTCAAATTCTGCTTATAGTCGCTCCAAAGCAGCACTTGTTCCTCAGAAAGCGCCTCCAAGTCTCTCTGAACGGACTGTGCCTGCCGCTGTGCCACAAGGGAATGCCATTCGTAGCTCTTGGCAACTTTGAGCTCCCAAGCCATTTGGTGGCTGACTTTAGCTTCCAGTTCATGCAAAGTCTGCCGCGCAGAAGCTGTTAGGGTTCTCCGCTCATTTCTCTGAACATCACTGTGTGAGCGGATGTACCTGCTCATGGCCTCACATCGCGCAACTGTCTCAGACGACGGTGGCTCGGTGAAGGTTCGAAAATAAGCCGGAAAGACAGTTGTCAAGGCGTCGTTGGCCCGATTCATGAGCTTCTCCAACCCTGGAAGAATCGAAGACTGAAACAAATGACAGTAGTCGCAGTAGTCAGTCTTTCTCACAGGGCGGATCGCCCAAGTGCACTTCGCTCTTACAATTTTGTGGAACTGCGCCCAGCCCAAAGATGCTGGCAGATCACTGTCCCAATAAGCTCGCAAAAGGGATGTTGTCAACACCCGTGCGTTGCGCGACTCGGACTCAAGCCAAGTGCTGCTTTCCTGGCTATGCGCGTTGATGCAGTCTGTAACCTTCTTGACTAGCTCCAAATTGTCGAGGGCAGCTGGCCTGCCACGCCTTGACTTCAGCACAACTCCATCTCGCTTTGCTTTGGCCTGCTCCCACTTTTCCTTGGAGATGGGAACGCCCCACTTGCGCACCTTTCTCCGAGACGGCGCGACGCTCACTGTCACTGCAGTGTCGAAGTTGAGCAAGGCCTCACCAGACAAGGAACCCCGGAATGTTGCCAGCGCTGGGCCCACACTCAAGCAGTGATTGCACTCCGCTGCTCTGGCGGCTTCTGGCCATTGAGAAGCAACTCTTGCTTGAACCTGCTGCAAGATTGCAAAGGCTTCGTCCCCACTACCTGCTTCAGAGACAATGCGGTCAGCAAGCTCTTTGGCCAGCCTGCGCGTGCCACTGGCACGCTTTGCTTGGGTACTCTTGCATTCGGGCCAGCAGCTGCTTGCGGAAGCCTCTGCCGAACTTGGACGCCAGTCGAGGCCCAACACCTCTGCAGCAGCTGTGTCCATACAGCCTGATTGCAAAGCCCGGCTTGCCTCGGTGAGCTCTTTCTGCAGCTCAGGTGGCAACACAAAGAAGAAATTCCTGGCCGCTGCAAGCTTCCAAGTCTTGCGTTGCGACGCCGTGGCTTTCTTGTTGAGAGCTTTGGCAGCCTCGTCGTCCATCTCCTTGGCCAGCGCCTTCATTGTCTGGTTGCGGGCATGGGTTACCAGCTTGTTCCACTGCACAGAAGTCAGCGCGTTGGGAATGGAGAGGTCTCGTTCACCACGCTTTGTCACTGGCTGGCCTGCAGCTATCCATTGCTTGAACCGCGCCGCTAAGGACATCCGAGACAGCAAATGGCTAGATGTCTTTCTGGGGCTTCTCGTGCTTGCGCGCAGCTTGCGCGCGGCTTGCGCGCAGCTTGCGCGGATTTTGTCGTGTCACTTGCTGATTGTTGAAGTATGACGGACCCAATCTGGGCCAAAAGCTAGGCTGCAGCAGGTTGCAGGCTTCTGCAAACGGCCCACGCGTTTCCCGACAAGGCACCTACCATTCGTGCAGCTTGATTTTGTGAATCTGAGAGGAAACGTGGTCTTGCTTGAACCTCTCACCTGGCCTGCGCCAGACCACCCGGAACCTTGAATAATACAATTTGCCTGCGCCACACCGAAGCCTCGGCAACCTTCCTTGAGCCTTACACTTGCCCTATACCAGACCACCCTGCAAGACATTCAAGATGGATGGGAGGCTTGCATGCGCGTTCCAGACTCGAGTGTTTTGCCTGGGCGAGACCCACGAAGACTTGCCCAAAGCACCGCGCCTGCCACGAAAAGAAGCGAAATACATGCAAGGGCAAGACCAAAATTACGTGTGCCTGCGAGGCCGTGACCGTGCGGGTTCTTGTTGTGGCGTGGTTTCCCAAAACGGGGGGGGTGCCTCCAGTTTCGTTGTCAGCTCGAACCACTATATAAGGGGCGCATCCCAAAAAACAGCTGTCAACCTGCTGCCTTGTCTCACTGACTTGGCGTTTCCCGGACCCCCTTCTAAAGTTTAACTTTGAGGAAACTGCCACTAAGCCCAAAACTACTAAAAACTGTGGGGTTGCCGCTGCTATCCAGGTCCATGACTCCTTTGTTCCCAGGCCACGCCCTGCGTGGATCATCTCAGGCCCCCGTACGTATGATACACAAGCTAAACGTCAACTTGCACACTTATCGCTTGGCTAGAAAGCAAGCGTTTCAAACAGTGTGCGCCACCCCAAAAAGACAAGCACAAGCTATCAAATGGAAGCTTGCTCACGGCGCAAGCGCTTCGCAACTTCTGCCGCTACCAAATCAGCCAAGCGTTTGTCTTTTGACAGCTGCTCAACTATGTCACCCGCATCCTTAAGAGCTTTGTCAGCCCTGGTTGCGCTTGAAGCTTCTGCAATTTGCGCTAGTTCTGGCTGGCTCAGCTTTAAGTAGCTGCGAGAGCCTCGTCGCCTCATCTCGCGTTCGCAGATGCGGCACAAATTCCTGGGGCTTGCCAGAAAGAAAGAAACAGCTCACATCGACTTGCGGCCAGCAAAACGTCATTCCCACATATCAATTCCAATAAACAACGTGTTGGAGGGAGTGCAAAGGAACTGACACAAAAGTGCACAGCAGACTGCTGGACAACAGCTGGGGCGCCCGTGGAAGGTGTCATCCCGGCTGACTTTGCACACGGCGCACATGGTCAATCTTTTCAATCCACCGCCGCCAAAGTTCATGCGGCCCTTCACTTTCCTGTCGCCGAAGCCCAGCTCAACGTGCTTTGGCGGAGTCTCCTCCGAGACGGTGTCGACGGTGCCTGTCAGGGTTCGCCAAAGCGAGGAACAATTTATTTGACAGAAGAAACCTGAAAAGGGCAAGGGAGCCATCACGAAACAAGCTACGGACATGGTAGGCAATCCTTTTGTCATCTCAAAGGAATATGCTCATTTAGTCTGGTCTTGCTTTGCCTTCAGCTGCCTCTGGCTCTGGAGTTACGGGCGCAGGCGGGTCCACCAAAGCAGGTGCTGGCGGCTCTTGCGGGGCCGCGGAATCTGGCTCGGCAGTCAGGACGGTTAAGCCCTTCTTGGTCAGCTCTGATGCACCGCGGGAACAGAACTTCCAACTCAAGCTCCCGCTGGCCTCGCGGACCAAGTGTCCTCGATGATGCGTTGCAGCGTCACAATGCAGTACCACGCCCTTTTTCTCCACATTGCCCGGGCACGCCCTGATCGCGCACACTGAGGGAAGCACTGGCATTGCGTCAACTGCCATCACTCTGCAGAAGCTTTGGCTTCCGTCTGGCTGAGGGAAACGCTGCAGTCGGAAGGAATGTTTGCAAACAAGTTGTTGACCAACACATGTCATCCCAATAGAGGGTATCTTCTAGGGCTACCTTCCCATTCTTTCCAGGGATCCTTCTTTTCAGGAAACCATCACAAAACCCAGGGGCACAGCTGATTGTTGAAAAGAACGATGGTTGAAAAGAATGAAATCAACCCCTAGATATCTCTTTGCAGTTGACCCAAGCAACATTCGAGAAGCACAAGCACAGTTCATAAAGCTAAGCAGCAACAGTGCATGAATCCCTTTAAAAGTGTTACCTTGCGCGAACCTTGGGCCGCGCTTGCGCGCTCCTTGCGCGCGCACAGTTTTGCACAACATTTACTTCTCCCCGTTCGGCGGTGATGAAAACCGAAGACTGGGGTTTTAGGACGGCCCTCATGTGAGGAACTTCATCCGAATTGGGTCCCAAGGCCATCTTTTCACTGGCTGCAAGGAAACCTAGGGTAATTCTTCACTGATAACGGGACATACTGTGGGTGGACGAAATCCTCCACCACCTAAGATGCCCTGGAAGTATGATTCCCCTGTAACTTCCATAAACGATTTGTTTCAAAAGTGGTGCAGGATTTCGTTCATCCACAGTAGGACTCCCCTCGAGCATCCCGGCGGAAAGCTCTCCCGGCACCAGCGCCCGCTGAAGGCCCTGAACACGGAGCCGGCCCTCCTTCGCCGGAGACCGAGCCGAGAGCGAGCGAGCGGGAGTTTGGAAGCCCGGAACCAGCCGGTCGTGTGGCACTGGGTCAAAACCCCGTACCCCCAGTAAACATCCCAATCCACGGCCATGTGGCTGGATGAGACATGGCATCGTAAAAGCAGTCGTGGGGTGCAGTGATTCTTTGATGTTGGAGGGGGCAATCCTAAATGGCTCAAAGATCTGAGTCTGTCCTTTTTTAGGGACCCCAACCAATAGTGGTTTTCCTTTAGGTGTCCCTGTAAACCACCCAAAACAAGGGTCCCCTCAAGAAAACACGCGCATCTGCAACAAGGACGCCACTTCTAAGTCGGGAACCACGAAGTGTGAGCTTGAAATTCGCCTTTGGCCAGCGATAGTTCAGGACGGGCTCCTTAAAGCCCTGCCAACAAATTAAATGGGAATCTGTTTAAACATGGCCTTCTTTGACTTTGGTTTACAGGAAAATCAAAGGACAACCACCACTTTTGGGGTCACCCTATTTCGGCACATAACCACTTGTTGCAGGTTGAACTTTGAAATATGTGGAGCATGCTAGACTGGTGCCAACATAGTTGCTTCCTTCGCTGTTGCATCATCGAGCAGCCAACGCAGCTCCAATAGGCAGTACCGCTTGTGTCGTGTGCGTCATGGTCGACGGCTAGTCACGTTCTCTGCCTCATGGCTTCAAAACCATCTTCTCTGGGGCTGCAAAGAAGCATGCTAAACGTTGCGATAAGAAAGACGTCTCAGCTAGCCAAATACATCCTTCGATGGCACACGTCGACCCCTTGTGCAGTCCACTTGTGGAAATCCCGGCAAAAAGAGCTTTGAGAGTGCCACTGAACAATCGGGATGTAGTCAAAACGGTCTGAACCATGGGTGTCCGTTTCGGTTGGTTTGGTTGAACATAGATGGCGCTGTCTACCTGGTGGTTTTTTCATCCGGGGCCATCTGTTTCCAAGCAAACCAATCAAGGACACCAGATCGCGAGTAAAACCCTGCAACTCTGAAAAGGCAATATGATTCAGCGGCTAATTACCTAGAGTCTCCATGACCCGAAATAGAAATAGGTCCATGACCCCATTATTTAGGGTAATGACCAACCATGTTTAAAGGGTCATGGAGAATCCAGGTAGGTGCTTCTTTTGCATTGGTCCACCCCAACTGGACCGAAGAGTCTGCGGTCAAGTCCAACATGTCCCGGCCAAACGCGCGAAGTCCTCGGCATCATACCTTAGCGCGTTTGGCCGATGCCTCCCGTGAGGCATGGTGAGCCCCAGCCAAAAAAAATGAGAAGTGTCGAAGCTGCTTCTCAAAGACTTGGTGCCCAAATTTCTTGCGGCCACCGAAACCAACTTCGATTTTGTTGGCTCAAACCAACCAAAAACGGGGCTCCCACCGAACAAACCCCGAGGCTCACCTGGGAATGCAGCCTTACAAATGCTGGGATGCTTTGCTACCTCGGCCTTTGCCCCCTCAGAATGACAGTTAGATTAAGGTCCATGCTTAGTCAACCTCAAATTATAAAATTATAGGGGTACCTTCCCCATTCTTTCCAGGCATCCTTCTTTCTAAAAAACCCTGGGGAAACAGATCCGGTTATTGAAATCCACGATGGTTGAAAAGAATGGTTGGAATCAACCCCTAGAAAAATGATCCTCAAAGGCATGCCAGTTTGGATGGTTTGGACGTCCCAAAGTCAATACCCCACCGAGAATCAGATGGTCCGCTCCAGCTCAAGCGTAGTTTAGAAGAGAACTCCCAAAAGGAAAGCGAGGGATGAGACCTACCGCCGGGCAATTCCGTTGTTTTTTTTGATGGCACTCCGTTTTTGGGCGGTTTTAAAGGGAAAACAACCTGCCATTTAATTGTTGATGGCACCCCCTTCTTGGGCGTTTTTTCTTCTCTCAGACAACGACCAACAGGAAAACCGAAGCCATTTTGGAGGAGTGCCCAACAGGACACACCAAGAAATGAAACAAAACTCTGCCCCAGCAACCCAACGGAGCCAGCACAGGCTCGATTCATGGAGCGAGATCTGCGAAAGCGCAAAAGAAGATCTGCCTCCTCATCAGCCTACAATACGCATGGTAGCTGGGCTGCTCCCAGAAAAGTCTAACTGTTGGTCCAAAAAAACTAAGGGGATAGACATACAACCTCAAAAGTGAAAAGTCAAACGTAAAATGTCAGAGGAGGTCAGGGGTGACATGTCACACGTGTGTCAAACGGCAAGGTCAAGTCGGTGAAGCAAGCGAAAGGTCTCAGTCGGAAGCCACGAATCGCGGGACCTCCGAGTGACGGGTTTCTGTGAGCCGAGATGCTCCCATCTCAGCATGAGGTCCAAGGTGTTCCAGGGTTTGCCATCGCTCCGCCTGCGATGTGGATGTGCCGCCCTTTGGCACCGCTCCCGATACAACAAGGAACCCAAGTTTGCCTCCTCAAAAACTGACCAAATCTACACTCAGGTCGACAATGGAAGCTGAACATTGATGCTGGTAAGATGGCGTTGACACCCTCATGTCCGCATCATTGAAAGTGGCCCTCTGCCGTTGACCCAAATTAGATCCCTAAAGTGCGCAACATACAAAGTTTGCAACGCGTTAAGTCAACATGTCTGCCCAAGACCTAAGCAACATGGATCTCCGAATTGTAGAGCTCAGAAGGCGTTGCAAGTCAAGATTATCAGCAGTCTTAGAACGTATTTTCATACTTGAGAAGCTCTCCCCGAGGGGACTGAGACACAGTGGGTGGACAAAATCCATTTCACACAATTGGGATGGATGAACCTCGACTTGAAAACTGGAACCACCTGGTCCGAAACTGATTTTGTCCATCCACGGGTCTGGAACCCATTACGCGAGCCATCGTCAAAACTGCTTATACAAGCCCTATGGTCATTGTTCCGATAATATGAATCATTGTAACTCCGGCCTTTTCCTAGGCGTTTTGGTTTCCTGGTAGTCTTGGGCGTGTCGGACGTTCTGATCTCCAGGAATGGTTATTAAGGATCCTTACTATCACCGAGTACGATGACCATCCCAACGTTAACCCCAAGTAAAGGAACCGAATGGAACCGGTCTGTTGGCCTTAGCACATGACACAAAGTCCTTCAGGGCTTCACACAGTGCGGGTCCCCAGGCCGCCCACCCGAAACAAGTGTTTTCCCGCCTTCCACCTCAAGCCAGTGGCGGGGGGAGTAAAAGGCTGGGCACTCTGTTGGGAGTTTCGGGAACCCCCCTCTCAAGGTCTGACTGCAGGTCTGATAGGTCACAGACCTGTTGGGCAAATCTCGATGTGTCTTTTTGGCTGGTACAGGAAGGGCCAAAAACCAATTTCTATACGCGCGGAACCTATCTATTTCTAACCAAACCAACCAACCGATGAAACTGGGCTGTCCTCAGATTCCCCGCGAACAGTTTAACTTTTAGTTGATTAAATGGACATCCCAAACAACACTAAAAGGCTAAAAAGCTAAGGGGATGGCTGGGAGCCACCAAGCAAAAAGCCACGTTTCGGGACTCCGAAAGTCACCAAATCGCCCGCTTCTCCTCAGGTCGCTCGCAGAGGTGATCTTCACACACAGAAGGCGCCTCAACCGAGATATGGAACCCCAAGAATGGAGCTTCCCCGCAAAATATTTGGGTGTGTATTGAAATAAGGGACCCCTCCAAACAACTCTGATTTCTTTTGGGTTCCCTTGACATTGTGGATGGCTTTCCTCTAGATTTCCCGTGAAAGGACCCCCAACAAAAAAACACGAAAAACACACACGCACACACATGTCCATGCCCCTGTGGTTTACTTTTAGGCAAGTGTCCTTTCGCGACACCCCAACAAAAGCACAAACTCACACACACACACATGCACACATGTCCATCCCCTGTTGGTTTCCGTTAGGCGAAGTCACAGATGGGAAGCAACACCCCTTCGCCGCACGCAAAAAAGGAGTAGAAGGCTTGCAACAAACATCCCGGTTGATGTAAGTGGAAAGCACAACATTGACGCAATCGTCCAGTCATCCCCAGCCTGCCTGCGCTCCCTTGCGTGCAAGCAGCACGCACATCTTTACAGTCTTTTCAATAAGCACGAAGGCTGTTTGTGAGTATCGTGACATTTGTCACGCCCTTTATACTCATCATGATATTGATTGCAGTACGCCTCGGTACTTCAAGGGGCAGAGCACTTAGTAAGTGGCTAGTAAGTTTGGTTACAACCCACTTAGGAGTCGGAGACTTCTGACCATGGTAAGCGGGTTATAACCTGGCTTAGCAACCACTTGCTAAGCAGCCTGCCCCTTCAGGCGTACCCTTGAAAAGGTGGGTTGGAAGGCAACCTGCAAACAAATAATGGCAACTTGACCGGGCCAATGGCCCCTTGAAGGGAACAAGAAGGCCCTCACTTCCCAAACGACATGGCCTTCCCAACAAATTCCCCAGTTAAACGGGTCGTGTGTACCCTTCTTGGTTGCTTTGTTCCAGGAAAACCAAAAGGAAAACAACCATTTTATAGCCATCCCACAAAGATAACAAAAAACACCCAAATCAACCCCAACAAAAGGGTTCAAAGCCTCCAAACAACATACTGTGGAAGGAGGAAATCCTGCAACCCAAGGAACCCTGAAATGATGCTTCGCCTGTAAACAACCAAGGTTCTTTTGGTTTCCATTTGGTGCGGTGTCGGATTTCGCAACCATCCACAGTAGGTCTTGGCGGATTTGCCCCCCGAATCTGACGCACTGAGTCCCCTGCACCAAAAAGCTCATGTCCCTGCGGGCCAGTTACGTGGCGACATGGGCGTGACCCCCCCCAAAATGGAACCCTGGAAAGTGGAAACAATTGCTATGTGGTTTTGAGGGATTGGGAGGCTGCCCAGTTTGTGCACAAATCGCAGTGGGATGCTCTGCCCAGAGGGCGGAGTCCCATCCTGTCTCCCCCTCATCACCCTGGTACCAAGCACCGCAAAGCAAGAACGGCTGAAGCTAAATCATCCGATTCCCAGGACGCCAGCCCAGTAATCCGCCTGGACGAATTCCCTGAAGATTGCTGACTGAAGTGTGTCGTCTTTTGGGCCCAGAGCTCTCTAAAGAAGACGCAAAATGTTTCTGGCTGTTCCCAAACCAGCCCAGACTGGTGGCCCATTCCAAGTTGAGCTGCATTCGACCTGCGTGGTTCACGTCATTGACATGGGAGTCAGAGGTGAGTCTTTCCGTGGTGTGTGCGGAACAATGTAACGCTTGCGCCCATGTCCTTCCCAGATTGATCAAGGACTTCTAGATATGTTGGCCGAACCTCATTTGAGCTTTGGGTTCTACACAGATCCCAATTCAGCCAAGTGGAGCCAACTGAAATGGCAAAGAACTGGGTTGTTCAAAGCAAAGAGTTGGCGAATCCTAGTCCTATTGACCATATGGGAAAACGGGTACAAAGCGGACCCCTTTCGCATGGGGTCTTGGGGGGAGGGAGGGACCCAACACCATGAGGCTACGAAGGCGGCACCCATTTGAGTCATAATCAAAACCCGGTATTAAAACGGTCGACCCAGAGCCATGTAAAGAATGAAGAAGGCGGAGATCCGCGGCAATTTATGGCTGGGATTGTCCCTTACCCTCCAATTACCGGGGTTTTGATCTTTGGGCTTCTCCCTTGTCACCTTCAACTACCCGAATCGATTTTTTGAGGACGTGACCTCAGAAGTAAGGATTGCCAACCTAGGTATCTTAGTGGGGAATTGAACCCTCCCAACCAAAAATGGGGTGAGAAAGGGCACCTAGCTGGGGGACCTAGCAACTGACCAGCCCAAAAGCTCCACTTCGGGCGCTGCTCATTTGGCTGTGACCAAAAAAGCTCCACTTCGGGCGCTGTGCTCATTTGGCTGTCACCAAAAAGGAACGCTGATAAATGGAAGCATGGACTAAAACCCGTGGTCCCCTGTTGGTTTAATTTCGACCCATACCCACATTTGCATTGTGGGTTGGTTTTCTTGTTGGCTCTTGGGCTGGGACATCTGCGGGTCACGTTCCACAAGCTAAGCAACACCAACAACATCAGCATGACCACGTGGTGGATGTTTGAGCCATACTATGTGTTTTTATTATTCATATTATTCTTATTATTATGAGTATTATGATTATGATTATGATTATGATTACTATGAGTATGATTATGAGTATTATGATTATTATGATTATGGTGATGATGATGATGATTATGATGATGATGATTATGATGATTATGATTATGATTATGATTATGATTATGATTATTATTATTATTATTATTATTATTATTATTATTATTATTATTATTATTATTTTTTTTTATTTTTTTTTTTATGGTTATTATTATTATAATTATTATCATGTTTATGTTTATTATTATTATTATTAGTATTATTATTATTATTATTATTATTATTATTATTATTATTATTATTATTATTATTATTATTATTATTATTAATATATATAAATGAGAAAACAACAACAACACGACGACTGCCAGAGGCGCCGTCCTCAGCACCATGAGCCCAGGGAAGGCGGACAGAAGCTCCGGCACCTGGCGGCCAAAGTTGTTGTTTTTTTTGATCGGAGCCCGTCCCAGGCACCCGGAGGGTTGCTTGGTACCTCATGCGGATGCCTTGAAAGGGGGGGAAATCTTGGGGTCGTTCAGTACCTGCTTGGAAGGTACCAAGGGACCCTCTGGGGCAGAACAAGACTTGTGGGTTTGTTTTGCCCCTTGAAGCACAGAAGGTACGGAGAAAAACAAAAAAGGAAAAAAACAACTTCCCAGATTGATCATGGACTTCTGGATATGTTGGCCGAACCTGATGTGAGCTTTGGGTTCTACGCAGATCCCAATTCAGCCAAGTGGAGCCACCTGAAATGGCAAAGAACTTGAAGTAAACAAGGTACGCTGAAAGAATCCCCTGAAGTAAAAGGCATGGTTTAACCTTGTTGGCATCAGGCAGCGAAATGGACATGTGGTTGGAATGGTTGACACTCTGAGTTGACCGGCTGGAAACTGTTAAAGTAGTTGCCCTCAAAAATGATGAGGGCACCTCAACGGTCAAGTTGCAAATTCCTGGCACTTTTCATGGATACTGCCACTTTTGGTGGTTCCACAAAAGGAAACGTGGAGAGAACACAGAAGGTCAACGTTCCGTTGCCTGAAACAAAGACGCCTGTGTTGAAGCCTCCACTGAACCTCACCCGGCGGTATAAGCAAGTTCCTTGCCGGATGGCCCATTTGGTGCTCCTTTTGGAGGTTGCAAAGGGAAGCCACAGCGAAGCCATGTGTTGAAGACATACCAAAAGGAACCAGGCATGTGAGAAATTCGTCATTTATAGACAAGTCCAAGTTAATCCAATTTAACTTTCTGCGGATGGTGGCGACAAGAGCATACATACTGAGGATGTGAAACTTCTCTGATTCACAAGCGATCCATTGCTCAGTCATGGCGCTAAGAGAATGCCATCTGATCAGATTGACTATGCTGCACGAAATTCCATGGTTGGCGTGAGGGGTCTTCACCTCTATGTTGCCAGCTGGCGGATGGAATAAACATGAACAAACCTTGGCTTAGAGTTCATCTGAAAAAGGCAAGTGTTGTTGGTGAGGGCGTGCCACATCCTCCAGCAATCACCTAACATGTGTGCAAGGGTGTGTGGGTGCGTTGATCTCGCTTATTGCCCTGCAACTTTCCACGACTGCAAGCATGACAACAAATGCCGCAACGAGAATCAGTTGTGACAAAGAAGCATGTCAATATCACCCCGTGTTCTTAGCTAGCACACGCTTCATAACCAAGCAAGCCAGCAAGCCAGCTAGCAAACAATAAAGCCAGCAAGAAAGCAAGAAAGAAAGCAAGAAATAAATCAAGCACAAAACGAGAAAGCAAGCCAGCCAGCAAGCAAAGCAAGCAAGCAACAAAGGAAGAACCTAAGACAGCAAGCAAGGAAGCCAGCCAGCCAGCCAGCAATAAAGGAAGAACAACAACCAGACGCAAACACACATTTCTCACCTGCTGAGTGGATGGCCCAAAAAAAGTCCAAACTTAAAATGGTCTTCCCAAAAAGTTTAAAGTTCATGAACTCAGGGAGTGAGACACATTTTTACTGACACAGACACACACACACACACACATGTGCTTCGCTTACATTGCCCTCGGCTTTCTCCAGCCCTTCGCCTCGCCCGTGAGGTAGCGAGCCAGCCTGGAGATTGCATGGCCACTGGCGAGTCAGACTGATGCGATCCCACTTGGCTCAGTTGTTCAGTGACCCTAGGAAAAAAAGGGAACCCTTTTTTGGGAAGACCATTTTAGTGGGGCAGCCACCAAAAAAAAAGGGGAAAAAGGGAGCCACTGAACAACTGAGTTGGTGTGGTCGATCCCACTTGCTTTCGTGGGGAATCGTCACTCGTGGAGGGGTTTTCCCCCACCCCCCTATTCACAAACAGGGGTTGGTCAAGATGGGGTCAGCATTCGAAGACCCAAGGCCTGCTTGTTCGGGGCCAAAAGGAAAAGGTTTGCGGGTTGAATGGCAAACCCTTGACCAGGGAAAGTCTAAAGATCCAACCCAATAGCACTCAAGAACTAGGTCCTCCAGAATTGAGAGGTAATACGGCTACCAACTTTTTCAGTTTTGTCTATTTTAGTGGGGAATTGCACCCTCCGCTAAAAAAGGGTATAATTACAGGGCACTACTGGGGGACCTAGTTGGGGTTTCAAACATCCCAACTGGTGTTGGAGCTTGTTTCCGCATCTAGTTGCCATGGGGTAAACAAAAACATGATGGCAGAACGTCAACTGTGCCATCTATCTTCGCCCTGGCGAAGCAAAACTCGATCATTGCATTAGCCTTTGTAGATACCCCCAGGTAGCTTGAGGGGGAGGGAAGTGGAAACCAACATGTGTGGCTCAAATTTTAAACAGGAGCGGTTACGCAGGTTGTCCATGTTTCCACTTACCAGGGTTCCATTCTGGTAGCGGTTTTTTGAGCCACAGCCACATGTGTCACATCATGCTCACAACACCATCCAAACCACGGTTTAAATTCATTGTGTTGGGAATTGTCCATGGTAAATTAGCCCTAGTGCCATTCCAATGTCCTTCCCTGTAATATAGTAGGTAACGGTGCATAGTGACTGATGCTCACGACCAAAACACACTGTTCACAAGCACCACCAAGATGCACCATTTCTGAAAAAATGAGTCACAATTAACACCCGGAATTCAAATGGTCTACCCAGAACCATGTAAAGAATTGAGAAGGCGGCGGCGGCCGCAACTTTTCTGGCTGGGACTGCCCCTGACTAACCTTCATCTACCCGGGTTTTGATTGTGGCTCAAATGCTACGACATCAGCAGCGCATGGCAGCATGCTGCCGCCTCGCCGCACCCATTGGGCTGCTTCAGATTGCTTCTCTTCTGCTTGCTTCTGCAAATGACCATGCTCATCACTCATCAGACAACAACCATACAAACACAGGAAACAAACACACGTCACATAGCAAGAACGTAGCACAAAACAAACAACACACGTGCATTCTCAAGACAAGCGATGAACCTGAAAGTGAGTGAGTCAATCGATCGGATTCGCGTCTGCACTTTGTTGCTTGCTGTGCTAAAGCTCGGCGGTTCCTGCCAATGAAGGTTGCCAATACTCAAACCACTGGCTATGTTTGATTTAGATTAAATATGAATCATTGCGATTCGGTGTTGCCGGAGAAACTATTCAATCAACGCGCATAAGCCCTGATGTCTGCACAATAGAGCAGGCTGGTCCCTGTCAGGCAAAACCAGGGCTGTGGGAAATGACCACTTCTGTGATACAACAAACAGGCGTCGCAAAGACTACCTTCCCACCGAAAGGGGGAGATTCCCTTGTATCACAGAAGTGGGGATAACCCCCCTGATCCCACAACCCTGGCGGCAAAACCAATCGTCGTTCAATGCTGACCGCCGAAAACCAAAGGAAGCCCCGGGCTTTGGCAGATGGACCCGTTTCCCCATTGATGGGGGTCCCATTTGGGTTGGTCGGCTCGTGAGGGAACGCAAAAATGGATGGTTCAAAAGAGAAACCAAAAGGAAATCATGAACTGTGCCGCAGAGTTTGACCAGCCATTGTTGGGCTTCCCCCATTTTGAGACAAACATAAAGAGAAACCAAAAGGAAACCATCCATTAGTTGGCTTCCCCCACTTTGAGACACTCATTTAGAGTCCAGTTCCGTCTCCGCCTTGACTCCGGGCAGCTTCCTTGAACGCAGCCTGGAAGGAAACACACAGCCTGGGGAGGGTTCCGCTAAACAACTGGCTTGAGGCGGAGGTTCATAGCAATCCAGGACTGATGAACCTCTGGTTGATTTGTAGATGGCGGCATTTTGGAGGGAACCTTCACTTTCTTTGTGGAACAAGCGCCCCATATTTCCCCCTACCCAACAGCTTGCAGAACAGTGTCGCTGCTCATGTTGGATGGCCCAACCATCTCTTCTTTACACATCACCCCAGGAAGCCCGAATGCGATGTTTCAACCAGCTGAAAAAGGAACAATAACCTGAATTCAACTAGATAGGAGCAATCACCAAGTGGCTGTCTGCGTACTTATGCAAAGAATCAAAACATAAAACCTTTAGGCTGAACGTCACAAGCAAACTTACAGAAAGTTCGAACAACTGTTCAGTTCAAACAACCAAACCGTATGAAAGAGTTGATGTATATTTATATTAATTACCCTTTCAAAGCGCCCTCAAACTTGTCCCTTTTTTTCCTGTGGCCCGTCGATGCCAGTCGTCTTGGTGTTGGTTCATGACAAACAAAATCCACCGCAAACACACAGTTGCCTTTGCTTGCAAACAAAACACGCGGAGATCTTGTTCGTGAGGTACCCCGCCCAAACCAAGCCACCAACGGTTAAAGAAAGGAAAGCAAACAGGACTGCAACACATCGCCTGGAAAGTGTTTCCAGGAGTGGGGATCCTATGGGCGGAATTTTCAAAGGACAGGCGAAACACCGGAAGCCGCAAGGACCTTTAGAGGCTTCCTGTGACAGGGAGGGAGTTCAAGATGCCTAAATCTTGCATCCTCGCGCGACGCTGTCCAGGCTGAGAACATCCCATTCAGTCTCCCGGTGTGCCAGAAAGGTGGCCTACAACCAAATCTTCCACATGGAGCTCAAGCTCTTCACCCTTGCAACATCGGACTACTTTGGAACCAACAACCACACCATGCGAGAACAAAAAAAAACAAAAAAAACTAGAGTCTCCTTCTGACCCTTAAAAAAAGGTTGGTCATTGCCCTAAAGCATGGGGTCATGGACCTATTTTTGATTCGGGTCATGGCAACCGCACCATGCGAGAAAAAAACACAAATTTCCTGAAGCACTTGAGTCATCACCTTCATCTCCCCGGCCGTTGATTGTAGCTCAATTCCTGAAACACTTTTCACTTGCTGGTATCAGATGAGGGACTCACCTAACCGAACCATTCCCCAGTTTCCGAGCAAATCCATTTCATTCCCAAAACTCAAGGCATCCCCAAACAAATCCCCGCACCATTCCTGTAAGGGATGTAGACTTCATCCCACATAGCATGGAGGCCTGGAAGACCGGTTTCCTCTAAACAGGACGCGCTCTCTCTCTCTCTCTCTCTCTCTCTCTCTCTCTCTCTCTCTCTCTCTGCCCTTCCGTTCCTGCACCACCGTTCAGAAACCCAACGAAATGATTCGATTCCCCTGCAAATATGTTTTCTTTCAACCATGATCTTATTTCGTGGTCAAGGGATTTCACGAAACCATCCACGGCAATGTTGACCGCATACTACTCAACCCCAGTTCATTAATAGGGGGTTGTCCAACTGGGAGTAGTGGGGAATCATCACTCGTGGAGGGGCCCCCACCCCCCTATTAACAACCTGGGGTTGATTAATGGCTCAACATTATGATCCAAAACCCCAAAAAAAACCAAACACCCGTTGCTAGCTCCTCCAGCAGAGAGGATAGAATAAGGCTACCAACTCTTTGATGTAGTCTATTTTAGTAGGTGAGCCCTCACCCAAAAAAGAAAAGCGGTAAAAGTTGGCACCAATGGCTGGGGGACCGAGGGTTTGGGAGTTTCAACCTGAAGCCTCAAAGATCCAAATGAAAAATGCACCTAGCATTGACTCCGCAGGCCCGAACGACTCTCGCAAAACGGAAGTCGAGCCTCGCAGAAGAGCCAGACGCTGCAGAAGCTCCAAGTCCCCTGGTGAGCGCACGAAAGAAATCCAGCGGCTGGTCCTGCCCTGCCGAAATTGGGGGCTCTGGATGCTTCCAGATGGCAACTCAGAAGATACAGCTACGACCTTGAAAGCCAAATCCATCCCATGCGCCGCTGTTCAGCAACCAAAGGAATAATTCAAATCCCCAATGAAAATACCAAACGCTCTGGTTTTAGCCCTGGATTCCTTTCGCTTTTTCGCGAATGGAGTTTGTCCATCCACGTTGGCTTCATGGTAACATCCGAGTTCGGGGTCCACCAGGTTCGACCTGTACCCTCATGTTTGCCCAAAAACGAAGACGAGAGAAACCTGGCAGAACTTGATGGACAGTTTGGAGGCCTTTGCGGGTGCGGTTTGAACATTTTGTCAGCTTCGAGTAAGCCGAACTTTGACAACACCTGGTACCTGGTATGGTTGCAAACAACGTGACAGGATTCCAGCCCCCTTCTTAAAATGAACAGAGCAACCCACCCACCCACCCCCTCCCCCGGAAAAAAAAAAAAACAAAAAAAAAAAACAAGAGAACGAAAACTTGCCAAGAACAGTTTAGCCGAATTGGATTCCAATAGTGGGAGATCTCCGAAAGCCAGCTCCCATAGCAACCTCGTGGATTGTTTGTTTTCCCCGTTGACTCGCTTGCAATCCATGGACCTGACCAAAGAGACACGCAAGAACCCTCCGACTAATTAACATGGAAGCTGACGTTCGGGGGGTCCAAACCTTCAAAAGGAAAATGGTCCAAACCAGGATATCAGGAAAGAAGTTGAGAAACAGTTTGACATCCTTGACCCGAAGCCTTCATGCAAAGGAAGGCGTTGCTCGATCCAATCCCGTTAGTCTTCCCACGCACAAATACCTCACCAACTAGTTGGTGACTCTGGACTGGCGGGCATGATGCAATGCCACAACTCTGTCACATCTGTTTTGGGAAGACAACATGTCAAAAGACATTACAAAGCCCACAATCTCGTGCGGAACTGACAAACTTGGTTCGTGTCACAAGGTGCCTCCCCCCCACAAAAAGAAGAAGAAGCAAAAACCCGTTGGCTCCTTTCGGTGTGCCTCAGTTCAAACTCTTCGAGGGGGTTCTCAAAATAAGATCACTCCCGAAAGGTGGCCAGAGGCCTCAACAAGGCTTTCTTAAGGCCTCATCAATGGCTTAATTCCACCCCCCCCCCCCCAATGACCCCATGACAGGTGTGCATTGCACTGACAGTTCCTTGTGACCGTTGGACCCTAAGACATGTCCGCAAGAGGCAAAGAAACAATGTAAAAGCGTAGATATCCGACTCAAGTTGTCCACAGGATCTGCAACAAGCGGTGCTGTGTTTCTTACTTATATGGTGGGGGCACAAATGGTCCGGTGTTGTGTTTTTTGCTTGAGGGGAATCTTTATAGGTTGGCCCCATTCAAGGAAAGGCTCTGAGACCCTTCTTGGAAGCTTCTTAGAAGCCCCCTGCGCCGAAGCTGCCCAAAAGATCCAGAAAAGAAATCACTGGTTATTCCTTTGGAGCCATGACAAAGCAAAGGTCAAACAGCTCCTTTTCGCTTTGGGCAGGCGAGGAAACCAGCCTTGCAACCTTCTCCTCTTCGCAGGAAAGTCAATTCACTTTGGACAGGTGAGGAAACCAGCCTTGCAACCTCATCCTATTTATTCTCTTCCTGCCCAGCCTGCGCCCAAACGCATGTTGGTGAACTCAAATATGCGGCGAGCCTGCAGCAACGATGCTTCAGATAGAGGGTCCCTCTTTTTGTTCCACGCTCAAGCAAGCAACAAACTATGATACTTGGCCCCATGGGGGCACCAAACAATAATATATTCTGATTCTGTCATGTTTTTGCTTCCCTCAAAACATATGTGTGGTGTGTGTTTCTTTTTTTTACGGGTACCCCTTTGTTGGTGGTTTTTCTGGAAAGGACAACCACCAAACCACGGGTTTGGCCGAGTCCGAAAGAAAGACGAGCCACCAGGAGATCCATGGAATTTAGGGCCCCTAGCAACTTCCCTTCGGACTGGTATAGGGGTCCAATGAACTTCGGTGTAAAACCCTCTAGGTAAACTATGATAGATAGTGAGACACCGGAAATACTGTGGGTGGACGAAATCCTCTTAGGCACCACTTTGAAACCATGGTTGACACCATGGTTTGTTGGTATTTACACGGGAATCATCATTCTAGGGTTTCTTGGGTGGTGCAGGATTGCGTCCATCCACAGTAACACATTCCCAAGGTTTGATTTTAATGAAGGGAGGTCTTGGTTTTGTCCCGGGTGAGCTGGATGTTTCGTGCAGCCCAGAACAACCCGCTTCAAGTACCCAGACGACCACCTCAAGTCGCTGATACGTCTGAAGCAAATTCGTAACCAAGCATCCGAAAAGCCTGGCGTTCCATACTGTTTGCAACGAGACATCGTCAAACCAAAGCAACAGTGACTCAGGCATCCCCTAATTAATTGCTGGTTTGGATCTGTGGTTTAGGGATTTGAACCCTTCGCTTTTGTAGCTGGTAATCCGGAAACCACCCCTTCACCACCAAACCACCAGTCGAATCCGCCAACAAGGGGGAAGTTGAGTGACGAGTCGCCCTTTATGCCTGAGGTGAAGCAAATGGTGGATCATCAACAAGCCACTCACATTCACCAAACCCACACTTCTTGCTTGCGTGAAGGCAACTCTGCAGCAAAGTGTCACTGCCAGAGGGGTAGAAAAGACTGAATTTCCTCTTCCCGCAAGAAAGGTCAGGTTTAGTGGCCATGGGCAGGCGGGCAGGGATTCTTTTCTGGGCGGTCCTCAGATCCCCTGCTACAAGCTGAATTTCTTAGTAGGTTAAATGGACACCCCGACAAAAAAAATGGTGGCTTTCCCTCTGGTCTCCCTTTCAATCCACCGTAAAATTTGAACCCTCAAGAAAGGTGACAGACACCCGGATGTCCGGGTTGCTTTTGGAACCACCGAAAAAAGTACCCTCAAAAACCCTCCGCAGATTTCTGTGTCTTCTTTCGGGGGCCCTCGACTTGAAATGGGCGGTTTTCCTGTTCTCCTTTAAAATTCCACACCAAAAAGGGTAGCCTCAAGCAATGACAGACCCATATGGCTATGATTTTTAATCAGGAGCTCTTTGGTAAACATCATTTAGGTGGAGATTCATGTCCACCAATCACTTTTGAGGTGGTTCCCTATTACAATTCATGGCCATATGGGTTTGTATTGACCTGGGTGTGTCTTAAAATAGGGGGACGCCCAAAATGGTGTTCCTCCTGGCTTCCAACTTCCAACCCACCAACCAAAACATAACAAAGAGTACTCAAAAGGAGCATTGTACTACGCAAGTGGTTTGTAACCAGGCTTACGAACCACTTATGAAGTACCCGATCTCCCCACTACCTGGTTGACGTTGGAAGGGGAGCAAAAAATAAGTCTTAGCAGTTAAGTGGTTGGATTTCAACCACTAAACCACAATATGCAAAATAGCAAATAATGTGTCCCAACAACAACCATGACTACTTAGATGGTCTGGGACTTGGCTAAATGGCTAGCAACCCTGGTTACAGGTTGGACTTACAACCATTTTAAGTGGGTTACAACCAGGGCAAGGCTAGCCATTTAGCTAACCCTCAGACCATCTAAGTAAGTATCAACCATTTAGTTTAACTTTGAGTGGTTTAATGGAAAACCATGAGTTGGCTAAAAAGTTAAAGTCCTAACATCCCTTGGCAAAATGAACCCAATCGCCCCTTTAAGTATCCTCCAACCAAAAACACGCACACCAAAATCCACATCTCTCCCGGTCTCGGCCTTGCGCCCGGCCGCCCGAGACTCACCCGCCCCGGCAAAGTAGTCCAGAAGCCCAGACCTCGCGTCGCGGCTTGCGTCGGGTTTGTCGGGGGCAAAACCCGAAATCGCGGTGGCTCTTAAAAAGAAAACCTCTACCTGGAGACTCCATGACCCTTTAAAAATAGGTCCATGACCCCACTATTCGGGGTAATGACCCCATTTTTCAAAGCTTGTGGAGACTCTAGGTAGTGCTACCTTCCCGAAATGGGTTTCCGAAATGGGCGACGACTTCTGTTTTTTTTTGTGGGTTTCGGGGGCCAGTGAGTTCATGGCTGACGTCTCTAGGTACCCCGGGATCCGGATCTTTCTAGAAACCCAGGGAAACGGATCCGGTTTTCGAAAAGAACGATGCTTGGAAAGAATGGGGAGTCAACCCTTAGAAATCCCTCTAAACCAATTACCCCCCCCCCCAAAAAAAAAGAACTCACTTCCTGAAATTGGTCCAACAACATGCATCCACGCTTTTGGTGTTTGCCACAAACACAGTCCTCCCCAAAAAGTATAACGTCCAGGAACCCATGCAGGAAGTGAGAAGGGTACCTGGACCGTCAAGCCATACCGAAAAAGCCTGAACAAAGCCAGACTCGCTATGACCGAAATGTGCACCTGTTGGAAACTTGGCTCAAACAGAGTCATAACCAACTGGGTGCGGGTGTGTGTGTGTGTGTGCGCGTTTTTGTCGAGGTCATACTTTGGAAGGTTTGTTTAAAGGGAAACCCGACCAACATTCTTGGGGGGTTCCCTTGACACATACCCAAACTACAACCGCACCAAAACTAAATGATGTTCCAAAAATGTGCTTTGTTGCAGAACGCTCTCTTCATGAGTGGATTGGCCATAGAAATAGTCTGAACTGTTTCTCATCCACTAACATCATCCAAACCAAAAAGTGACCAAAAAGAGTCTGAACTGCTTCCTAGCCACTAAGATTAACCAACCAAAAAGTGACCAAACAGAGTCTGAACTTGCTTCTTTATCCACTAAAACTTGGTCCAAGCCCACACAGCGAAGCTCCCAACCAGCGAAGCTCTTTGGATTCCCCCAAAGGAACAAACCCAAGGAGCCGGCCTCAGCTCTTGCGCCCGGGGATCGGATAAGGGGAGCTCCTGGCCGCCATGAACGCCTTTTGCCAACGTCCAGAAACGTTTTTCCCCGAGAATATGGTTCTTTTCCCTTGTTGGTTTTATAAGGAATTTATCACTGGATTCTTTTCCAGGGGTCTTAAGCAAATGGAAGATACCCAGCGGGTCCCTTGGTACCTCACGAGGATGGCGTTTGGGGGGTAAAACGGGGTCGATCAGTACCTCCGGTACCAAGAAAAACCCTCTGAGTGGGAGAAGCTTCCATTTGCTGACCCTCCCAAGAAAACATGGAACTGTTCGGCGTTCGGAAAATGGTCGCTTTAAAAGGGAAAATGGTCCAAACCAGGACCTCCCGAACGTCTGGTTCCATGCTTGTTGGTGCGAGGGTAAGCCTTCTGGAAAACGTAAAAATATGTCCAGTGGTGACATCGACTCCAGTTAAAACCAACAGAGGACAACAAACAATATTCATGTCAGCAAATGGAAGGTGGCTCGTCTTTTTGAGGGCACCATGCTTGAGATTGTCCATTCTTGGGCACGCTGACATGGGGAACGAGTGAGTCCCCTGCTTTTTGTTGAAAAGAGAACAAGGTCCCCACACCCCCTCCCAAACGGAATCGCTGGCCCCGAAACATGGGACAATGGGGCCGGTCTCCCAGGTGTCTGCGTGACGAGGTTCCCACTGACGCTTAGGAGACTCCCATTTTCTCGGCTGGTTGGCTATCCGATATCCCTGAAAGCGCATATGCTCCCGGAAAGGTAAACTGTTCACAGGGATCTGTCTGTCCCCAACCCATCACGGAAATAGACAGGGTTCCGAACATGTTCCCCTCAAAACATCACCCTGAATAAGAGCATCATCTCACCTCAAATGGGCCAACCTAGGCGATGTTGCAAAACCATATTTTGAGGGAAATTGCCAGGAGACCCTGGCAAATAGGGTGAAATACAGTCATTCCCTTAAACCCACATCGACCGGACTTGGTGTCGTCTACCAACTCACCCTGGAGTCGGTAATATCACCCTACCGCCACCAACATGACACCTATCCACGGATCCCGTTTTTCGTGAACATGGTCTTCCAGCCACCCCAGTGAGATGCCATGGTGCATGGACCCAAAGCAAACATCTGCCAAGCCTTTTCAGAAGGCCGGCCACCCACGACAACCCGTGGAACGACCGGCGCAGCACCAAATCCGTTTCCAACGCCTCTTCTTCAAGAGAGAGGTTAGAATAAGGGTATCTTTTTTCCTGTAGTCTATTTTAGTAGGGGAACCCCCCCAAAAAAAGAAACGGTAAAAGTTGGCACTTGGCTGGGGGGGGGGCTAGTTTAAGACCCGACGAAAGACGCTCCAAAAGTCCTCAGATCCCCGGCTAAACGTTTAACTTTAGTGGGTTAAATGGAAACTACCATTAAACACCAAAAGGCTAAGGAACCGGATGGCTGGGAGCCACCAAGTTTTCTTTCTGCACCGACGACGCTCCGAAACTTGCACCCGGCCGAGGCGGGGCGGATCGGAGCAAGTCCTCGGTGCTCTGGGCCAACTGCGCAGTCACCGCGAAGGCGCTGGCCTTGGAGGAGGACCGCAGCACGCCGCTGTACACCCGGCCTCGAGATCGAGCGACGAAAGCGCGAGAGCCAGCTCACACTTGGCCAGTGACCAGCCCCAAAAAAAAGAAACAAAAACACGTGTTGGGCCACCACTCAAAAGGGAGAGCCACCAAGGAAAAAAGTGTAAAGTGCGCCTGGCTGGGTGAGCCAGAGTTTGAGGAAGAAACCTATGAGGATGTGGTTGACAACGAAAAAGTGGTAAACAATGCCCGATCTCACGAGATTGAGTTTGATAGGAAACCCATCTGGAAGTGGTTGACGACGTACAACGTCCAAGCAAACAAGGTGACAAAGTGAAAAAAGGTTGCAGAACAAGATTACGGAACAAGAAGTGCATGGTTACCTGGACCCCCAAGGATATTGCAAAGTTACATTTGCCTGGACCCCCAATGGATCGATTCCTTTTCCTGGCGAAGTGAGCCGTATTTTGGTTTGTTCAGGCTGCTGCTATTCGGGGTGTTTGCCCCCATATTTTGGATTATGGTATGTTCAGCGTTGTTTAAGATTAGTGAGGTGTTGCTATTCTGGGTTTCGGTTTGTTCAAGTAGTGGGGTCGTACATGATCTTCGGCCCACTGTTTCTTTCACAAAACACACATAAACCAAACACAAGCCGTCAGTGCACATTCCCAAATATCTGCATCGAACCAAATCTGTCAACCTCAAGGTCCTATCTTGGCAGTTTTCGGGGGTCAGGTTTCCTGTGACCGCCAGTGCAATGCCTTCAGCCAGAATGAAGCGAGCCAGCTAAGGCGACTTGCTTGGCAACTTGAATCGGATGTATGGGCGTTCCTTTTTTGAGGGGACCCAGCTGTTGAGCGAGTTCTCCCGCATTTGAGGTTGGAAAAACACAGCAAAATCACCAGAAATCCAAAGGGCCAGAGGGTACGTCAGGCAAGTGGTTGGTTAGCACCCTCCCACCAATTAACATGGAACCCCTGAACAAACGATGGTCTTCCAGGACCCCCCCCCTGTCAGGTTCCATGTTAATTGGTCAGAGGGTAACTATGGTTATAACCCACAAAATCATGAGTATAAGTTGTGGCTGAACAAACGCTGCAATCATGTTTTAGGCTGATCCTTGAAGCGCAGTAAATGCACAAGAAACAAGAACACTAATGCCGGCCAGCGATCGGCTTTGGTCGGCAGGGGTCCGTAGATTTCTCCAAGCATCACGCCAAGAATAACTCACGTCAAATGGGACAAACACACTGTTCACTGCATGTCCCATTCAATAGTTTTCCATTGCAACCATCGCCGTTGGTTTCCCCCCCCAAAAAAAAAGAAGGGACATGGCTCGGAAACCCTGAAAAGGCCGATGTTTAGACCACCCAACCATGGGCATCTCAAAAATCCTAAGGAAACGAACCGGACGGCTGGGAATCACATCAACATGAGAGACCCCTTTCTTGTAAAGGGACGATGGGCACTTAGTATGTGGTTAGTAACCATAGATATAACCCACTTGGGAGACTTGCAACCATGGCTTTGGTAGGTTGCTAACTGCTTACCTGACGTGCCGAATCGATCGCCCCTTTCAAGTAGCTGCTCTAGAGTTACCTTCCAATTCCATTCTTTCCAGGGATCCGAATCTTTCAGGAAACCATCAAAAACCCGGAAGAAAAAGCTCAAGTAAATTCAAGTAATATCCCCAACAGCATGGAACCCTCGTGGAACCCTGGTGGAACCCTGGTGGAACCCTGGTGGAACCTTACCTCAGGGCCGCCCCGGACCACCCCGGAGCCTATCTGGGCTGAGACCCCAAAGCTTCCAACAAGCTTCCAGCTGGGGAAAAACAGATCCGGTTTTTGAGAAAGGAACGTTGGTCTCACCTGCTGAGTGGATGGCCCAAAAAAAGTCCAAACTTTATATGTGCCACTAAAATGGTCCAAACCCAAAAAGTTTAAAGTTCATGAACTCAGGAAGTGAGTGGTTGAAGAGGATGGACAAGGAATCAACCCCTGGAGCCGTTTCCCTTGGTTTCCTGAAGCCATCCAACCAGACCCCTGTTTCAGGTCTCCTAAAGGGGCGATCGATCAAGGGTACGTCAGGTAAGTGGTGAGAGCAACCAGGGTTACAAGCCAAAGCCATGGTTATAAGTCTAAGTGGCTTACAACCATGGTTACTAAGGACTTCCTAAATAACCTGCCCCTTTAACTCAGTTGTTCAGTGACTCTAGAAAAAAAGGGAACCTTTTTTTGGGAAGACCATTTTAGTGGGGCAGCCACAAAAAAAAAAGGAAAAAGGGAGCCACTGAACAACTGAGTTAAGTACTGGGTAACCCTACTGAGTGCCGTCGCTTCAGCTGGGCAGTCCGGCTGAGGTCGTTCTGCGTGTGCGGCGGCAGCCGCCGCAGCACCGCGTCCAAGATCGCCAAAGCGCTGCACAAGGTGAGAAGCCGCACCTCACGTCTTTTCGACTTTTCCAGCGCCCCAGGAAAAACATTAAAAGAACCAAGAAGAAAACAAGACCAAGAAAAACCAGAACTAGAAAAGTTTCGAACAAGAAGAACAAAAAACACGAAACACCGCCAGTAAAAAACCAAGAAAACTTGATCCAAGAACAGTGAAGCTGAGCTCATTCCATTCACTTCCATTTGCTTTCAGCCCCCCCTAGAAAAACCACCCCCGCCCATAAAACCACCAAAAATCGCCAGTAAAGTGATGAAGAGAACCAAGAAGAAAACAACAAACAACTTGATCCATGAACAGTGAAGAGCTCCGCATGCACTCTTCAGCAAGCGGTGGGCTCAATGGCTGGGCCCTTTGGACATGGCGGGAAAGGGGAAAGGGCGAAAAACCATATCCAGGTCCTCCAGATTTGAGAGGTCAGAATCAGTTGGTACCCGATTTGTTCCAGTTTTGTCTATTTTAGTAGGGGAACCCTCCCCAAAAAAAGGGGAGAGAAGGGCACTACTAGGGGACCTAGATATGGGTGTGGGTTCCAACCGTCCCCCCCTTCTAATTGTTCAGCCAGTCCTCCACTTAGTATGTAGGTTATAAGAGAACCATGATATGGGACCAACCCAGGTTACCCGGGTGTGGCTCAAAATCAAAAAGCTAGGCCAAACCACATGTTCTAGTCTTTAGTTTATTTTTACCTTCTCGTGCCATTTTGGTACACTTTTTTGAGCGCAGCCACAGCCATATGTATGTTTGGGGGGCCCATGTTCAAATCACAAGGAACATACTATGACTCTTTGTTTTTTGTTTTTTTGCGGCGGTCCCCAAATTGCTTAACACAAACAATGTTGAAAGGGCTTGAATCCATAGGCGTCTTTTTTTGTAAAACAGCGATGGGTCTCCCTGGTAAATGGATGGCATAACACCCTTTTCTAAACCAGTAGAACCCATCTATGTCTTACCACACCAACCGATCAAAAGGACATCTCTGGTTTAAAGGGCCTGCATTTTTTGGGGGTCCCCTGATTTTGACACACAAACACAAACACAAACAAACACAAAGACCATTTCAGCTGCATCTCTGGAGGGACGAGCCTCTCTTGCTGCTTGGAAGCTGAAGCAACAGGAAGAACAAAATGGAGACCAAGAGTCAGCCCACAGGAACAAACACAGAAGCCGGCTTCATTGACCCATTCACAAGCATGACTAGCATGGGCCATAACTGTATTGGCTCTCATCGTGTCTCCTCCGGTGCTATGGCGCGGAATTAGTACTGGACTTCTGGAATCACTGAGAGGGGTAGGTACGTTACGGGGGGTGGGTAGTTGAGAGCCCCTTTCGGGTGAAGTCCTCACAGTTCCTTCAGAATCCTTGCAACCCCCAATTGGAATCCACAATGGACCTGTAACAGGAGGGGGAAACGGGTCAGTTTGTCGAGCAACCAAAAGAAACCACTCATATATTGTTTGGCAAACCCATCTCCTATCTTGAGACAAACCCTAGCTTTATGCAAACCCTCCCACCAGCCATGGGTGAGTGCACAGACGCCTGAAAGACTTCTGTCCTCTTGGGAAGCGCCTAACCAACCCATGTTAGTTGGTGGGAGGCGATTTGCTTGGAATCTCTACCTGGAGTCTCCTTCTGACCCGAATCAAAAATCCGTCCACCCCATTATCTAGGGTAATGACCAACCATTTTTCATTCGGGTCAGAAGGAGACTCTAGGTTTAGACTTGGTTGGATCTCTAGACTTCAACTTAGGCCCCCCCATTTGACAACCCCCGCTACTCCAGAGCGGACCTGAGGGACCAACGTGCGCTTCCGCTGAGGCGTGCGCCGAGTGGTGGTGCGTGTTCAGCGGCAGCGACAAAGAGGCTGCCAAGAAGTACTGCACCAGCAGCCAGATCTCGCGCACCAAGGAGGCCTCGCTCGCCGAAAAGGGTCGGGGTCACCGGGAGGTGGTGGGGGATTGGTGGCTTGGGGAATTCAACCCACCAAGCAACACATGACAAAAGGCGCACCAGAGAGGCCTGGAGTACTGGAGTACCCGGTCTCACCCCTCCGGCCTAGGTGCCTGGAGCCCTTATGGCAAATGACCCCATTTTTGATTGGTCATGGGGACTCAAAAGGGACTTCGCCCCATTTTAGGGCAAGAACCCATGCTTGAGGGTATTTGGAGAGTTCAGGTACGTGGGTTACAACCATGCTCATTAACCACTCACTAAGTACCCTGCCCATTTAAGTAGTTGGTTGTTCGGATTGGTGGCTTGGGGAATCAAACCCGCCAACCAAAACCATGACAAAGGCTGCTTATTGGTGGTTGTTGGTTGTTGTAGTGTATTGGTAACCCCTCGTTGGTTACTTGTATTGGTGGTTTAGTAGGGTCCGGCGGTATCAGGCAACCCCGTAGGGGTACAAGGGCGATCGATGAGGGGTGCGTCAGGTAAGTGGCTAGTAACTATGGTTCTATCCCACCGAACAGAGACGTATAATCATGGCTTTGGTGGGTTACAACCATGCTCATTAACCAATTACTAAGTGCCCTGCCCATTTAAGTAGTTGGTTGCTCGGATTGGTGGCGTGGGGAATTAAACCCACCAACCAAAAACATGACAAAGGGTACTTATTGGCTGTTGTCGGTTGTTGCATTGTATTGGTAACTCCTCGTTGGTTATTTGTATTGGTTAGTAGGGTCCGGTATCAGGCAACCCCTAGTGGGCTTTGGGAAATTGAATCAAAGCAGTAGGGTCCAGTATCAGGTCACCGGCTTTTTAGTTGGATGTTTGGATCGGTAGCTTGGGGAATTGGCTCCCTCGTTCTTGTGGAGGGTAAATAGGAAACAACCTTGACCATCACTACACCAATCCAAACCACCAATTTCCAAACCACCAATTGGTGGGGCGCTGGCGGTAGAAGCTCAGTTGTTCAGTGACCCTAGAAAAGAAAAGGGAACCCTTTTTGGGGCTTGGACCATTTTAGTGGGGCAGCCACCGGAAAAAAAAAAGGGAGCCACTGAACAACTGAGGAAGGATCCATGCCGACCAAGACACCTTTTACACCTTCAAACCTCCTCTAACTCAGCAGGAGGCCTCGGGAAGCTGATTCAGCAAGCACAAAGCTGTACGGAAAAACCGACGAACACCTCGGGTTCCAGTGGAAGGATACCTCCATCATCCAAAGCCAAAGACGCTGCAAGGGGATCCTCTGATCCACTCTGGTGACCTCTGATTTGGCCTTGCATCCTTGGGACCTAGCGGTTGGTGGCTGGCTGGCTGGGTGAGTGACCCAACAGGTTTCGGCCGCCAGCCTGAGCCTCGTAGTACATGGGCATAGAGCGCCAAAAGCAGGCGCTCACCTCACGTGTCGCGCGAGCGAACTGTGAAACCGGGAACCGAGTGATCACGTGGATGGTTGCGCAATCCACTTCGACTGAAACCATAAACGTTTGTTGATATTTACAGGATGGTTGCGAAATCCACTTTGCACCACTTGGAAACCATGGTCAAAACTATAACGCATGTTGTTATTGACAGGCGAAGCATCAGACACCAGGGTTTCTGAACGGTGGTGCGAAACGGACAACCACCCAACCACCCGCATCCACAAAACCACGCATCCATCCACCCACCCACCCAGCCAACCAACCAACCCACCAACAAACCAACCAAGAAACACACTCGCCAACCAATCGTCCATCAGCAGGAAGCCAAGTGCATCCCAGCGTCGCCGCGGGACGGTGGCAGCGGCATCGGCAGCACCTGGCGCTCGGGAACCCGACCGAACCCGCCGGCCGAATCACGCGGCTGAGTGGCGATTGGCAGCTGCAGGTTCCGCCAGGGCCTGAGACTTTTTGTTCTTATGACAAGTTGATTCGTCCTTTTGGATTGGTTTTGGGGACCGTTTTGGGGTGGCTTTAAAAGGGACTCCAAAGTGAAAACCACCGTTTTGGGGCCTAAAAACCGATGGAAGGCTTGCTTTTGTGAAGGCATATTCACTTGGAATGTGTCAAACAAATGGGAGACCTAAAATTGTGCGGTCTCCCAAGACCATCCCAACAAAAGGGAACCAAAAAAGCACTGTGTGTCCTGAGCCGCACTCAATCTACCTCTTATGCTTCTCATCAGAACCCCCCCGCCAGAATGATTACTTGGCTCTTGGTTTTCTGCCCTCAGATCCCCCTAAAAGGATCTAAATAGCATATAAGGGGATGGCTGTGAGCCACCAAGTTTTAAGGTCATACAAGAAAATGTGCGCTGTGAGCCGGAAAGAAAAAAAACAGACGCTCAGCCGGTCACCCGTCCCATGGTCCCCATCAGCAACTTGCCTGCTCTCCAGGGTGACTTAGGAGGATCCCAGCGAAGTTCCTTTGGAATTGCTCACTGTTCGCAGGTCCAAAGCAATTGACGTGTTGGCTCGCACACATCACAAGCAGCCCAAACAAATAAAACATCTAAATAAGAAACCAAGAATCGGTCTTCCCCAGTTGCCATTGCTTTGGAAATGGCTACTCTCCCGAAAGGTAACGTTGATCACCTCGGCAAACCATAATTCACAAACCAAGAAATAATCTGATAAAAGAAACCTTATCATGGACATCGCATGTTCCCCGCTACAAAATTGCAACCACAACTCCACATGTTGGGGTGTGGCTCAAAAATTAAGCAGCTTGGGCAAACCCCCTGGTTTTCGTTTTCCATTTACACAGGTGCCATGTTGGCTACCCTTGATTTTTGAGCCTCAGCCATATTCCCTGCTTTGCTTTGGCCCAGAAACCTCCATTTGCTCAAGTCCCCTGGAAAGAAATATTTCCAGTAGTGATAGATTCCCTTTAGGGGAAATAAACCATATTCTGAAGCAAATGGAAGAAGGAACACATGCCGTTCCGATCGTTGACTTTTTTGTGCGCCTCATAAAAGAGATGCTGCACCAGGGCCACCACGTGGCGATCAGCATTGGCAACCTGGGTTGCAAGGCTGGAAGAGCCAGTGGGCCCCCAAAAAAGTCCCCAAAAAGATGAGAGTCCTTAAGCACTTCGGCTATTGATTCTAATCAATAACTTTCGATTCTTATTGAAACAGCCCTGTTGTTCAATAGAAACTAATTGATTTTAACAGCCAATTGGAGGCTTTCAAACGATTGCTCATAACCATGGCGTTAGCCAACTTAGAAAGTGAATTGAATTTACTAGCAAACTAACAAGAGACCTGCACAGGAACACGTCCCTTCAAAGGGAGATTTTGGCTTCCAGCAACCCCTGTGCAGGTTCGATTTGTTTGTGGGACATGGATTTGGGCCATGGTCAAACAACTCCTTATGAGAGCCGTCGTCTTGAAAGCCATACAACGGTTGTCTAAACTTCTCGTTCACCAGTCCATGACAAAGGGCTTGCCCAAAAGCAAAGTGGGTGTGTCTTAAAAAAGGGGGAACTCCAAAGCGTTTGGTTTTCCTTTGGCTTCCCTTTAAACAACAACCCTCCATTTGCTCAAGTCCCCTGAAAAAAACAAAATATGTCCAGTAGTGATAGATTCCCTTTACAACCAACAGGGGAAAATGAAAACGATTCTTAGCCAAATGGAAGTAACGTACTTACCCTCAAAACCCCAAGTAGCTCTGCCAAGCCCTCTGATCAGCTTCCACAAAACTGGGCTGTCCGTTTTCAGATCCCCCGCTAAACGTGACTAACGTTTAGTGGGTTCAATTCGGAAACCCAACCACTAAACACTGAACATCTAAAAGGCTAGGGGGATGGCTAAAAGTTTAACTTTTAGTGGGACAAATGGAAATCCAACCACTAAACACTGAAAAGCTAAAAGGCTAAGGGGATGCTAAAAGTTAAACGTTTAGTGGGATAAATGGAAATCCAAAGGCTAAGGAACCGGATGGCCGGGAGCCACCAAGAAAAGGGAGAGCAACCATTCGGGGCCTCAATTTGCAAGTCCTTCAAGAAGGGGTGATTTGGCGAAGCTGACGTCAACACAAAAAGCTTCATGGGTCAAATTCGCAAAATCAGCTAAAGCGACCTGGAGATAGGAGCACTACTTGAAAGTATCCAGATGTATTGGTCACTGCTAGGATCTAAGATATCTGTGCATTTACAGGTTTGCCTAGAAACGTGCATGAATCAACCCCCATCCAAACTCCAGCACCCTTTCAGGGCTTTGTCTCGCCCCAGCCACGGTTGGTCAAAGGGAACCCACAAACCAAACGGTTCAGGTGTTGGTTGTCCTAAAGGTTACATTTGTTAATTGAACTGGCCCTGCATCTTTCTACGCACGGCACAAACATGTTAACATTCGATATTTGAACTCGTCCTGCATCTGTCTACATACAAGACACAAGTTGTAACTGATGGCTTTTTGAGCTGATCCTGGATCTTTCTACATGACACACAAATTCTATCATTTGTTATTTGAACTGGTACTGCATCTTTCTAGACACGACACACACATTTTTTTACTCATAGATGGCTTTGCAAGGCCTTCCATGGTTTGAGGCAGGTGGCAAGACCCCGCTGGTTCAGCAGCAGGGCGCAGCCGCGGACCTGAGACAACAAGTTGGGCGAAGACGGCTGTGTCAATATAGGGGGGATAACACAAATGGCGATGCTTGGCGGAACATTTCAAACAACTGGAAGAGGGAACCCTGGCACGAAATGCGTCTCTTGCTGTATTAAAACCAACTTGACTTGAACAAAAGCACAAACATCGCCGCAGATTCAAACATCTCAGCTTGAATCAAGCTACTCTGCAGACGTGACACAACTATACTGCAAACATTCAAGAAACCAAAACTTAAGCAGGGACGCGCTTCACTGACAGCACAAAGAGCACTCATCAAGCTCGTCTGTGTCTCCGACCTTGCCTCAAACTGGGCAGAACAAGCGGATGCCCGAACCCCCTGCAAGCATAGGTATTCTTTTTGGTTACTTTGGTTGAAACTAGATGGCCCTCGTTTCCAAGCAAACCATCCAAAAAGGACACCTACTGCACTTCTGCCCTTGCCTCAAAACGTGGTTCAACGCACAAGACTAAAAACTGGCTTGACATCGAAGTAAAAAGGCCCGGGCATTGGCAACATCCTTCTAAGGAACGGTTTGGATGCCGCGCTTTTTGTGGATCCACCCCTGGAGGATATTGAAAGAGTACGAAAAAACAACTAAAAAAAGGACCAACTGGAGGAAGAACAGCTAAAATAAACGAAAAGCGCAAATCCAATTTGTTTTCCAGAATCCTGGAACCCCGAAGTACAACTTGCCAATCGCCGGCTGTGTAGAAGAAGCATGGGCATGAATCTCTTTCTGCTGGAACAAGCGTGTGTGTGTGTGTGGGCAACATAAGAAACCACCAACCAGCTTGAAGCAAGCTTGTAGCTGATCATACTGTGGATAGACAACATGCATTAGTTGTCAAGCAATGGGCTTCATCCATCCCAACTGGTGCAGGATTCTGTTCACAGCATGATCACCATCTGAATCTGTGCTCAGCCCCATTTTCACCCTCAAACCTCAAACTTCGACAAGCGGCTCTAGTGTTGCAACCAAAAGGCACGATGTTCCAACCAGCTTAGTATGTCGGTTATGACCATGGTTCTGAATTGGGTAGCTGGGGTTGGTCCCCTTACAACCATGGTTTTATCCTCCAAACTAAGTTGAGAACTGGCTGAAAAACTGGGCGGGGGGACCGTTGTGAAGCCAATTTTGACAGATCTTTTGTTTCGATTCGGCAGATTGGCTCAAAAGCTCAGCGATTGGGCCTATTCCTAGGTTCACGGTTGCACAACGTTGTTGCTGTGAAACCAATCTGGGATTCCCTTCCATGACTGGTTTGTTTGCAAGCATTCCCTTGGCGACTCACGGAAAGTGGAAACCCAACCCCATAGTTCGCCTCTGGGGCCAACTAAATGGTGCAGTAAACGGAAAGTAATCAAACGTCACAGAAGTATACCCAGTGGATGCATTTACCTGTATAGTATGCAACCACCGGAACCACCCTTTAAAATGCCAAAGAAAAATTACTGGCTACCGGCAAAAGTGGTAACTGGGATCAACTAGGAAAGCAAAAAAACAACGCTGTTTGGAAGCAACCAGATATATCAAAGGTTACGTGAGAATTCAACGGAATTTCCAATAGATCTCAGCAATTCGGATCCACAGACCAGCTAACACGGTACATGAAACCCAGAGTATCAACAACGGAATCCGGAGGAAAGTGCTAATGTTGAACCAGGATTAATAAACTCGTCAGGTGGTGTTACCTCCAAAAGTGAGTCACCAACCAACTTGTTTGGGAGATTCCGATAGACTGGACATTTATTTATCCCCCACTAAAAAGGGTGGTGCACCCTAATTTCTGGAAATGGTCCTCCGGACAAATCTTATATCCGAAGTTGACAGTGTGAGAAGGCCTCATCTTTGACCACCGACCCACTCGTCAATTGATCTGTTTCAAACAAGGCTTCCCAATTTCTTTGCAGGGATGTTTGGTACATGTCAGAACAAGAGCGGCACATTGAGAACTTATGATAATTATGCAGGCTCCTCAGGCTGCACATGAAGTTCACAGGCTGAAATTGTGAAGGCTATGCAGGATTGACTATGTCACATCATCTACATATCATGTACTCTCACGGGAGGAAACAAAAGCGAAAACCCGCACCTTGATCATACCAGTCAAATGTTAACATTTGCATATGTGAAAAAAGGAATCCCCTTCCAAATCAGGTGTTTCGCTGTTGGTGTCGTGAAACGGGTACCCTCCATAAAACGCAACGTCGCCAGCATGGAGTAAATCCAGGACATCTCAATCGGCTCCTTCAACTTCTTTTTCATGGAGCTGAGGTAATCCGAGAGGGTCAGCTCAACGAGGGTGCCGATCGCAATGTGGTTCACAAACTTGGACAGCAGAACCGTTCCAACCTTTCCGCAACAATCTGGGTCTGTCTTTTCTAGGGGAACCCCCCCAAATGGCTCCGGAGTTCCTCTTGTTTTCCCTTTACAACAGGGCCAAAAAAAAGGCACCGGCTCCAAAGGACACCGACTCCATTTTTGTTGGTTCCTTAGAGAAAGGAACGGAACCGTCCGGAACTGGCCACGTGTCTCAACGCCCTGGGGCGCTGGCACAGCTACGCAATGCCACCGCCGCCAAGTGATAGTCCTAACTGAGTCGCGGGCTTGCGCCGCGAAGTTCGCTCGCGCATGCCTGGAGTCTCCTTCTGAACCGAAAAAAAATAGGTCCATGACCCCATCGTTTAGGATACTGACCCCATTTTTAAGGGTCATGGAGACTCCAGGTGTGCCGTTTGTCCTCTTCTGAGGGTACCCTTCTCACCTTGCTTCAAAAGGCAAGCAAGGGGACAACACGCCATCCGCAAAGAAAACGGACCGCCGCTGAGGCAAATGGCGCCTTTAGTTTTTGGCAGGAACGAAGCGGGAGTGAAGCGTTCAAGCCTGGGGAACCCGTTTTGGTAGGCAGTCAAGACAGCGATGCGTAGTTCGTCCGCTTCTCAGGGTGCCCTTGCTTCAAAAGACAACCAAGGGGACAACACGCCATCCGCAAAGAAATCGCACCGCCGCTGAGGCAAATGGCGCCTTTAGTTTTGGCAGGAACGAAGCGGGAGTGAAGCGTTCAAGCCCGGGGAACCCGTTTTGGTAGGCAGTCAAGACAGCTATGTGTAGTTTGTTCGCTGGCCGAACAAAGCCACTAATATCGTCCAGACCCAAACCTCACTTCCTGAAAGAAATGGCCAAACAAGGTCTAAACTTTCTGTTTACCACCAAAACGGTTTTCCCAAAAGTTATAAAAACCAATAAGAGAGAAGAAAAGCGAAAGTCCGCTTTTTTCCGGAACTCAGGGATTCGAGTTGTGGGGCCGTCGATCCCCTTCGTCCAACCACTTGAAAGTCTCCTGCACGGTGTCGCAGGAGACAAGCACCAGAGGCACTGGGAGCACCAAGGCCGGGCGCTCCTCGGGTCTCGAAGTGCGCGCTTTCGCCGATGTCATAGGTGTCCTTTTGGGGTAAATAGATGGCCTGGTAGATGATTCAACGACCAGGTAAACCAGGGCCATCTATGTTTCTTCCGAAACAACCCTATGGCCGATGTGTTTGCCGACCACTTGCTTAAACTCTTGTTTCCTTTTGTCATTTTCTAGGGGTACCTTCCGTTTCCATTCTTTCCAGGGATCCTTCTTTCTAGAAAACCCCCCAGAAACCCAGGAAAAAAAGCGTTTTTTGGAAAGAACGATGGTTGAAAGAATGGGGAATCAACCCCTGGAAATATGTTGTTCCCTCCAAACGTGGTCTAATTCCCCACTAAACCCAGCTGGACACACTCCCACCAAAACACCGGGGTTGACTAATATGGGGTCAACATTAGTGGTGATGTTTCGAGAAACACATAAAAAACCCTGAACAACATCGGTTTGGTTTCCTTTGGTTTCTTTTGCATACAAGGAACCACACGGGTAGACAATTGGGTGTGTGGTCTTTTTTAAGGAATCGACACTCCCCCAAAATGGCAAAACAGTTTTCCTTCCAGCTTACATTAAAATCAACCACACAAGGGTACCTAGAGTCTCCATGATCCTTTAAAAGTCGGTCCATGACCCCATCATTTCGGGTGATGACCCCTTAAACATGGGGTTATGGAGACTCCAGGTACCTCCAAAAAAGACACCCCCACATGGTCTTCCTACCCCGAGAAAACCAAGTACAACGGATGTTTTGCTTGCGGGGGGGGGGTCCCTGGCACAGGTGACTTTCTTGAAAATAGATGGGTTTCCCTGGTACTTGGAATAAAACCAATCTAAACAGTGGAACCCATCTATTTCTAACCAAACTGGAGGCCTAGGGTCCCTTGAGCCCCTGGGAACATTTAGGATTTAGGCCATCACCGTACGGGCGAAGAATGATCAGAACCCTGCCACGGCCCGAAGCCCCATCACCAATTCTCTTGCATAGGTCTGCGATATGTGTCAACTAAAAAACAATAATAATACAACTTAATGTTGACCCCGTTAATCAACCCTGTTTAAGTTTATGAACATGGGGATGTTCCCCTCGAAAAGCGAGTCATCCCCACTAAACCCAGGAACACCCCCTATTCAGAAACAGGGGTTGATTAATCCGGGGTCAAGATGTCCCCTGCTGGTTGACTTTTGAGAATGATTTGCTAGGCACTCAGCCTTCAGCCAACATAACAATGATGGGTCATTTATGCAATCCCAAAGGGGGGGTAAAGCTTAGGGATAGCGCTCTCAACTACCCACACCCCCTTGTACGTACCCTCAAGAGAAACTCCATAAATTTGGCAAAGAGTCTATCCAGGGTTTGGTATGTTAGCAATTAGCCTGCTTGTTGGCCGCCGTGGCCGCCATACGCAAACAGAACCAAATACAACAGAACAACTATCTGGGGCGATTTGCCATCCAGTCCTGACACGCCTCGGCCAGTCCGCTATTGGCTGGCTTTGAGGTTATACCGTGCTTCAGTTTGCCTTGAAGAAGGTGTGAAGCAGTCAGGTTTGGCAGAGGCAAGGTCAGCCAAAAGCTGGCCAAGCCATGTAAGCCAAAGAAGGTGTAGCCTTGTGTGTCAAAAAAGCCTTGAAGTCTGTGAAAGAGTGGGTGAGACGGCGCCGACATGAGCTGGTTTCCAAGGTAGAGGGTGGGTGCATGTCCATGTCCGTGTGTTTCCACATGGCTTCAACCGCAGAGAGCTACAGAGTGGCAGTGGGCTACCCATCAACATTCAACCCTAAACCATTCAAATATATGGCCATGGGTCAAATCCAAAATCCTGTACCCTCAGTGAACATCCCAATCCCCACTAAAATAGGTTCTAAAATGGGTGGTGCACCTACCCCAAAATGGTACCATTGTTGACCACAAGCCATATGTTTGTTGCATCAATGTGGGCAAAGATGTCAAAACGTTACCAAACATTGGCCCAACAGCGACCCGCGCGGCGTTGCTCGAGCCCCCGTCAGCTGAGTCCGGTGCCGGCTCTTCCGAAACCACGTCCTCCTGCCCGAGCCACTGGAAGCCTAAAGCTGGCGTGGGCGGTTCAGTGGGTGGTTCCAGCTGGTTCAACAAGGGTCCAAGTAAGGCCCAGAAAAAAACGACTCTTAAACAAAACGGTCCGCTGACGAGCGAAATGTCCTGAAGGAAAATCCACTGACTTGTAGCAACAAGGGCCAAAGGGCCAAGTTTGCAGCGTAAAGGGCAGCTGTATCACATGAACACGGGGCTGCTTCTTGAAAGGGTGTTCCTTCCGGGCAAAACAATGGCAAGAAGACTCAAATGTCTTTTGTGGCCCTCGGAAAGCCAATGTTCCTTCGCCCCGAATGACTGGGAAGTTTGCACAGGTCAGCCCCCATGAATCGCTTTCCTGGAGTTAAACTTAATCTGAGTGGAGACATACCTCCCAAAAATGCACAGGACTCATGGGAAGCTTCAGCAAACCTCGAATGGGAACGTGAAAGCAGGGGTCGAGTGGTTGGTTCTTGATAGTTCCCATTCACAACCAAAGCAGGGTTGCCACAGAAGGAAATGCATCGACACCCTGCACCCTTACAACATCCTCCAACCCAACCGGAACTCAAAGCCAGAGAACTTAGGCCAGCTTGATTTACACCACTCTAGAGTAATCTGAAAGGTTTCTCCGTGGCGAAGGGGAAAATCCGTTTAGAGGGTGGGGTTCTCTTCTCCGATCAGAGCGATCTCCCGGATTTACCCAACACATGTCAGGGCACCGAGGCCACATGACGGAATACATCTGCCACCACAAACTCACTTGCCCAAAGGACCTGCAAATAAAAGGTTAACCTTTTGGGACCTCTACTAAAAATAGACCAAAAAGGGAGAACAGAGTGTCCTGTCTTAAAGGGACCTCCCCAAACTCGCTGATGCGAGTGGGGAATGAGAACTGGAATGAACCCAGGCTTTGGGTCCTCTGAAAGGAAGCCACCTGGATGGCGTTTTTGGGGATCATTCCAACTCATGAGTTTACTGAGCAGCAGCAAGCCAACTCCGAGTTCTCCTTCTTGGCTTCCCTAAACCAACCAACAGGGAATTATTTCTGCGAGGCGCTGGACTCCAGAGCATCCAAAGGCGACCCATCCACCGCGAAATGTCTCAATATGATTTTATTTTTTAGGGTCAACCGGTGGGTGTCAAAGGAAACCCAAAAGAACAGAATCCGATCCCTGTTTTCTTTTTGGTGGGGGGAGGAGTCCACCCCAAAAAAAGTTGTGGACAGGGAGGGCTCCTGTGCACTTCCCGTTGACTTGCGTTGAGATCAATGTGACCGTTTTAGCGGGGTAACCCACCAAAAAGGGGAGGGCGCGACGAAACCACTGGCTTGAGGTGGTTCATAGAAATCCCGGATGGATAAACTCCCTGTTGATTTCTAGAGGTTTCCGGAGGGAACCTTCTCTTCCTTTGGAACAAAACCGCTCCCCCTAAAGAAAACTCACCTAAAGAAATGAGCCTCTTTTTCGGGGGGAAAACAAAAAAACACTGAACAATTCGCCCCCGGTCTTCTACTCCCCCCCCCCCCCTCCCTCCCCCCCCCTCCCCTCCTCCCCCCCGGCTCCGCCCCCCCACACCAAAACGCCCACACCGGGACCCCCCGAATCGCGCCTGAATGCATCAGGCTATCGGCGTCTGCTTGAAAGTTGGCGAGCGCCGGCAGCCGGCCTTCCCGGAAGCGGATGCGTCTTTCGCGTGAGGAGGTCGATGTGTTACGCATACGTTGGACCCCGCCAAAAGGGCGGTTTACGGTTTCCTCTTCTAGGTCCAGAAGAGAGGCTAGAATAAGGGTACCCATTTTTTCCGTAGTCTATTTTGGTAGGGGAACCCTCCCCCAAAACAGAGTAAAAGGGCACTACGGGAGGACCTAGTCTTGGTTTCTCTTCAAAGCAAAAGAGATGTAGTTACCCTCCAAAAAGAAACAGCCCAAATGTGTGTGTGCGTGTGTGAACAAAGCACTTGGGCTTCCCCTTCAAGCCGTGCCCCCCTTTAAACCACAACAGGAAACCCACCTCAATTGGCACACCACAAAGTGAGAGAAAACAAGAACACCTCTGGCATCTGGCAAAGTTGATCGAACATAATCTCACCACTCATCAGCGTGCACAGCTGTCCGAGAATGAACGTTCTTTGCGTTGCAGACGTAGCCGTGCTGTGGTGGTGGTGGTGGTGGTGGTGGTGGTGGTGGTGGTGGTGGTGGTGGTGGTGGTGGTGGTGGTGGTGGTGGTGGTGGTGGTGGTGGTGGTGGTGGTGTACTAGGGAGTGGTGCTGGTTGTGCTGGTTGTGATGATTCTAGCAGTGAGGCCAACCTAAGATCGCCCAGCCACGCACATCTAAAGCCAAAGCAAGAAACTCATTACCTGGAGTCTCCATGACCGGAAATAAAAATAGGTCCATGACGAGCCATTATTGAGGGCAATGACCAACCACTTTTATTTCGGGTCAGAAGGAGACTCCAGCAGGGTACCATCAAGAAACACCCACCCACACCCACCCACACCCACCCACACCCAGCCACCCAGCCACCCAGCCACCCAGCCACCCAGCCACCCAGCCACCCAGCCACCCAGCCACCCAGCCACCCAGCCACCCAGCCACCCAGCCACCCAGCCGCCCAGCCGCCCAGCCGCCCAGCCGCCCAGCCGCCCAGCCCCCCAGCCCCCCAGCCGCCCAGCCGCCCAGCCGCCCAGCCGCCCAGCCGCCCAGCCACCCAGCCACCCAGCCACCCAGCCACCCAGCCACCCAGCCACCCAGCCACCCAGCCACCCAGCCACCCAGCCACCCCAGCCAGCCAGCCAGCCAGCCAGCCAGCCAGCCAGCCAGCCAGCCAGCCAGCCAGCCAGCCAGCCACCCAGCCACCCAGCCACCCAGCCACCCAGCCACCCACCCACCCACCCACCCACCCACCCACCCACCCACCCACCCACCCACAAGCCAGACATTTGGAAACACTACCTGTGCACCATGCCTGCTCTTGAGCCGGCCCGAGAAGCAGGGACCGCACATGCAACGGTTTTTACCAAATTCGATCAGCCGAAGAAAAACCGCGGCTGCACAAAGAGACAAACAAACAAACAAGCAAACAAACACACTGACAAAAAAAGAAGCAAAGAACAAACAGACAAATCGACAGACAAAGCAAGGCAGGCAGGCAGGCAGGCAGGCAGGCAGGCAGGCAGGCAGGCAGGCAGGCAGGCAGGCAGGCAGGCAGGCAGGCAGGCAGGCAGGCAGGCAGGCAGGCAGGCAGGCAGGCAGGCAGGCAGGCAGGCAGGCAGGCAGGCAGGCAGGCAGGCAGGCAGGCAGGCAGGCAGGCAGGCAGGCAGGCAGGCAGGCAGGCAGGCAGGCAGGCAGGCAGGCAGGCAGGCAAGCACACAAACACACCGAAACAGACAATAGGCAGAGCGCCAGCAAAGCATGCAACCAATCAAACAAAACAACAAACACAGATTAAGAATACCGACTCACAGTAACCTGCAAGAAGGAACTAGAGAGGAGCCTAGTAACTTGTAAAGAGTGCATGCCAATCAACAGCGACTGCACACATGTTGCAGGTGAAAGGCAACAGCGTGAGGTGGTGCCAAAGCTACAAGCCGAGCGCAG